CGAGGTAAGTTGGAATTGTTGGGGTTGCGATACCGGAGCCCAACTAATACTATATCTAGGTCCAAGCTGTGCGCTATAATGAAGACCCCCTCCTGTCTACCTTCACTCCCATTCAGAACGGCGAGACTACCTCCATCGTCACTGGATCCTCGGTCCTGATTACCGCCGTCCCTCACCTCTACCGTCTTGCCAACAGTCCTGTGGTCATCCACGTTGCTCTGGAGCCCTCTCCATTCCCCGATTATTCCGTGATCAGCTCTATTCGCCAGTCCGGTTTCACATTCCTCCACTCGGAGACCGTGCAAGAGGCTCAGGATATCGCTATCACAGCCCACGCGCTTGCTCGCAAGTCTGGAAAGGGTGTCATCCACTTCTTCGACCCCTCTAACTCCGCCAATGACCCCTCTATCTCCGAGGAGGATGTTGAGGTCGTAAAGAAGGTTCTCAACATTGGTGGAAATGCTGCCACTTCGGCTGGAACCCAGACTCTTTACGCCGACTCCGGCCGTGTGACCACTGTCACCGAAGAGCCCGTGGGTACTGCACCCTCCGGCCAACCAGAGTCAACGAACTTGGCTGTGCCCTCTCAACCTCAAACTCCTTTCAACGCTAGTGTCGACAACTCATCAGTTGGCTCCTCTCGGAGAGACAGCAGTGCTGGCAGTGAAGCCCCGAGCTCGACCGCGACGACTGTGGACAGCGCCACCGTCCGGCCTGTTAACGCGGGCGATATCTTCGAATGGACAGCCCAGATTTGGAATGCTCTATTCGAAGAAGTCGGCCGCAGATACAGTGCCATTGAGTACACTGGTGCTGCTGACGCTAAGTCTGCTATCTTTGTCTTTGGCTCTACCGGAGTGTTCGTGGATGCTCTCGCCAACGCCGGTGCCAACCCGGAGCTGGAAAACATTGGCCTGATCACTGCTCGCCTGTACCGCCCCTGGGTCGGTGGGCAGATCTCCCACTCTATCCCTAGCTCCGTTGAGAAGATCGCTGTTCTCGAGCAGGTTCGCAAGACCACCCGATGGGGTCCTTCTTTCATGGACCTGCTGTCTAGCCTGACTCCCTCTGGTGCTCGCGCCCAGGCTCCTCAAATTGTCGGGTACCGTCTGGGATACATTGAGCCCTCTACCGCTGTCCAGGCCCTCCGCGGTGTCTTGCAGAACCTAAACTCCGCTTCTCCCATCCAAAATCTTGACATCGGAAGCTCTCAGGTTCCTACTGTTCAACACGCTCTCGAGCAGCCTCAGATTGAGAACGCATACTTGAAGATCTTGAACCAGCTCTTTGGTGAGCGTCTCCACATTGCCAACCAGCTTGGATCCAAGAACGCTGGTGTTTCAGGCACCATTGCCGCAAGCCCCGAATTTGGATTTGGTTCGCTGCTAGCTCGCCAGGAGCGCCGTCAGCGCTTCATCCGAGAGGTCGAGGAAGCCACCAAGTCGAAGGACTTTGCTACTGACATTCCCAAGACTTGGTTGTCTCGCTGGGCTCTGAATGTGAAGGAAGCTTCCAAGGCTAACAAACTGGCTCCCGATGTGATTAGTCGCCTTTCCGCCGATGGATCTGCGATTTCCCGCGAACTCCTCCAGTCTAAGCAGCTTTTCTATGAGGAGTCTGACTGGCTGATCGGCTCCGATGCTTGGGCTTACGATCTTGGCAACTCAGGTGTTCACCACGTCCTCGCATCTGGTGCGAATGTGAACATGCTCATCATCGACTCCCAACCCTACTCTGAGCGCGCTGCATCTGATGCCACTCGCCGTAAGAAGGATATTGGTCTCTACGCGATGAACAGAGGCAACGCATACGTCGCCTCGGTCGCTGTTTACAGCTCGTACACCCAGGTTCTTCAGGCCATGTCCGAGGCCCAGCAGTTCAAGGGTCCCTCGGTTGTTGTCGCCTACCTGCCTTACAACAAGGAGAACGACTCGGCCCTCACCGTGCTGCAGGAGACTAAGAAGGCTATCGATCTCGGCTACTGGCCCCTGTACCGCTGGAACCCTGACAATGAGGAGAAGGGCGAGCAGAAGTTCTCCCTTGACTCTGAGCGCATCAAGCGTGATCTTGAGGAGTTCCTCCGCCGGGACAACCAGCTTACCCAGCTTATGAACCGCCAACCCAAGTACGCCCCTGTGCTCTCCGAGTCTTATGGTACCGAGGTTCGTGCTTTGCAGAAGAGAAACGCCAAGGACTCCTACGAGAAGCTCTTGGATGGTCTGTTCGGTGCTCCTCTCACTATTCTCTTTGCCTCCGACGGTGGTAATGCTCAGAACATTGCTAAACGTCTTGGCAACCGTGGTCGCGCCAGAGGCCTGAAGACCATGGTCATGGCTATGGATGAGTTCCCTCTTGAGGACTTGCCCACCGAGGAGAACGTAGTCTTCATCACCAGTACTGCAGGCCAGGGTGAATTCCCCGTAAACGGTCGCAGCCTCTGGGAGCATGTCAAGAACACCGGTGATCTTGACTTGTCCACCATCAACTATTCCGTTTTCGGTCTCGGTGACAGCCACTACTGGCCCCGTAAGGAGGACAAGATCTACTACAACAAGCCTGCCAAGGATCTTGATGACCGTGTCGCCTTCCTGGGTGGCCGCAAGCTCACTGACATTGGTCTCGGTGATGACCAGGACCCAGATGCCTACCAGACCGGGTACTCTGAATGGGAGCCTCGCCTGTGGAAGTCTCTGGGTGTCGATAAGGTGGAAGGCCTGCCCGAAGAGCCTGCCCCGATCACCAACGAAGATATCAAGATCGGCTCTAACTTCCTTCGCGGCACCATTGCTGAAGCGCTTCTTGATGAGAGCACTGGCTCTATCCCCGCTAGTGATCAGCAGCTGACCAAGTTCCACGGTACATACATGCAAGATGACCGCGATCTCCGTGATGAGCGTAAGGCCCAAGGTCTTGAGCCTGCCTACAGCTTCATGATTCGCTGCCGTCTCGCCGGTGGTGTTGCCACCCCCAAGCAGTGGCTGCAGATGGATGCCATCAGTAGCTCACACGGTAACGAGACCATGAAGCTCACCACCAGACAGACTTTCCAGTTCCACGGTGTGATCAAGCGCAACCTTCGTGGTGCCATGCGTGCCATCAACAACTCCATGATGGACACACTCGCTGCCTGCGGTGATGTGAACCGTAACGTTATGTGCAGTTCTCTCCCCGAGCTTTCTTCCTTCCACCGTGAAACCTGGGCCATTTCTTCCAAGATCAGTGAACACCTGTTGCCCTCAACCTCTGCCTACCACGAGATTTGGCTGAAGGACGATAACGACAAGAAGGTTCAGGTTGCTGGAGATGCCGTTGTTGACCACGAGCCCCTCTACGGTCCTACCTACCTCCCCCGCAAGTTCAAGATCACCATTGCTATTCCTCCTCACAACGACACCGATGTCTACGCTCACGACATTGGTTTGATTGCCATCAAGGGCGCCGACGGCCACCTTGAAGGATTCAACGTCCTAGCTGGTGGTGGCATGGGTTCCACTCACAACAACACCAAGACCTACCCTCAAACTGGTCGCATGTTCGGATACGTTCCCGCTGACAAGGTCCACCTTGTCTGCGAGAAGATCATGCTCGTGCAGCGTGATAACGGTGACCGTAAGAACCGCAAGCACGCCCGTATGAAGTACACCATCGACGATATGGGTGTTGATGTTTTCCGTGGCGAGGTTGAGAAGCTTCTTCCCGATGGCCTCAAGTTCGGCGAACCCCGTCCGTTCGAGTTCACGTCCAACGTCGACACCTTCGGCTGGATTAAGGATGATACTGGTCTCAACCACTTCACCTTCTTCATTGAGAACGGTCGTATCGAGGATTCTGCTGATTTCAAGATGCGCACTGGTCTCCGCGAGCTGGCTGAGATGGGCAAGGGCGAGTTCCGTCTCACCGGTAACCAGCACCTAATGATCTCCCGCATCACCGATGAAGACCTCCCTGCCATCAAGGAGCATATGGCCAAGTACAAGCTTGACAACACTGCTTTCTCCGGCTTGCGTCTGTCTTCCTCTGCTTGTGTTGCCTTCCCTACCTGTGGTCTGGCCATGGCAGAGTCTGAGCGCTACCTCCCCGTTTTGATCACCAAGCTCGAATCCACCCTTGAGGAGTGTGGACTTGCTCGTGACAGCATTGTCATGCGTATGACTGGTTGCCCCAACGGTTGTGCTCGTCCCTGGCTCGCCGAGGTTGCCTTTGTCGGAAAGGCCTTCGGTGCATACAACATGTACCTGGGCGGTGGTTACCACGGCCAGCGCCTGAACAAGCGTTACCGCTCTTCGATTAAGGAGGATGAGATTCTTGACATTATGAAGGGCCTCCTCAAGCGCTACTCTCTTGAGCGTGATACCGACGGCGAGACCCCTGAACGTTTCGGTGATTGGTGTATCCGCGCTGGTGTCATCAAGGCCACCACTGATGGAAAGAACTTCCACGATGGCGTAAGTGATTCCTTCTACGATATCCACGATAATGATTCTAATGAGTTCCTACAGGTTGCCGAGGATGAGGAAGAAGAGTAAATGCTGAACACAGCAGTCACATATAATCTCCGATCTTTTATGACTCTCACGGGATCTCCCTTCTAATTGGATACTCTCACGTCTGTATCTCACGTCGCAATGCATTGATGTCTTGGCGATTGTATGATTTCATGCAAAAATGTTAGATTTTGTCTCTTTTCTTTTATTCCCTTGTGAATTTCAATCAAGTCTTCTCGTACATATACTCAAATGATATCATTTTCCTATTTACCTTAGGTTCACTTCAATTACAAAAATATCTTCTTACTCCCCTAGGGCCAAGAAAGAGACACTCCAGCCCTGGAGTAACCGTGGAATTAGGTCAGGGGGGCGCTGGTGAACCAACCCTGGTGATGCACCATTGACATCACCCAGACCTATTTGGCCTCATTCTTAAAAGCTTCCATGTTGACTTTTGACATTTCAAACACTTTCGTTAACGTCCAATCCAGCCCATTCAACAGGTTGATCAATATGAACTCGATTCTGACAGCGCCCTTCGCGCCACTGCTCTATCTAAGCCGTCGGTTTCGTCAAGACCCGGAGTGGTCGTATCGACAAGCACTAGGAAACACATTCATTAAAGTCTTTCTACGCATTTTCGTGGTATTTCGCACAAAGCCACCACTTTCTCTCAAGCCAGGTCTAGACGGGGACCGCTTCGTCGTGATAGAGCCCGGCCCACCAGAGCTCTATACCACCATCACAGTTGATGACGAGATCCAGCCAGTGGCAGTAGGAGGCACTTGGTTCCCATCACTCTACCAATACAACACAACAACCACCCAAGACAAGCACGTTGTACTCTATTTCCACGGCGGCTCCTACATCCTCGGCGACGGCCGCTCATCATCTTGCCAGTTCGTCGCCAACAGTTTGCTAAGCCACACACCAATAAGCCATGTCTTCAGCCTCCAGTACCGTCTAGCCTGCAACCCCAATGGCCGTTTCCCAGCCCAACTCCAAGATGCCATTTCCGCCTACTCATACCTACTCCACACCCTGCACATCCCGGCATCTCGCATCGTTTTCAGTGGCGACAGCGCAGGTGGCCACCTCGTCCTCGCACTCCTACGTTACATCATGGATTATGACGACGAGAAAGTCCTCCCCTCGCCAACGTGCTCATGGCTTTTCTCGCCTTGGTGCGATATCCCGGGCGCCCGCATCAAGCATCTCTGGCAAAACATCCCCAATGTGCGGACAGACTATATCCCACCCTCATTCCCCGCGTGGGGTGCGAAGCATCTTATCGGTAACCTACAGATCACTCCTGAGTTCGCGCCTTATCTCGCACCAATCTGGTACCCCTTTGTCCTCCCTTCGCCTGTTTTGATTGTTTCCGGTGGTAGGGAGGTTATGTGTCAGGAACATGATCGCTTGGCGAGGCACTTGAGTAAAATGCAGCAAAACGAAGGTCGAGTGGAGTATTTTGTGCAGGATCTTATGCCGCATGATATCATGATGGTTGCTTGGATTCTGAACTTTCGAAAAGAGGCTGATCAGTGTGCTGTTATGGCTGGGACCTTCTTGACGAGGATGCAGGCTTCGGAGGAGGATAGTACTACGGTTCCTTCTGTGGCTTATTAGTTATGATGATGTTGCTATGTATATCTATTAGAGGCGCCATATTGCTACATACCTGTGTACATATTGTACTGGATGGAACTTGATAAGACCGCATGAGTGTCGCTTAAGATCAAGATCTCCTGTGGACATTAAACGCAATTGTAAGCTTAGCCCTCTCGCTCTTGGGCGAGATCGATGTGGATAAGTTGTTTGAAGCTTCTGCGGGTGTCTATGAAGAATATCAGGTGGTTCTAGTGATCTTGCAGATTTGCAAGCAAATGAGGCTTCTTATCCTATACAAACAAATCTATCTCCTATATTTCCTCACACTCTACTCATCACCTCACCCTCTTTAGCCTATATTTATATACATAGTGCATAGTGCTTCTCCCTCACTTAAAGTATCACCAGCTGACCTTCCTAGTGCTTCACTCGCCGCTTCACCCTCTTTACGCAGTAGTTACACCTAGTGTACGTTGATTCTCTCACTTAAGATACGCTGCTCTCATTTGACGTCCTTACGCTAGCAGAAGGAAAAACCATCCAGCGTATCGCCACATTGTGGTCGATGCTACACGCCTGTCTCAGCTACCTATAGACAGAGACATCTCAGAGCTCGTTCCTTCGCAGAGCACCCCGGACTCTGAAGCTGACAACCCCCCAGCACCAGACACGGAGGATGATGCACTGCCCTAGGACAACCAGGAGCCGGAGTACACGGCCGTCCCAAACCACCAGCCGGATGTGGACGAGGAGAGGGCGCTTAGGAATATTATCCTTCAATCCCGTCCCTGTAGACTAGCCACCCGCCCCCAAGGCGTCGGCCACTAATCACCTCCGCCGCCTCACATTACAGCAGCTATTCAAGGATATCGCCAGGTACTCCGACGCGATTCATGGTACCCAGCTGTACTGGATGGCACGCCACCATAACCTCACGACATATGTGAAGCAACTTGGTGCGACGAACCTCTTCCTTACCCTTTCGGCCGCGGACCTTCACTGGAATGACCTTATGCGACATGGTGACGAGCTATACGTCTCGGAGGCGACCATCAGGGCAGGATACATCGGGCATCTTAAGGACGAACGGAAGTCTCCCATGAGGGAGAGCGAGTTTGTCAAGGTTCAGCAATGTGGTCCATATTAGATCCCGCTCAGAGATCGTGATAGCCTGTATCGGTCTAAAGCTCAAGTTGCCAGACGGGGAGGTCGAAAATGCAGGATCCATCGCTAGCTCTAGCATCCCCATGCGCGACCTGTAAACGTCCAAGCTGAAAGATCTTCCAAATATGGCCTAGTTGAATTACACGGCCAGAAGGTGAATCTGTCAGCTCATTCAGATTACGGGATATGGTACGGAATACACGAGAAGACAATAACTTGTTCAAACTACTGTAGCATAAAAACAAACAAAGCCCCGGGCACCGGACTACAATGTATAAAGGAAAGGGTAAGGAGGGATTTGAAATTGAACGAAAGTCGGTATAATAAGGCAATCCTAGGATAGGATGTATTTATCTGGCCATGTCCTTGCGTGGGTATAAAGTATATCCTAATCTAATTAGTCAAGTCAATACTAACAGGCGCAGTGTCTAGTAAACAAAAGCTAGAGGCGATAGGGGATGTGGGGCGAACGATGGGCGAGGCTTCAGCCTTAGGGCTCGTAAGTAATAATTTTGCGCTTACGATTCACCATATCAGATTACCATTTGGGGGTATTAATGAAGGTTGAGTTGCTGGAAAAATATAGGAGTATCGATGGCTAAGAGACCGCCCTTGGAATAGAACACGTGCCAAGCATTTAATTTTCTGCCTTGGAAGGCATAACCCCCAACCCCCTAAAATAATTCACTGCTCTACACCTCGCAGGCCAGAAGGAAAATGGCATTGTTTCTTTTCTCATATAGACAACTCTGATATTGCTAACACACATTGTCTCTAAGGGCATTTGCACATCGACTACATTTGACTACCATGGAGAATTAGAAGACGATGGTGCGCGTCATGATGACGCAATTATATTAAGCCAACTTCTTGCTCCTATAAAACAGGTCGCTGGATTTTCTGCTAAAACCATACTAAAAAAAGAGCATACAACATGGATAGGACATATATACCCACGCATTCGGCACCTGTCATACGCCTTATGGTCCTCGAGACCGACAAGCCTCACCCAGACACGTACTCAGAGCGCGGCTCCTTTGGCCAGATCATACACGCTCACTTTGCCAAAGCCGGACGCGCCCATCATCCGCCCCTAGGCGTACAGACAGATCAAGTCTTTGTAGTGTCCGAGCAAGGCGGCCATGTCCCCACTGTGCAAGATTTCGACCGCTTTGACGGGTTGCTCATTACGGGGAGCGTGTACGATGCCCACGCGAACAACAAATGGATCCTAGAGCTATTAGAGCTTCTTAAGACACTCTGGATCAAGCGCCCCGACTTCCGCTTCCTGGGCGTCTGCTTCGGTCACCAGCTCCTCGCCCGCCTCCTCGGCGGCACTATCAAGCCCGCACCCTCGCAAGACTGGGAACTCGGTCACTGCCGTATCAACCTGACACCCGTTGGCCAGCGCCTCTTCCGTACGCGCGAGGACCACATCCATTTGCACCAGATGCACCAGGACCAAGTTGTCTCGCCGCCTACGGCGGCCTCCGCCGGACCCGACATGCTCTCCCCGGATACCGAGGTCGCGTGCTGGGGCCATAGTGAGCATACACCTGTTCAGGGTCTGTACATCCCGAACCGGTTATTCACTACGCAGGCGCATTTGGCGTTTGACGAGGACATGGTGAAACGACAGATCCAGATCAGGGTGGATGGTGGTGGGATCAAAGACCTCGAGCATGCGGATCGAGCGGCGGAGACGGCGGATCTGGAGCACGATGGCGTCGAGGTTGCCAAGGCTATACTGCGGATTTTTGTTTATGATGATGATGGAATGAATTATGATCACGACTGTCCATGACTACGTATCAATCGGCGAGAGAGTCGAGTTATGGTACGCGGGTAATTATGTGTAATATAATTAGAATCCTGCATCATAGATACAGACATATACAGAAATGTATAATAGAGGACGACCCTCGCAAGCGAGGGTCTGTACTTTTTGTAAATAAGTGTTTCGTCCTGCAGTTTTGGTATGATGCATGATCTACTGTGCGTATTCCCTAAGTTCTTTCACGGCGCGTAACCCTCCTAGGTGTGTTTCGTGGAATCCATTCAGTCCTGGCTTAGTTCGAGGTCAGCCATTCACCGAACGAAGAAGCCTTACTTGGCGGATCTTTTCCTTCCCTTTAGTGACAAAGTGTCCAAATGAGCTTTCGGAGGGTGGAACCGCACAAGAGGTAGTAATCTGCGAGGACCGGAGGAAAGGGAACGCCAAATGCCCAAAACACCAAGGATGGGCGGGTGGCTAGGCTGGGTCTTGTGTAAAGCAACTTGGTCTCCGAAAATAATGCCGCACATCTGCTACCTATTGACAACAATGTCATCAATCCCAGTGTTCTCCTTGTGCAAAGCCATGGGTAAATTTGGCGAGGGGATAATGACTGTGTCGTTTGTTTTGATGTCATACTGCTTTTTGCTAGCTTTGATTGCATATTTATATGCGTTGGGCTTCCAATCAGGGTTGTTGTTCGGAATCGGACCTAAATATATGTTTAGTGTATTGGGTATATATCCTTATAATACGTTCAAGTTCTTCTTACTATACGTATAGCCAGGAAGAGGCTCACTCACTTGGTCCTTGTTCGTTGTACCGTCGCTTGGATGTCTCCGTGATTGCTTTTGCTAAAGCTTCTCCCGCAACTTGCGCCGTCCCGCGGAGCGCATGTCAAAATCAATTTGGATCATTTCCTTCATACTTTCTTTGGGGGGACTTTCTTTTTTCTCAAAAGTCCTTTTCTTCGGAGCCATTATGTGCGAGAAAGGCGATCTCAAAGTGCGAGTAAGATACATAAGACAGCAGCTAAAACTGTAGGGTTTTCAATATAAACAACAAAGTTAGTCGGCACATAAGCGGCCTTGCGATGTCTTCCCAGTTGGCTTTTCAGTGGTCTTTTCAGCGGTATGTTTAGTAGTCTTCTCAGATATCATTCTGTTTAGATAGGTAGACGGCAAAAAAAGGGTTCGTTTGTACAAGCAATTAGCACTTGGTATATAAATATACTATGATAAAGAGGCCCGTGGATGGTAACCTGTGTCAGGTGTGAACCTGGCATGTACCGTCGCTGATTTTGAAGTCCCGATATACCGATTACATAAGACACAGCCGAGCTGGGACCCGCCAAGGAATTGATCCGCATTCTCCACTCCCACCTTCTCCACCATGGCCATACCCGATACCTTCCAAGACTTTTATATAGGGCGCGCTACTGACACTAAAGAGAATCTCGCCAGCCGTGAGTTCCTGATACACTGTCCGCCGGATGTACCGCCTCGTCATCGAATTGTGGCTCTTTTGGGCATCTCAATGATGCAAGCCGGCCTAGTGAAGACGGTGGTTTATATCAAATTTCTATCTTTTTCCACTATCTCCTTGCGTCGCGATTCCGCATGAGTATTTCATCGTCTTGCTTGCCACATTTTACCTGCCCACTAACACGCTAGGCTTACTAGTACAAACCAAATATGGAAGGAGCCAAAGATGGGACATGTTACTCGCCCAAAATGTCAATACCACTTCAATTTACGTTAAGCTACAATTGGGAAGACCTTCACAGTACCTCGTGCTTGCATTGGTTGAGACATTGGGGCCCTGGGAAGCCATTAAAACCCATATAAACGTGATGGCTGTGACGAAGGCCTAGTGCCGGTTCATCTTCCGTGCATGGCAAGGTCATCGAGTCTCTTATGACGATGGCCTAATCAGGAGACAGCACCCATTCAGAAGCTTGAAACAGGGGACTTTCTGGTCGAAGCAAAACCAAAAACATACAACAGTGAGGATTCGCTGGTGGTCACCCACCCAACTACTAACTCACCGGCGTGTGGCTTAAGTACGGCTGAGCGGACGGGAAGCCCTGTTTTCCACACCCTATGGTCGTATGTACTAGTTTATGTTTGAGGGGGAACTATAGAATGCAAAGAGTTGATGATTAGTGGTGGTGTACAGTATGATGGGAGTAGGAGTATAGATGGGGTAAGAATGAAGCTACTTCCAGATCTATACATATACAAGAATCATTTGAAACAATCATCTATGTCTAGTTACATATATCATGTTTTAACTACACCGCAGTAGAGACCTATTGCTGGACGACGGGGCAAGATTCTCGAAAAGGTGATCGGTTGCCTCTTATAGACTAGCGGCACTCTAAATGCCATACAGAATGGACACTGAAGATTCCTGACTTATTTTGTTCTTACTAGCAAGCATATTGGTTGTGGTTGGTATTGTATTTATCGCAAAACATTATAGTTTCCGATGTTGGTGAGCTCAACTTGGTTTAGGTGCTCGCGTTTCCGTAAACAACCAAACTCTTAGAACAAGTAGTCTCTACACAATATTTGTAGCCACTAAGAGCGAGACCCTCTCCACTACTATATATAGTTATCCATCTAAGCGTGCCAAGTGGGGAAAATGACCTTCATCAATATGTACCTCTGAAAAATTCCTGGTCGAACTGTGAATGCTAGCCATCATACGGCTAGTTCAACCATGGAGAATTTGTCAGTGTTGCTCAAAAGTCTATTGACTAAATTTGGACACTCTACTGGTCAAATTAAACTTATCCCGATACACTACTCAGCTCCCTCCTGAATCTATTCCCCTCGACTTCTTCCTCCTTTCCCCTCGCCGCTGATGAATAACCATTGGCGGGGGCTCGGACATTTCCAAAAGAACCTGGGATCCAATTGGATGGCCCTGATGGATCGTGGGGTGCAGCGAACAGCTTCGACGATCTGTGCATTAGTGAATGACTCGTTGGATCATGTCACGAATTGGCTCGTGCTGCCATGGTTCAAGTCTCGGTGCCATGCCCATGCCGCTGTTGCTGCTCAAGGTCCTCCGCACCAGCCCATAAAGTCACAAGCCCAACCCACCCCAACCTGAAAATGGGCTGGACTTTTATGGGAGCCCAATGGGCCTCAAGCAATACAAACATGGCAATTCTTGGCAGATCCAGAAGTAATGCAGATTGTTCCAGTATGTTTGGGAATTTAAATTGCCCCCAAGTTGACCGAATTTTCTATAGGAATCAAGTCAATTGACTAAATTGACTATAGATAAGATTAATGGAATCAACGAGATTGATAAGATTACTTAATGAGATAGTATCCAGTCAGGTTTCACTATATTGGCTATCTAAATTAATAGAAAGATGTACTACCTACTTCCCAGTCTATATGAAATATATATCTACACATTGATAACCCATCGCCTATTGAACCCCTATATTAGGCTAGATTATGAGAGCTTTCGAGGTAAGCTTACCGACTAGAACTTGCGTAAAAAAACAGGCATTAATCAGTAGGTCTATGAGCACCAAGACTATATTTATGGATAGAAATGGGCTTCATTGGGAGCCTCATGGGCCCCCACTAATGGACCGTGTGCCTGGTTGGGCTCGAAGGTAGGGCCCAAACCGGCAAGGAACGGCGCGGGACGGACCACGTTCCCTGACCTCCACCCGGCCAATGGCATTTTATCTCTTCCCGCCCGCTGCTGCGCCTTGCTTTTAGCACGAAGCTGAGCCCAGCTGACAATGGCATCCGCCGTCTGTTCTGTTTCCCATGCCATCTCGGTGTTCTTCTCATCGAGATATAGCAGATAATACATCAATATCTGCAACTCTCTTTTGCCATCTTTCCAATATTAGTCGCTACCTACATACCTTTGATTCCTATCTTAACTAGATCAGGTCTCCGAGATGGCCCATCCCCCACTTGAAAGGTTCCAGATCGGTTGGATATGTGCCCTGGCAATCGAAGCTGCCGCCGCTAAGGAAATGCTAGATGAAAGCTTTGGCATTCTCGACGCACAAGATCCAAACGACTCAAATACCTATACCCTAGGTCGAATTGGCAACCACCACGTCGTGATTGCCTGCCTTCCAGGTGGCCAATATGGAACTACATCGGCCACGACTGTTGCGAATAACATGGTTCGCACCTTTTCGAAATCCCTCCGGATTGGACTGATGGTCGGTGTTGGCGGTGGAATTCCGTCGGCTGCTCATGATATTCGGCTTGGTGATGTTGTGATCAGCTACCCTGAAGGCACTTCTGGCGGAGTGCTTCAATACGATATGGGCAAATTCGTTTCGGAAGGACAGTTTCATCGAACTGGGTCTTTAAACAGCCCTCCTAAGGCCCTGTTAACAGCAAGCAACTTGATGAAGGCCGCCGAGCTCACGGATGATCCTCGTTATTTTGAATACCTCCTCAAGGCGATCGCTAGAACGGCACGCACTCGAAAGAACTTCGCCCGACCACAACAAGACCGACTTTTCAAACCTGAACACGTTCATCCTACGACTGCGAGCACTTGTGATAATTGCCTAGCAGTATGGGAAGAAACGCGAAGTGAACGTGAGACTACTGATCCACAATCACACTACGGTATCATCGCATCTGGAAATGCTGTTATCAAGGATGGATACGCACGCGAGCAGCTTAGGCTAAGCACCGGGGCATTATGCGTTGAGATGGAGGCAGCTGGCCTGATGATGGACTTCCCTTGCATTGTCGTCCGTGGCATCTGTGATTACGCCGATACACATAAGAACAAGGAATGGCAAGGATATGCAGCCCTAGCAGCAGCATCATATGCTAAGGAGCTGTTAGGGTATATACCTACAACCCATGTGTCGCGAGAGAATTTGGTGGTAGACGTGTGTTGTAAGTAAAAATCTTTAATTTATTCGTATAGAATGACGAGTGGCTGACTTGTATAATAAGCAGGACTAAAAGAAGAAGTCGAAGGCGTCAACAAGCGCTTAGACCGAGCATACGACCAACAAGAACAGCACCATAATGAGCAGAAAACAAGAGATTTGACGGATCAGCAACAACGTTGCCATCAAGTGTTCAAGATAACCAACTATGAGGAGCAAAAGAACATCAATCCGCAAAAGGTGGAAGGAACATGCCAGTGGGCCCTACAGAATCCTGAATATACTCGCTGGTGGGAGAGCCGCTGCAATGATCTTCTATGGGTATCAGCCGACCCAGGCTGCGGGAAGTCTGTGCTAGCCAGATCGATCATCGACGATCAAGTGAGAGCTTCAAGTTCAAGAGTGACCGTATGCTTCTTTTTCTTCAAAGAAAACGACAATCAGAACCGTCTTGATATAGCATTATGTTCGGTACTGCATCAACTCTTTAGCCAGCGGCCTCACCTCTTACCTTACGCTATGCCGTCCTGGGAGAAAAACGGGAAGAAACTCCAACAAGAGGCTGATGAGCTTTGGCGGATCTTTACAGCAGCCGTATCAGCTGACGTATCACATAAGACAATTTGCGTATTCGATGCACTGGATGAATGTCGTGAAATGGATCAGGAGCGACTAATTGAGAAGCTCCAGTTCTTTTATCGCTCTTCATCAAAGACTGATACCTGCTTGAAATTCCTAGTTACCAGTCGTCCCTACGATCATATACAGGAAAATTTTCGAGCAATCACTGATTCTTTCCCGCAAGTACATATAAAAGGAGAGGAAGAAAATGACCAAATTCACAAGGAGATCGACCTAGTGGTGAAAATTCGAGTGAAAGAATTAGCCGAAGCAGTGAAACTATCAATGGAGGACTACCAGCGAGTCGAACAGCAGCTGCTTCAAATGGAACACCGTACTTATCTCTGGCTATATCTAGCTATTGATGACATCCACACTACCTTTAAGCGCAGCCTTCGGCCTACAGAGAGTTCTATCAGGCTGGTACCGTCATCTGTGAATGCAGCATACGAAAAAATCCTCTGCCGAGTCCCAGGCGATCAAATGGATACAGTCAAAAAGATCTTAGAGATTATCGTGGCAGCACGACGTCCCCTGACAATACGGGAGATGGCTATAGCCCTAGGCATTGCTACCTACCCGGAGGCCCAGACAACAGTGGAGGCTAGGCTAGATGCAACTCATCTAGAGGGTAAAATTCGGCAACTATGCGGCTTATTTGTCTTTACCAATAACTCCAAAATCTATCTCATCCACCAGACTGCCAAAGAGTTTCTGATACGAAAAGATTGCTCGGAGAAGCTCCATCTTACCTATTGGAGCGGTCTAAGTGATGCAGAAAATCAGATGGCTGACATCTGTTTGCGATACCTATTGATGGAGGATTTGGAAGACGACCAAGGCAACTCTAATATTCAAGCCTTCTTGCAATACTCAGCAGTACATTGGGCCGATCACGTACGGCAGATGCGAAAAGAGAACGATCGACTGCATCGAGTATACGATATGAGTGAAAACCGGTTTTCTTTGTGGTTTCCTATCTTTTGGAAGGCAGTAATGCCCTACATAAACCAGCGATCAATGGATGCACTCAACCTGGCAGCATTTAACGGCCATTACCAGGAGGTTAATTTTCTACTTGCTATCAAGAAACAGGATGTCAATACGACCGACGATGCGGGAATAACCCCCTTGATATGGGCCTCACGGAATGGACACGACGAGATCGTGCAGATACTGCTAGAACAAGGAGCCGATGTCAACGCCCAGAGCGAACGCTACGGAGGTGCGCTCTGTGCCGCTTCTGAAGGAGGACACGATAAGACCGTGCAGATACTGCTAGAACAAGGAGCCGATGTCAACGCCCAGAGTGAATTTTACGGAAATGCGCTCTATACCGCTTCTAGAAGAGGACACGATAAGGTCGTGCAGATACTACTAGAACAAGGAGCCAATATCAACGCCCAGGGTAGATATAGCGAAAATGCGCTCTGTGCCGCTTCTAGAAGTGGACACGATAAGATCGTGCAGATACTACTAGAACAAGGAGCCGATGTCAACGCCCGGGGTGGAATGTACGGAAGTGCGCTTCAAGCCGCTTCTTCTGAAGGATACGATAAGATCGTGCAAATACTGCTAGAACAAGGGGCCAATATCAACGCCCAGGGTAGATATAGCGAAAATGCGCTCTGTGCCGCTTCTGGAAGAGGACACGATAAGATCGTGCAGATACTACTAGAACAAGGAGCCGATGTCAACGCCCGGGGTGGAATGTACGGAAGTGCGCTTGAAGCCGCTTCTTCTGAAGGATACGATAAGATCGTGCAAATACTGCTAGAACAAGGAGCTAATATCAACGCCGATAGTAGAGCTTACGGAAATGCGCTCCAAGTCGCTGCTGAAGGAGGACACGATAAGACTATACAGATACTACTAGAACAAGGAGCCGATGTCTACGCCCGGAGTAGAATTTATGGAAATGCGCTCTATGCCGCTTCTAGAAGAGGACACGATAAGGTCGTGCAGATACTACTAGAACAAGGAGCCGATGTCAACGCCCGGGGTAGACATGGCGAAAATGCGTTCCAAGCCGCTTCTGAAAGAGGACACGATAAGATCGTGCAGATACTACTAGAACAAGGAGCCGATATCAACACCCAGGGTTGTGACAACGGAAATGCGCTCCAAGTCGCTTCTGTCATAAATTTGAGATGATGCGGCCATAAGCCACTTAATCCTTGATCATCATCTTGAAATCATATTTACTGTACTTTATACCTTGACTCCTTCTTCAGTCGCCTCACATTCTGTGGTTAAGAACCGGCCTTTTCTGTCATTTACCATACCAGTTGTCTATCCCAGCCACCTACTTTAAACCATACGGATAAGGAAGGGTACTGTAATGTAACCTACCTAAGTGTATCTTGCTTAGTATTGTCATTTTCATTCAGCTTCAAATAGCCATGGAGTCAAAGACTATCCATATCCCGTGATGTAATAGTTTCGGGGAACAACCTTAGAAGGAATGGTTTCCCCAAGCTATAGTACGTTTAGCAAGATCGGTGCCAGTCGATCAGTGGTATCACCGGAAAATATCTCAACCAACAACATGACCACGCGTTTGATATCCTCTAACACGAATCCTGCGAGGACGAGGGCTCCCCGGAATTCATCCTGGTTTCATCCGTGGATTATTCTAGAGCTTATGCCAAATGACCGTCATTAAAATGCGGTGGCTAGTGTTCCGCATAAGCGGCCTTGTCATATCTTTTTAGTGGTCTTCCAAGGTTTCCAGTGGTATCTCTAGTAGTCATCTCAGAGATCACTCTGTTTAGATAGGCCGACAACAAAAAAAGGCGGGAAAGGTCTGGAAAAGGCTTAATTTGTGAAACGAACTTTTCAAAGTATAAGCTGTGATGATATGATGGATATGATATGTCTCTATCAGGATGGGTCTATTACATCAGCCTATCAACAACATTGAATGGATCTCCCGAGGTCCCTAGTTCCTTCATCTATTAGGAAAGTCTAACCCCACTAGGATCCCTACCCAATATTATAGCCACCGTATACATCAATTCGATGGGCCTCTATGATCTATATCATGCGCTATAGCTACATATCCTATGAGGGATGCTGGATATCGCAGTCTATCAGTGGGTTTTTGTGGAATGAAATACATATAGTTTATTATATCAGGGTACCTTACAAAAAGAATCCAGCCTGAAAATCATGCATGGATGAACACTCATCATTGTCGAAGGGTTCAATATGGAAAACATCAGAGCAAAGCTGCGATTGCGGCAGCAACCATAGGAGCAGCTGTGATCAATGCACCGGCAGGTCCAGCAGCCGCAACACCGGGTGTCTCGGTTGCCGCGGGGGCCGTGAATGAGTCCACTGCTCCAGTGACGTCCAATCTCCAGTAGCTGCTGGTTGCCATAGAAGGGCTCGCCTGGCTAGTGGATGAAGAGGCGGTAGTACCCCCTCGTACAACTCCACCCATACTAACACTCATGGTGCAGCTGACAGATTCGGACCAAGATTTGAAAGAGCAGTCATATGTCTCGGTGATGGTAACATCGTAACCGTCTGTGCCTGATTTGGTGGCGATATATTGTGCGGCGAGGTTGACAGTCTCTGGACCTTGGGTAATTGTCCACGGGGTGGCAATATTGCAGTCTGATTTGGCGGCGCCATCTAGACAGGCGACATGGTATGTGGTGGCCTTGGCATTGATACCAGCGACGCTGGCAGCATAGCTGGTAGCACCCCAGAGCTTGTTGTCCCACTCTGGGGAGAAGATTCCAACAGTGGTGCTAGAGCTGTCACCCTTGGCTTGAACGCCGAGTGATGCGAGGAATGCAGCGGCAACGATAGAGGTACGCATACTGATGGATTGTTTTCCAAAAATTTAAGGGAAGTGAAGGAGAAGGGCGAGTCTGAATTAAAAGTCCAAGATGCAGGAGCAAACCATTGGCTTTAAATCAAAGCAAACCAAGCTACTGTAAGTCTTCGCTTACAATATATCCGGCAATTCTAGGCGACCGAGCTAGGCTTGTATAGACTAGGCAGGTACTAGTAAATTGTGCTAGAGTCTGACTCATTTTACATTATCCACCCATTGGACGTTGGAAATTTGGGGCTGAATGAGAATAAGACTAACATTCGGCTACATTGCTAGCGTTACAACGGAGTAGTAGAGAAGATCCATTTTAGGGAACGGGCCCCGCTGAAGTTATACACTAAAAGGGTTGTTACGATGATATACAATAATTACCACTATTATAGCGCACATTTGATTTACATACACTGAAATTATAAAGTGCATAGTGGTAACTTCTATTGAAATATGGGCACATGTGCTAGGTGCTAGTACTGTATATTGAGTTGTTTTTGCTGGTAACTGTCAACTGATGATATTACCATCTAATTTGGAAACTTTTAGTCATTTCTCAAGTTCAGAATATCTGAATTACACTCTGAGCCTTAGGCTAATATCTACTATAGTATAGCTACCTATACATTGAGCTGGACTTTTTGAACTCTTATCTATCAGAGCTTGTGCTTGTACCTACATAGGTAATTCCACCTGAGCAATTACTGGGCTCCTTAGTAATTCAACTTCAGATCTATTTTTCTGTCTCTTCCCCGGATTTTGTTTGGTTACAAGAACTAGGAAATGCTGTCTTTCCCATATTGCAGCGATTTGTTTGTCAGTGACCAGGCAATGTCCAGCCTTGGACCTTCTTCAGACATGAACCCCAAAAATATCCCTTTGCTCTTCCAACTGTTGATCTCTTTTCTCTCAACTCTCAAACCAAGATCCTGTACCCATCCCAACTTGCAACCTGGACCGAGGCTCCTATTCTTGATATTATCAGATTCATCCCATCGATCAACGCCGTGATCTCATACGAAATTGTTGGCCACGGTCTAACTGTCCCCCCGCTCACTCAGCGCGTCAACGCGCTGAGAACATCGGGAAAGACCCTGAGAATTCGAAGCCACGTACACCCATATTGCCACTGGGCACTCGTCTACCCACGGTCGAGGCCTAAAATGGCGCCCATACCAGGGGTGATCCGCGAAGAAGTTCAATTTACGAACCAGTACCGCACAGACTGGGTAGGCTACAGCCCGTACACCAAGACTAATGACATGCGCACTAGCTACAGTAAGCTGGCAAACATCTCTCACGAGCTCCATGATAAGTCAGTGGTTATTGCCAGCGTTCTTTTTGCGATTATTGTGGTGGGCATCATTTCCCACTTTTGCTGGGGAAGACACAGGTATGCGATGAATGCCCTATTTGTGGTTGCGCAGGGCACTGATCTCAGTTGGTCCTGCAGGTATCCGCGACAAAACGTACCTACCGAGGATAAGATGAAAACAGAGGGCTCTGAGTATCTGGATACAATTGAGGAACCCCGCTCAGGTGTGTTGAGACATACATACATCTTGCCGTCCACCCGGCTCATGAGTTATAGATGGCTGGATGTGTTTCATTCTGGCCTGCCACGCTGCCATTACCCTCGGTGCTGTCTGATGCGGAAGAACATATCGAGCTGCTGAGGAATAAGACAGTCAGATGAATATCTACTGTTCTTTGATAGGCTAGCGGTTCTTCGTGGGACTGCAGTTGTTTCGTGGCACTGGATTTAGACTACAAGTCTGGTGCTCGTAGCCTGAGCCCAATGTGCCGACTTATCTATGAAACTGGATCAAATATTGGTTGGCCCGTTTACTGTATTTATGCTTTGGGGAAACCCACCACTTAGTATAATCCCGACAGAGGAAGTGATGTGTAGCCTAAATCATTGCCAGCAACAGAACATGTTGCCTAGCTCCATAGCATTTATATACATCGGATTTTCAACCGATGATGCCCAGCAGCCGCTCTGTTAAAAGTTCCGAGAGTACTGTACCCACAGTTGTGTTATCCGGTAGGGAATGAGCTAGTCAAAGTCACACATTTTGATGGTAAACACGTTAATATGGTTAAGAATAGTCGTCCGCAGAAGCGGCGTTATGATGTCGTTTCGGTGGTCTCTCAGTTTTATAGATCGAAGGCAAAAAGATGCGACAAAAGGCTTTGTGTAATGGACATTCTCTAAGTATACTCGGAAAGAATACAATAACCCTCATTTGCCTAGATATGGGTATATGCACTTCCATATATGCCAACAGATATCGTTTGACTACTTTGTACAAGTAGACATGGATACTATTAAGTCCAAAAGACTAGAACAAATATAACGAAACACAAATGAAGGAACCCAAGATATTCCTGTCCAGAACGATAATAGACAAATGTCTAAGACCCGTTTCGGGAGTTGAGACATTTAGAAATAGAGAACAAGACTATCACCATTCATGGGGGTCGTACCTAGTCCATCAGAGAACATGATGTTCACAGCGATCGTTTCCACCCATAAGATACGAATCGAAGGTCAAGGTCGGGCCGCAATATGCCTTTTCATCAAATTCATCGACCGGTTTCAGCTTCAACCATCCATCCCGAGAACTACCAGCAACCATGCGTAGACACTTGGTATCGCCATCTCTGCAATACTCTTTGTTATCCTCGCTGGTCGTGTAATCCTTGGTGGCGTGGGAAATCGCGTCGCGCTGTGCTTTGATGTCGCACTCTGGGTTGACAGACTGCCAGGACCATTTCATGTTCTCGTAGGTCCCGCTCATCAAACTGCAGGTTTCTGGGTTGTAGAGCGTTTGGATGGTGCTTTTCAACGATTTCACCCATTGAGATACATAGCCTGTGACTGCAGTTGGTGTCTCGGCGAGATCCTCTGGCAGTGCTGCGATAGATGATGGCCATATGGAGGCTAGTGTTGGGGTTGACAGGCAACACGCTGCGATCACAACGTTCGACAATAACATGGCGAGACTGTTGAAGATCGATAAACAATTACAAAATAGCTAGATCGTCCACAGGACTCTTTAAAAGACTATAATATCTACGCAGGATGTGGTATTTATACCCCGTAGATTCAAATTGGACGGGGCTTCTTAGACCGATCCACATCTCATTGTATGGAGGTGGATCCTGATCCTCCCATATTAAATGAGGTTCTGGTTATAGGTAGGGTCACCTGGAGTCTACTAGACCTGACTTTGAGCGATGGATCAATGTCTTAGCAAGCCAAATACACATCTACAGGATCGAATATTTAGCCAAACAACTCTTTATTGACGTGCAAATCCCAAGAGATCTGAGAGTAGTCTAGCTAATTTGTGTTATCCTGCTCAATCCTAACTATTTCCATCAATCGAAATCGCACCAGTCGTCCAACCCCGAGCACACCCGACCCACGCCATGAGATCCGCGTAGGATTTGTCGTGAGGCGCATGCAATCGCGTTGGCCACATTTTGTCTCATATCATGCGTGTCTTACATGATTGCACCGACATTGTAAAAGATGCCGACGTCTTGGTTTCTATGGAAGGGCTCATCACCCTTCCTGGTTAGTTGGTCTTTGTGACCGATTCGATGGTGACCCAGCTGGGTTCCGATGGGACGAATACGCCCGCCCGTTCTAGGCTGCCCTGATGTCCCGCTTTCCTTGCGACTACCCCATCGTGGGGCATTTCTATGTCGACTTCTCTATTGGTTGCCCTGATCCTAGGGAACCGCTTAAATCATGACCGATAGGTCCTGGGGTTGGCTGCAATCCGGCTAGCCCTGATCCCCTTTCGTTGCGACTACCCCGTCTGGAGGTACGTCGACTTGGCTGTCGTTGGTTGCCTTAATAAAAAGGAACCGTAGGTGTCTGCTGCTGCAGACGGTTTGCTGGCGCGAGCGATTCTGATGCCCTCAAGTCATGGTGGCGGGTTGGTGTGAGGATAGACGAATGGATTGACAACAATGAATAGAAAATAGGAGGATTTGAGCAAGGGGTGCCTCTCCCACGCTAGGAAGGCATCGAGGTGGAATTGGCGTGCTCGATGATGACGGAGGCTGGAAGAGCCTCGACGTCAGAGGAGGGTGCCTCGTGATGAGAGGAAGGATAGCATGGTAGCTCTCTCGGCACAACTCGATGGTCCTCAAGAAAAAAAAACAGAAGAACACAAGGGGGAACCGGAGGGATCTCAAATTAAACCAACCGGCTCTTTGTGGGTGAGTAAGCAATAGCGGTGAAATGATAGCTGTCTTTCTGCCATCTCCCCGCCGATGAATTTCGATAAAAAAAAAGTTATCAGTTGAAGTTGTTCGTCTTGGGCCAATCATTGCAAGTTCCCTGGTTTTTTTGTCACTCATTGTTTATCCAAGGTACTTCCTCGCCTTATCGCCATGACTTTTTCCGATGACGACCCTGTCGTCGCCTCCTACGACGTCCTCCTCACTGACTCGGATGCCTCTCGCTATGTCTTCCAATACGTTGACCGAGAGCACGACCGTCCTTACAATGACCAAGCAAACCAACGGCCAATTCAACTTCGAATCAAACCGCGCACCGGTCTTATCGAAGTTGAAGTCCCCATCAGCACCCGGGAAAACTACGACGTTAACAAAGGAATGCGCTATGGTGATGCGGTAAATAAGAGCCGTTCCGCGCGCGACGGAGGCGCTTATGGTATGGCAGGCGGCTTCACTGCTGGCAGTGGAACTGCAGCTGCAGGGGCAAGAGTCAAGATGGAAGGGAATGGGGACGTGGAGATACTGGATAATAAGAGGGCTGTCGACTCTGCATCATTGCTGCGAGTGCAGTCACTTGGAGGTCGGATAAAGCCTTCCGAAGAAGGCGATCCAGTTTACATGCTGGCCACCTTCACAGATAGTACGTTGATTCTACTCGATCGATTTCTTTTCTGGTGGCAGCATTCAATTCTAACACCCGGTCTTAGAAAACTTGCACCTCTCCCCTGTCACATCGGTTGTCCAGTTCCACCCTCAGCTTCACCACCTAGATGCTTTGGATGAGATGCCAAAAGGGAAAGGTCGTAAAAAGGATGACGATGACCGTCCTGCTGAGAGCGAAGCACGGGCAATTGATATTAAAGTCAAGGCCGCTGAAGATAGCGAAGCAGCTGCAAACGCCGGCAATCTAGACCTTCTTAAGCAAATGCAAGATGAGAAATGGAAAACATATGGCTGGGTTGATGCTGAGGTATGGTCTCGTTTTGATGGATCTTGATTACGCTTTCCCGCTAACATTTACTGATCCCAGGCCGAGGATTCTTGGTACACATATGAGAGCTATATGATTCACAAGGATACTGAAAACCTCCCGTCCCTAGAGTCAAACATTGAGTCGGAAGAATATCTCGATAAAATGAGCGCTCCTAGGATTGATCCCGCCCGCCCCGACTTGACTGGTTGGGCCATGAAGGAAAATCGTCGGAGGCAAAAAAACAACCGAGCAGGTAATGAAGCGGAATAGGGGGTTAAATTGTACAATAATTCAAATCACTCTTCTAGTTATTATCAGAAGCATTCAAATCCAAGAATCACGCCTGCATCACATCTTAAGAAAGGGACACGCGAAACTCTTGCCACTTATACTTGTCTGCCAATCACGATAAGAGAAATGGAGGTCACGTGCCAGTTCGGTTTTTCTGCCATCTCCGTTTTGTCGCGATAGGTCCGATAAATCTCCCTTTCTCCATTGTCTTATTTTTCTTCCTTTCCCGTTTTTTCAGTTGGGACGAGGGTTGCAGGACGTGTCAACGCGATCATTATCCGTCCTTTATAGCGGAATCGCATTGATCTCACTCAACATCTTTGCGTTCTGTTTTTCTGCCTTTCATCGTTGGAAGTTTGCATCTATCTTATAATTTCAAAGTTACCCTTAATATCGTCTTTCTTTTGGAGTCATTATATTCATTCGCTTTCAATCCTCGAGTTACAAGACCCAAGAACACCAATTTCATGCACCATGTTATCCCGCGTGGCTTGTCAAAAAAATGCCTTCCTTCATTTGCGGCGGACTCAGGTCTGCCGGCCATCGTTCCATCTGCCAACAACACGTTTTCACTCATATTCGAGTAATCGGAACCCGCTTTTGAATCTATCGTCCAGTTCGATTCATGATCGCTCGCGCAATCCGTCTCCACAATCAGAACGTCACCTTGCTACAGCCGCCGACCACTCAAGCATCGACGGGCACTCGCCGGATACTTACGACCCCTTCATGCACATGCCGTTCGAGAGCTTCGATACATCATCCCTAATCATTCTCGACTCAACGCCACAATCGCAATCGAAAGTTTTCCGCAGGAGGCATGGCATTGGCGGTGATGAAATGGAGATGAAGGCAAATCTAGAGCTCTCATTGAAGATTGGGGAGTTCGAGCGAGCCTCTAGTTTGATTGGTCGCCTTGGCCATTATCACCCGCCTGGATCGGATGAGTATCTCCTTATTCATAACCGTTTCATGAAACAGATGGTGGCATATATGATTATCAACCGACAGCACGATATGGTTCTGCCCTTGCAGAAGTGGTTTGAAGTTGATATGCCTGCCGGTGGCGTGACACCGGATGCAATCAGTTTCGCGATTATGATCCGAATGGCGCTGCGTATGCTTCATGGATCGAAGCGCGATAGAACTGTCCGTCGATACTGGGAACTTGCCCAAAATGCAGGATTGGAGGAAGAGCTTGTTGGCGTTGAGGTCCTTGAGGACTCTGACGTTGGTGAGCTATCTAAAGTGAGCTTACCCTTCTACTCTATACCCCGGAATCTTACTAATGTTCCCAATCTAGATTTGCTCCTCCGACATGTTAGACTTGGTTTCAAAATATATGGAACTCTCCGAAACTACTGAACTGCCTTCCGCCATTGTCGATGATACACCCCAGGTCCAAGCCGCTGAGCAAAGAGGATTGGGACTGGTTTCTCTGAAACAGTCGCTGTCCCTCTTTTCCGGTAATGGTGATGTACGCTTGCCCGAAAATTTTGCAGGCACCGAAGAAGAAGGAAAGCAATTGTTATCGGAGTTGAGGCAAACGCGACTCGAAACCGATAGTCTTGATTCGGCCCTCTGGCGTTGGCGGTCAGATAATGCGGAGAGACAAAAATCCGGTTTTAACGCCGCTTCGAATGAGAAAAAGCTCAGCGGAATCATGAGCCAATGGCACGCGGACCTTGTTGCAAGAATCAAGAAGGAGCTTGTCCTCGTTGACGAGGCACTTGCGACACGTATCATTAGCGTTGAACAAAAAGAGCGCTGTGAATATGGTGTGTTTTTGCGAGCCCTCGATCCCGACCGGTTAGCTGCACTCACTCTCTTGTCTGTGATGTCTGTTTTCAGCCGGCAGGGAATGGACAAGGGAATCAAGCTTTCCGCCCTTGCTTCAATAACCGGAAAAGAGTTGCAAGATGAACTTATTGCCGACAACTATCTGAAAAAGAACAAGGCTATGGATCCGAATCGTCTCAAGGCACTGAAGCAGGTACTCGCAAACCGCAAAGACAAGCAAGGCCGACTTCGATGGCAATCGCTCGTTGAGAAGATCACTGCAGAAGATGAATCTGTAATCTGGGGCAGTCGGACACAGGTCAAAATCGGTGCTGTTTTGATGGGCATGCTAGTCGAAGTGGGGAAAGTCGCGGTTTGGGCAGAGGATCCTGTCACCAAGAAGAGAACCCTCACTATGCAACAAGCCTTCGACCATTCTTATCAGATTCACTTCGGGAGAAGATCTGGTCATATCCACATGAACTCCAAGCTTGTTGATATTGTTGCCAGGGAGCCACCCCCTGAGCTGTTGGCCCGTCACCTTCCTATGGTCTGCAAACCTAAACCGTGGACGGGCCCACGAACTGGCGGGTACAAGATATACGACTCCAACCTAGTGCGCACTACTCCTGGTGAAACACTACAACCGGCCTACCTCAAGGCTGTCTTGAAAGATGATGGATTGAAAGAGATCCGGACAGGCCTTGATGTTCTCGGTTCCACTGGGTGGAAGGTCAATGAACAAGTTTTCGACGTGATGCTTGAAGCTTGGAATGGTGGGGAGCCTATTGGAAAGCTTGCCCCCTTGAACCCAGACCTAACGGCACCAGAACAACCGAGTCCAAACGCCGACTACAAAACCCAAAAAGAGTGGCACCAAAAGGTTCGTGAAGTCGAAAATCTTCGCTCTGGATATCATTCCGTTCGATGCTTCCAGAACTTCCAGCTTGAGGTTGCGAGAGCCTTCCGGAAAGAAGTCTTCTATCTTCCCCACAACATGGATTTCCGTGGGAGGGCTTACCCACTCCCTCCTTACATGAATCAAATGGGGGCTGATAATTCAAGAGGATTGCTTCTTTTCGACAAGGGAAAGGCACTTGGGGTATCTGGTATGCGCTGGCTGAAAATTCAGATTGCAAACTTGTTTGGATTTGATAAGGCTAGCATGTCTGAACGGGAGCAATTCACAATGGACAATTTGGATGATGTTCTTGACTCTGCCAACGCGGGACTCCACGGACGACGGTGGTGGCTCCAGGCTGAGGACCCATGGCAGCTTTTGGCAGCATGCTGCGAACTCCGGAATGCCTTGCAGCTCCCTGATCCCACAGAATATATCTCCCATCTTCCAATTCACCAAGATGGCTCTTGCAATGGACTTCAACACTATGCCGCTCTGGGTGGTGACAGTGTCGGCGCCCAGCAGGTCAATCTTGAACCATCCGATCGCCCTTCAGACGTCTATACCGGTGTGTGCGAATTTGTGAAAGAAGCCATCGCACAGGACGCAGCCAATGGTGACAATTTGGCCCAGCGTCTCGAAGGCAGAGTCACCAGAAAGATTGTGAAGCAGACGGTCATGACTAATGTCTACGGAGTGACCTTTTTGGGCGCGACAAGACAGGTCAAAAGGCAGCTTATCGACTACCTCCCTGACCTCGATAATACAGAGAGGAACGCCGCGGCTTTCTACATCGCAACAAAGATCTTCGGTGCTCTCGGATCCATGTTCAACGGAGCCCATGAGATCCAGTATTGGCTTGGCGATTGTGCCCAACGCATTACACAGTCTGTGACACCGGAGCAAATTGAGGAGCTCACGCAAGCAGCATTAGTACCCAAGGATGAACGCCGGCAGGATTTCCCGACGTCCACTGATCCAGAGAAATCCTTCAGGTCGACTGTGATTTGGACGACCCCATTGGGTCTCCCAGTGGTCCAGCCATATCGAACTCGCAAGACGCGGCGTGTTGAGACTAGTTTACAAGACATCAGTCTTGTTGAACCCGGCTCCGACGATGTCGTTACAAAGCGCAAGCAGCTTCAGGCCTTCCCGCCTAACTTCATCCACTCTCTTGATGCCACACACATGATCATGTCCGCCAATGCATGCCATGAAGCGGGCTTGACCTTTTCCGCTGTCCACGATTCTTTCTGGACTCATGCTGCCGATGTCGACCAGATGAACCTCATCCTTCGAGATGCCTTCGTTCGCATGCATTCTGATGATGTTGTCGGGCGCCTCGGTGCAGAATTCAAAGTGCGATATAGCAAGAATTTATTCCTAGCCAGATTGCCCCGCACCACCCGCCTTGGCCGGGCGATCTTCGCGCACCGCAAAACCACTAGGATCACCAAACTCCAAGAGTTGATCAACGAAAACCGACGGCAAACTCTACTCAACTCGGACGATCCGGAGGATCAGGCCGAGGGCCGTGCTATGGTGACCCCTTGCAGTATCTTCGAAAAGTTAGGCGGTACAGACACCGACCTGACTACCTTCAAAACAATGGGTACGAACCCAATCGGTCACATTCCAGATGTTGTGCCGGATCTGGAACGGGTGGGAGGTACAATCGATACCACCGATCCGGCCATTGAGTCCCTGGTCGGCGACCTCGAGATGTTTGAGGCGAGGCAGAGTCCCCGCGAGATAACCACCGAAGTACCAGATGATGTTCATGGTGAATCTTCCGATCAGACACAAATTGAGTCCCAAGAGTCCCAAGGCTCGGAGCCAAAGGAAAAGCAGAAGCGCGCCTTGACCACATGGTTATGGATGCCTCTGAACTTCCGCCCAGTCCCTAAAAAGGGTGACTGGGACCTGACCCGAATTCGTGAGAGTGAATACTTCTTCTCATGATTCTGGAAACATTCGCATTCTGGCGTTTATGCATTTCACTTTTAGCCATGTCCAAGCACTAAGAGTGACTTGATTTATTTAGCTTTTAATTTCCCTGTAAATTTTGTGCCTGATTCTCTGTTGGGCTTCATTTTTTTGTACATTACACGGAGGAAACAGTATATATTACCTGTATGAATATGATATCAAACTTCTAGAACCATCTTATATAACTCTATATACTCTCAATATTAACCCAAATACCCGGAGAGGTCTCTGAATTTAGGCAAAATACAAAAGCTGACATGAGAGATAGAACTTAGCAATGCGGATCTAGCCGTTTTAAGATTGTCAAGCTCTCTGTAGAACGAGTGAACATATATTTGCCGAGCCCTTAAATCCATTAGAGGAATAGTCAAGTTCGTACATTTAGCATTAGCCTGTACTATGTATGTAGACCCCCATAGAACCGGCACTTGTCAATGGCCGGATCTGCATAAATATTACATAGATCCCTGTACCTTAATGTGCTTTGTCCTCTCCCCGCGGGCCAAGACCGGGGTATATGACCGTGGCCAGACGAGTTCAGTCCGAAATTCTTAGCCTCGCCACATGTTTCCGTTCATTTCCGTAAAATAGGGGTGTAGTATATGTGCACATAAGCGAACGTAAAAAAAATTAACTCTGCAGTGCAACCTGAAACAAGGGGTTTATAGAAACGGGTTAAAGGCCTAGCCAACCTTGGAAGTGTATTGGTGTTGTCTTAGAGCCTTGGATTTCTTGGAGAAACACACCATTCTCTCTCCGACCACGTGCCGGTTTTTCCCCCCGCCTTTACATGACTTCCCCAGATCTTCTAATCATCTGATCTTCTGATCTTCATATTTCTGATCTTCATCTTCATTTTGTCTGATATTTTTGACTCTGATTTGGCTTTGACCAGCTAAACCGAAAACTAAGCTTCAGGTCGGTTGCGCCGAGGGGAGAAAAAAAAAAAGTCGCCTCCCGGTTCTTCGTCTTTCGGCAATGCCACTGTGACTCCTTGGTCATATATACTACTTCCCCAAGGGTTTCACTCAATCTTTTTGTTTCTGATAGACTAGAAAGTCTATGTCCTCTTGACTTGTCCCTCTATGTCGCCATAGCCCTGTTTCCGCCTCCTCGGAGAAGCATGTCTATGACCTCCCTCTCCTCTGCCAATTCTTACTCTCCTTTTTCATCTCAAGCTAAACGGATGACACAATCCCAAACCCCGGGGCTGGACACGCTTGCTGAGGGGTCGCAGTATGCGCTGGAACAGCTCCAGTTAGCACGTGAAGCCAGTGCTGCCAACATCCCGACGGATCCTAACTCTCTCGACTCCAAGACGTCGCATTCCCAACATCTCATCTACAGCGAACAAAATCGTTCCAATTCAGGTCTAAAGGATCCAGAATTGCGCGATTCCCTTGCCGAGGCGCGCTCCGCGATTCGCAAAAACTCCTCCGCAACCCCAGTCCGTCGGAGAATTAGCCGAGCTTGCGACCAGTGCAACCAATTGCGAACCAAGTGTGATGGACAAAACCCCTGCGCGCATTGCGTCGGTACGATTTTACTCTTAAATAGACCCTCTCTATTTTTGTGCAAAGGTTAAACTAACAGTTTCTAGAGTTTGGACTCAGTTGTGAGTACGCTCGCGAGCGCAAGAAGCGTGGGAAGGCGTCGAAAAAGGAGATAGCCGCCACTGGCCTTACGGACAGCGAAATGGGTGGCAACGAAAACACGACGCATACGAAAGGACAACCCTCTAACGGACAGTCTTTGCATGAATCCAACGAACATTACGATCCCGCCTTTGATGCCGCTCGGACTCTGACCGAAGGCGCACAATCTCGGTCGCATAACGCGGAGGTGGCTGGTTTATCTACCATGCGCCAAAGTCAAGCGCCCGTTCAACCGCCTTCTCAGCAGCAGATGAGTTCTACGATGGCGGGCATGCCTTTCAATAATTACGCAGCGCTTCAAGAATCCCACCGGCCCTCGATGTCTGTGCCGGATATGCGCTCTATACAGATGATGCAAAACTCGAATGGGAACCCTCGGTCGCCAGGCCCAATGCTTCATCCTCAAGGGTTTTCTTCGGGGTATAATGATGGCGCATACCCTTTAATGAATGGGCAAGACGCAAATCCAAGTTCCATGAACCACTTCCGCATTGGAAACTCGACAGAGAACCCATCGGCTTCTTTTATGGGATTCTCCCCACCAGCCCAGTCACCTAGCTGGCTGCCACTTCCTTCCCCATCACCAGCAAACTTCCCTTCATTTAGCATGCCCCCTTTCTCCAGCTCGCTGAGATACCCGGTCTTGCAACCAGTTCTCCCGCACATTATGTCTATAATCCCTCAATCTCTCGCCTGCGATCTCCTCGACGTCTATTTCACCAGCTCATCCTCCTCGCATCTTTCTCCCTCATCACCCTATGTGGTAGGCTATGTCTTCCGCAAACAATCGTTCCTACACCCCACAAAGCCCCGATCGTGCACCCCTGGCCTTCTTGCTAGCATGTTATGGGTAGCAGCTCAAACAAGCGAGGCTGCATTCTTGACATCACCACCGTCAGCTCGGGGTCGAGTCTGCCAAAAGCTTCTGGAGTTGACGATTGGCTTACTCCGGCCACTTATCCATGGTCCTGCCACCGGAGAAGCGTCTCCCAATTATCCAGCTAATATGGTAATTAATGGGGTGGCTCTCGGTGGTTTTGGTGTCTCCATGGATCAATTGGGTGCTCAGAGTAGTGCCACTGGCGCAGTGGACGATGTCGCTACCTATGTCCACCTGGCGACTGTCGTCTCCGCAAGCGAATATAAGGCTGCAAGTATGCGATGGTGGACAGCTGCCTGGTCTCTTGCACGAGAGCTGAAGCTTGGTCGTGAACTGCCGCCTAATGCGACAACCCGTCAAGACGGTGAAATGGAGGGTGAGGGGGACATTGATGTGAACGGCAACAAGAGGCAACCGTCTTCTTTACTGGGCCACGGCCCAGGCAACTCTGCAATCAATCTCACAGAAGAAGAACGCGAAGAGCGCCGGCGGATCTGGTGGCTATTATATGCGACAGATCGTCATCTGGCGCTTTGTTACAACCGGCCGCTGACATTGCTGGATAAAGAGTGTGAGGGATTATTACAGCCGATGAACGATGATATCTGGCAGGCCGGCGACTTTTCATCCGTTAACTACCGCCGTGCTGGCCCAGCTTCTGAATGCACTGGCCATAGCATGTTTGGATACTTCTTGCCCCTGATGGCTATTCTGGGTGAGATTGTGGATCTGCAACATGCGCGCAATCACCCGCGGTTCGGCCTCCATTTCCGTAACAGCGGGGAGTGGGAAACTCAGGCTATTGAAATCACCCGGCAGCTCGATGTCTACGCCCAGAGCCTGAAGGAATTTGAGGCTCGATATACCAGCTCTATTGGCCTCGGAGCCGGGGAGACTGACACGGCCATGGAAGGTTCCAACGTCAACCACGTCAGCCCGTCTGGACGGTCTAGTAGTACGGTAGGCTCGCATGTGAGCGAGTCCATTGTTCATACGAGGATGGTTGTTGCCTATGGCACCCATATTATGCATGTACTCCACATTCTGCTGGCTGGAAAGTGGGACCCAATCAACCTACTCGACGATAACGATCTCTGGATCTCTTCCGAGTCATTTATCACTGCTATGGGCCATGCAGTCAGCTCTGCTGAGGCAGCCTCGGACATTTTGGAATACGACCCCGATCTAAGCTTCATGCCCTTCTTCTTTGGGATATATCTTTTGCAGGGTAGCTTCTTGCTGCTCTTGACTGCGGATAAATTGCAAGGAGACGCCAGTCCCAGTGTTGTGCGTGCCTGTGAAACCATCGTGCGAGCGCATGAGGCTTGCGTTGTGACTTTGAACACTGAATATCAGGTAAGAACTACCCGTAACCAAGCCTTATATTTACAGAAGCTAATATCATGCAGCGAACGTTCCGAAAAGTGATGCGCTCGGCCCTGGCTCAAGTCCGCGGCCGTGTCCCAGAAGACTTCGGCGAGCAGCAGTCTCGTAGGCGTGAGGTACTGGCCCTTTACCGCTGGAGCGGGGACGGCAGTGGCCTCGCTCTTTAACAGGACTGCCGAATATATGCTGAGCTTCTTGCGGCTGTTACTCGTCGTCTTGATTTTGACTTATCACCGTTTTCTTTTTTTCTTTGATTTTGATTCGATTTGCGCCCTGTATACTATACTTCCCGGATTTTGGACATACCCTGAGGAGCAAAAAGGCGCACTTTTGGTGTCTATATATTGACTCGGCACATACCATACCTACTTAAATATTGCTTTCGATTGTTTTTGGGAATATCCTCCTCGTAGACCGGTTTCCCTTTCTTTATACACCCTTTCCTATAAGCGACCTATCTCTTTAGGAAGACATCAGGAAGAGGTCGCTGGATAGTTCCATCAACCCCGATATATCAATGCCCTTAATATTGAGTCATGCAAACTTGTAATTTTTGTCTCCTGTAGGATTCTCTATTCTTGGTTGTATAAAGATGTACACTCGTATCATGTGATGATGCTTATTTTGAGCTCCACCCAAGCTCCGCTTGTGCTTTGAGTTCCACCACTTCAACCTCAACCACCATCTATCCCAGCAAATGACGCTACTCGATATCGCAAACCCGACAAAATGAAACCATATATAGGAATACCTCTCGTCACCGGACTTGTCTATCGAGCTTGGTCCCGCAAATCCCTTACTCCGCTCGGCCTCGTCGCTGCGGCATGTTCAGCCTCCGCTCACGCTCTCCACCCATGGTCGGCACCGGTCGCGCTCCTTGCGGTATTCTATTTTGGTGGAACTAAGGTCACGAAGGTAATGAAGATACCCATATGTTGAGCTAAGCTGCATGCTATCCACTCTTCAGCCCACATCTATGTTATGGACGCAGCTTACAAGACCGCGGTGACAGGTAAAACATGAGATAAAGTCGCATTTGACACTCTCCGCAACCGGTGCGGAAGGTGGCGAAGGTCCCCGGAATCATATCCAAGTTCTGGCAAATTCCGTTGTCGCTACCATACTATCGATCGCTCATGCGATTATCCTGCGCAAAACAACCGGCACCGAATCGTGTTTCTCACTCGGTCAGAATGCCGCTGATATCTTGGTGGTTGGGATTGTAGCGTACGTCACTGGACTTTACGTCCAAGCACTAAGTGTTTCAGAGCATATAACTAATAGATTCTGCATAGAAACTACGCTGCTGTCGCTGCAGACACCTTCTCCTCCGAGCTCGGCATTCTCTCGAAATCCAAACCCCGCCTGATAACCTCATTGAATCTCCGTGTAGTCCCTCCAGGTACAAATGGTGGTGTAACCGCGACAGGTCTTGGAGCTGGTCTTCTGGGATCGTTCATTGTTTCCGCGACATCTGCTGCCGTTCTTCCCTTCTGTGCTAGTGCCGGATTGAAGGATCGGGCTCTGTGGACCATAGCTATGACTCTTTGGGGCGCATTGGGTAGTGTCCTTGACAGTGTTCTTGGTGGGATTTTGCAGGCCAGCGTTGTCGATAAGAGGAGTGGAAAGGTTGTAGAGGGGAGTGGTGGTAGGAAGGTGAGTTCATGATTATGTGCACTTGACCACTGTGTATAGAGCTCTAATCTGGGTTTCTAGGTTCTCATTCACCCATCTACCGGCAAGCCGGTTGTTACCGCTGATAGCACTGCCAAAACCACCGGTAGCATACATAACGCTGCACAACATGGTACCCAGGTGACAAGAGTCGTCGAGGAAAGCCAGGAAAGTCGTCGCCTTGAAACTGGTCATGACTGGCTAGACAACAATGGCGTCAATCTTCTCATGGCTGCTACTATGAGTGTCGGGGCCATGGGCATTGCACAGTGGTTCTGGGGGTTGGATATTTCTGAGTTGCTGGTGTAGATTCTCTAGTACAGTATCAAACTAATCTAGGTCTCGAACACGGTTTATCTACTTTATATTTATTTCCCAGCTTGGTCTAGAACGAAATTGTAAGGATTGTATGTGATTATCTCTTTTGGTCTTCTGAATGTCTCTGCTTTGAGAGAGGCACGGTCTTGCTTTTTGTTTGTCGCAGCTGCTTCCAACCCATCACCCACCCACCTTCCTTCCCTCTTCGACTATTTCACTATTTGTTTTTGTTTCTCTCCCACTCCTCTCTCCACTCTTCTTCTTTCGTATTTTCTTCGCTCCTCAGCCCCGACCTAGTAAGATCGAGGCAACGCGACGTTGACCCAACCGTACACAATTCATCACGTGTCATCGTTGGCCCTAGTTCGTGAGTCGCTTCTACGTATTACACGCCCTGGTGTCCCTGGGCTCCATCTCGGACTCGAAAAACTGACAAACAAGAATCTTAGCATAATTTGGACGAACAGAGCGCATCAGTCAAGATGGCAACCGAAGAAGAACACGGAATGCACGTTCGAGTCACGCGCCCAAGTGTCTCTTTCCTCCCCGAAACCGAAACATCCAAACCTGTGATACATGACCTCCATCACAGCGACTTGCTTCCTGTCTATGACTATGTCTCCAGGGAATTTCTAATGACCGGCGTTGCCGTTGCTCACTCGTTCGGCACGCGTCTGCTTCTTCGTTCCCCTGCGAATCCTGACAATTTTTCCGGTCTTGTCATCATGGAACCATCTCACCTATGGGGTGGAACAAGCATGTGGCGTCTTATTAATCGGTGGCTGATGCGAAATGGTGAGTTGTTATTCAATCTAGTTTAACGTGTCGCATGCGCTAATAGTTGGAAGGACATGCCTGGCTGGAAGTTGACTCGCAGGCTCCTGCGGCAATTGACCAGATCAAAGATGCCAATCCCGAACGCTACAAAGCGATACACTTCATCCCCTGTCAGACCTTGCAGGAGTTCTCCAGCAAAATCCCCACCTCCCCCAACGCAGATGACCTTTGGAATGACTACATGATCTTCAAGCAAAGATGGTGGGCCGCAACCGTGCAGTCCCCGGAGATCCTTGTTGCTGCATCACACGCTTCGCGATCGGGTCAGCTGGGCATCAGGGCTGATCGTGTCATTCTAACTGGTCTTTCCCAGACTGCAGACTTGATCAGAAAGTTCATCGTCGAGTCTGCTCACTTCCGACTTCCTGATGGATACGCCCCATTTGAGGGATTCATGCCCTGCCAATGCGACGGTGGCGATGCACTTCCAGACTTGCGCGATGCAAAGATCATGGAGATTTTCGGTGAATTTGAACTCATTTACAGCAAAAAGCTCCACGGGATGATGGGAGGTGCAATGACTCCCCATCGCCGTACTGATAGCAAGTCATTCCGGCTTTACGAAGTTGCTGGTATGTCTCATCGCGAGACCCGATACCTCTCCATGGCCGATAAGAAACGTTTGTCGACTCTTGATTTAGAAGGTGCCCAGTGGACCACTTTCGCCAATTCTTTCGTTTATCATGCTCTCTTCGATGCTATGGACAAATGGCTTACAACCGGTGCTGCTCCCCCACGAGGTACCACTATTGATATTAACAAATATGGGGATGTCGAGCGAGACGAGTACGGAAATGCGCTTGCTGGTGTCAGAACTGTTCATACAGACGTGCCTACTGCCAAAATCATCCATGTTGCCCCTCAGCCACACCCGAATTGGCAAAATGGTAAGTTGCTCACGTGCACAAGATTAATTCCTTTCATCCATTTAACCTGTTCATTGAAAGGCACTGAGGCCCCTTTCAAAGATGTCGAACTGTGGGCGATCTACAAAAAGGTGGGGAATTATCGACGTCGGGCGGGAGAAGCCATTGATCGACAGATTGATGCTGGATTTTTGTTGCGGGAAGACGCCGAGGTCCTGCGTCGCGATACCATTGAGCAAGTCTCCTTTTAAGACTACAGACTACGGTATTGTTTGTTTCTCATCATGGATTTGGGGTCCTACCTGGATCCCGGGGGCCTGGATTTCCTTCGGAACGAACATTTGTGGTGACTTGCAAGCCCTACGTACCTCAGGGTACCCTCCAGGACTTGGTTATGTTGGGAAAAATTCGATATCAACTCTACTTCTGTGATTTCAATTTCTTTAGCTAGGTCTACTTGGCTACCTACTTTCATGTCAATGTAACTCACTCTGCAATTTGTTAACAATGATCAGATGAAATCTTTCTTCGCCGTAAGAGCATATAGATAAGATACTATCTTGCTAATTCATGTCACCACACCACATTGCGTACGTATCTTTTTCGAGATTATTATATTGTTTTCAGACTATCTATTGCTTTCCATATAGTATACAGACTCAAATAACCGTTGCTTACACAGTGCTGTTCAAAGTCGCACAACATACACCCTAACTAATATATTCCATTTATAGACCTGCATAATAAGGCCGGCGTTACGAAGAAATACCAAAGACCCAGTCATGCACAAGCAATCACAGTTGCAACCCCTGAGGGTAATAAAGTTTATAGGAAGTCGCTGACCTTGTGTTTCCTATCAAATTTAGTACACCCTGAGACTTCTCACCAACCAAATATCATCATTTAGCGCTACGCTATGCCCTATTTTCATGCATATTTTTCCCCAACATCTCTCTGATACGACATGACCTAGTCACACAGAGGCAAGGCATCGAGCATATCGGGGTATAAAAGTCCCACAATTCGCCCATCCAAGCTGTATCCTTTTCCCCCCAGTAACTTTCTACATTATAATCACATCCGTGTGTGATACCTATCTCTGCCGCCTATTCATATACTTCTTCTCATCATGGGTCTTGTAAAGCTCTTGCTCAAAGCGATCCTCATCCCGATTATTGTCCTCATTGTCATTGCTGTTGTTATTTTCCTCCTCGTCAAAATGCGTCTAGACCGCAAAAAGAAAGAAAAGGAACTCGACAAGTCTTTCCAGCCACCTCCTATACAGCAATGGGTGCCGTACACCCCAGTCCAACAACCGGCCCCGGCATATGTCAAAACACCGGGGGAGATGGAGCAAGGAATTGGACACAGACAGTCTTAGTGGATACTTCTGTTGGGTAATATTCCCTTCTACTGGGAAACTTAGTGATTGTCTTTGCTAACCGCCGAGTGTTGCAGATTGTTTCTCGGGCAATTGGAAGGTCCCGTATTTCTCCACTTTGGAGAGGGTTTTTTGCGGATTATTATTGTCAAAGATTTATCTGTTAGTGCGAATAAAGTGCTGATACAATGCAGTTAATGCATGTATCAGTGACTCGATTTCATATTGCTGGAACTTGTACTACCAAGTGGGATCAGTGGAATCTTTTTTTCAGCTACCCTGAACTCGGGAGGTTTTCTAGATCGGAGTTTATGCTAGGCTGATAAATTTGCTCCTATTCAATTCATGCTGCAAATGATTTCTGATCTTAGTAGACTAAATGCCTCGAGCCTTTTCTCGCGGGATCTGCATGCTAGCCATCCACATTCAGGGGGAATTCTGCTGCCTGATCATTTGGCCATGGCCGCTTAGCCGGTAATAAACTATGTGAATTGTGATTCACTTGCATGTATTTATGTATTTGATGCTCAAATTAGGTAGGTCTATTGTTTAAATGTCTCCTTTGGACTAAGATTGGTCGCCATGGCTCAGCCCTACAAGACGAACGACGATTCTTGCTTTTTATTTTGAAGGTAGTATGGTTCTATTTTAGAAGCTTCTAGCCCTCGATAAAAAAGTAGATTTCGTATCTTGTTTGAAAGTAACTAGGAATAATTGATCTTAACTATCCTGTAGCATCCTAAACGAAGGGTGCATCGACTGCATCCGGATGCACGTAGAATGCGATTGCAATGATTAGATACCTAATAGAAATCATTAGTACTGAGCACAGCAAGAACACTTAGGTGGTCACTCACGTTCCAGCCAATAGAGTCCCTTCATAGTAGTTCGATCGACCTCCACGAATCAAGCAGTCCATGACTATCACCGATAGGAAGAAGACCACAGTTTCGAATGGACTGTAACGTAAGGACATGGGCTGCCCAATGACCCAGCCACACATGACCAGGAACGGACTGACAAATAATGCGATTTGCAACGTGCTTCCCACAATCACACCAATGGCGAGGTCCATATTTCCCTTGATAGAGGAATTGATAACAGTGTTAAATTCTCCCGCGTTACCGACAATGGGAACCACAATCAAACCAATGAAAGCCCGACTCACATGCCACTTGTCCACAAAGCCGTCGACACTGTTCACCAGACGATCAGAGCAAAGGGTAACTCCGAGAGTTGCAAGTATCAAAATGATACTTGCCGGCCAGGGGCCCAAAACTCGCTCTTCTTCCTCTTCTTGTTTATCATCGACGAATAGCTCTGAGTGACTCTTCAGTTGAAAGTAGAGGTACACTAGGTATAATGTGAGTAGGACCACGGAGGCGACACGGGAGAGACTCAGGACGCTGGATTCCACTTCTTGGGAGTTGGATTGTATGGTTGAATAGAGGACGGATGGAATGATCAACGTTGCAGATGAGACTACCATCAAAGACGACAGTATCCCACTAACATCCACGTTGAATTTGACCATCTCTTTCGCATAGCCGCTGCAGAACAATGAAACACCGAGTATCTAAATTTTGTGTCAGTAGGCAAGATCACTTGGGCAATAAACCTGCACCAATAACCAAACTTACAAGAAGATTTCCCGACAAGATACTGCCCACCATACTAGACTGCACGATGCTGATTTGCCCCTGTCGGACCGCATTAATGCCCACCTGCGCAATGTCCAGTGTCAGTTTCCCACCTTGACAGAGAGTCAAATGTCCAGCCACTTACAATCATCTCAACCGCATTTCCAAATGTCGCATTTATCAGCCCTCCGACGGTTTGCCCGACACTTTTTGCCAGTTCCTCTGTGGCGAACGACAACAAAGCCGCAAGAGGAAGAATCGCCAGGAAATTGAAGAAGAAGGAAATCGAGTCATCCCATCCTAGACTCCCCGCGAGTATGCCTAGAAACACGAACGGCAGTAGCAAATTGCTGTAGCTGCATCCCAAAGTAATCTTCAGCACACGTACAACAGAGTTGTCTAGGAACAGAGCGCGCTTCGATTTGAGGTGGGTTGTGTCACGAAACTCTGTAGATTCATCCCCGTTGCTTTCGCGTTGACCTTGATCTCCGAGCAATGCATCGTGTTCATGGGCTGTGTTTGGTTCGAGGGGCTGGGCCATGATTTCAGGGTCAACCTTGGTTGACTTTCGTAGTCGGGGGTGTGTGTTGTCCATATTGTCAAGAGTGAGGAAAGAGACCAAGACACGTCGAGGGTCAAGGGGATGTACTGGCCTTTAGTCCTTGAGATATTGCGTGTGCCTAGCGTATTGTCAAAGGTTATACATATAATGACTACTTTAAAAGAGCCGTGCAGATAAATTACGGTTATGTTTCACTTAATTACATTTTAATTACATTCACTGTATTTGTATGGAAAGATTTCGGTATTTTACCGAGCCTCATTTATTGACCTGCACATGTGTGCTCATGTGCACTTTCTACAAATGAGGTTTTCTCTCAGCTTCACATTTTCTCTCAATTATGTCTCCCAGTCGAGATTTGCCTATGCTATCTTACAACTTCATCATGGCACAGGTCCGGCATCACCTAGGCCTCTTGTCGCTTTTGCTACCTCTCATCGGTATCACAGCAGGAGCCCTGAAGTGGAACAGTGCTGTCATTTTCGCTCTCAATGTCCTCGCTCTGATTCCGCTTGGATCATGGATTAATCAATCAGTTGATGCATTGACCATAGGTGGCAGCCGAGCTGTTAATGAAGTGCTCAAATCAACGCTAGGAAACTCGGTGGAATTAATGGTGATATCTAGTCCTTGGAGAACTCGATCTTCAACTCAAACATAGGTTGACAATCGTTTATCCAGATCGGGATCAATACAATTGCACAAAAAATACCACACATCTCCCAGTCTGTGATACTTGGAAGTGTCCTGAGCAATTTACTATTGGTGAATCCCAATATCAAATCCAACCACTTGTGCTGGCCTCCTCCTCATACAAATTATACCTCCAGGTCCTTGGCGGTACCATTTTCGTCTCAGGCTTTGACCAAAAGCGACTCCGATTCGATCGTACCCTCACAACAGTCCTCTCATCCCTGATGATGGTCGTCTGCATCCTACTCGCCCTCCCAACCATAATGGACATCTTTCCACCCGCCAAAGCCACCCCCGAAGGCCAAATCCTGTTAACTCAACGCATAACATCCATTATCCTTGTCATTCTGCTCCTCACATTTCTCATCTTCCGCCTCGGCACCCATGCAGCCATGTTCGCCAGCACACCATTCAGCCAACGAGACCAAGTCCACAACGGCCATCAGTCTCGCCCGAGCCAGATTGTCGAGGCCCGGATCCCATATCTTTATCTCGGCAATGGTACAGCAGCTATAATTCTGGCAGTTGCATCTGCGTCTGCACTCGCATGCACTTATTACATAGTCGACAGTTTGAGTGGAGTTGCTGCGATCACGGGGATTAACCAGTCCTTCTTTATTGTGACGTTTGTTCCTCTGCTCGGGAATTCAGTCAAGTACAGCTCCATTGTGGTGGGGTCCCGGTCTTTCAATCAAATTGAGCTTGGAATCAGGGCTATTATTAACAATGTGCTGCGGGTTACGATGCTTATTGCTCCACTACTGGTCCTGGTTGCTTGGGCTTTTGATCAACCTCTTATTCTCAGGTTTGATGGGTTCGAGGCTACGACCCTTTTGCTTAGTGTTGTGGTCATGACTTATCTTATTTCTGATGGGCGGAGTAATTACTTCGAGGGGTTGACGCTGATTGGAACGTGAGTCTCTCGCACTGCTTTTTTGTCTGCCCGGTACTAAATTTGCTTGCTTTACAGATACGCTATCATTGTGTTTTCGTTCTTTGTCAGGCCTGAGGATCCATTGAATGTGATATTTCTAGGTGCTTAGATTCGTTCAGTCCGCATGTCACATAATTTGTTATTTGAAATATCCCCGCGGGATTCATTGAAACAGCAAAATACTTGAGATATCTAGCGTGCATAGAAGGCCACAACCAGACTAGAGTACCTATAGTTATACATCAGTAAGAGTATCTTTGAAACTCAAGCAAGGAATTTGGGTGAACTTACAGAGCAAGCAGCATCGCACCATGGATGTAAGCGTACTGTCCATCACGAAGTAGATGATTAACCACCAGAATGGCCAAAAACATGGCAATAGTCTGGAACGAGTCAAAGAAAAGCGACATCGGTTCAGCAATGCACCAGCCAATAACCACCAAGAATGGTATGACAAACAGACCAATCTGCAAGAGACTGTCAATGATAACTCGGATTGCAGAGTCTGTGTCTCCGGTGCGAGATGCGGTAATGACAGTAATTCCCTCGGTACTATTGCTAGCGATTGGGAGGAACACAATCGCAATAAATACTTCGGAGACTCCGAGCGTCTTTGCCATGTCATGGGTGCTTTCAAGCAGTAGTTCCGTACAAAGGACTGTTGCGGCCACGGCTGTTATCAATCGGATGATTGATGAAGCTAACCTGGGTCGGGTGGGGGGTGATGGATCACCGTCATTTTCACCATCACTATTTTCTCTCTCATCTGAAAGGAATAGGTGTTTGTGCGTCCCAAGGTAGAAGATGAGGTAGGCCCCATAGAGCACGAGGAGTACCAGTGATGTTCCTCGTGAGAAGGATAGCACTCTCCCATCAATCTCGGATACGGGGAAGGTTGAGTAGAGAGCCGTTGGAAGAAGCATCGTCACAGCTGTGATCATCATCAAGGAGGACAAGGTCTTTGCGAGGGCGCCATTGAACTCTAGAATTTCCTTGCTGTATGAAGCTGTCACAAGGCAGCAGCCGAAGACCTGGATTTGGCTGTCAGTCAAATTATATGGTCACCACTGGGACCTCCATGGTGCGAGAATTTACAAGTAGAATATCTGACAGAATACTGCCAACCATGATGGACTGCGCAAATACGATCTCATCATGAACCAGAGCCAGAATGCCCGCCTGGACTGAGTGAGCATTGGGTCATCTCAACATTTAATTGCGACTCACCGTAAGCTCTACGGTGTTTCCGAATGTAGCACTGAGCAAGGCACCTTGCAGTTCTCCGAGATGAGCAGCGAGTTCATCCGATGAGATAGATATCGCCTCGGATGAGAAGATAATGGCGACAATATTCACCACGAGGACTATAATCGGATTCCAATGAAATATCTTTGCAGCACCAGCCAGAAGTAGCAGTATCATCACTGGCCATCCAAGACCGATATTCAGTTCCTTCAGTCCCATTTGTGTCGGCATCTCGAAGAACCTCTGGATGCGAGTCCAAGGTTTGGTATCATCTTGGATTTGCTGTTGACTCTGAGGGTGACCGGGCTGTCCACGGGATTCCGGCGTGTCTCGGCGAGAGGGCATGGTAATTTTGGAGGAAGTTGGGCTTTCATAGGTAGAGTGTTGAAACTTAAGTGAGATACGACCCGAGACCAGGGAATCCTTCAAGTTGGAACTGGGTAAGGTCTAACATTACCACGGTACAGATACGGGTACTAGTAATTTTCCTTAATTAAAGTTACAGCCCTATTACTAGCGCCAAACAGAGCTGCCTTCATCCCCACTAAAGTTGACACCGTAGGGCTGAAGCCGGCATTTAGCCGTTTTGATATTTTTCATTGTATAAATACGGTAAACAGCTTTCAGGCAACAGCATTTTTTTTATATTTGTCTCAGCCTTATGGAACATTTTGATTGATCTAAAATGGGAATGAGGATCGCCTATTACTTTGTTATTACTCGGGGAACACCGTCTCCGACCCCTCGCTCGGTATTGTCATTAAATGTAGAGCATTTGTGTTCCCCCCCACACTCATCTTGGCAATGCGTTCACATCTCACTTCCTCAGAACATGCCGGTCGCACAGTCCTATCTTCATCACGATTACCCCCTATTAACAACCCAACCATTCAACAAAGTGATTGAGAACTCACCCCATATTATCCACACAAACAACAGCCGTACTCCAGGGTTGAAATATCCGTGTCCCCGCCTGTAATCTATGGACAAGCACCCTCCCTCCCTTGAGACGCTCCAGAGAGAGGTCAGTGAACTCAAAGCCGTATATCATGGCCGAGGCTGGACGAACGAAGCAACAGACCTGGAGTCGGCACTGGCGACAGCGGGGAATCGGGTAGTCGCGCCAGGCGCGGATTCTGACCCAATGACAATAACGCTCGAAGAGTTAAACACTTGTGTAAAGACATGGCTGCAGGCCAAATCATGGATTGTTGCCGAAGATTTAGGCATTCTGGTGCTGGAATCGTGCGAGAAGCTGAAAGGAGAGCGAGACTTAATGACCATGACAGCGATGCACAATCTCGCTTCGGCATATTGGGGCCGAGGGCAGCTAGATCAAGCCGCTACTCTCGCTAGTCGGGTGACCAAGTTGAGACAAAGTATCCTCGGCGAGGAGCATCCCCAGACATTGACTTCGATGGCGAACCTAGCTTCCACGTATCGGATTCAAGGGCTTTGGGCTGATGCTCAGGAACTTGATGCGAAGGTCTTTGAGGCGAAGAAGAAGACTCTTGGTCCCAGGCATCCGTCTACCTTGGGTTCAATGTCTAATTTGGCTATATCGTATTCCAATCTCGGTCGGTATCAAGAGGCCGAGGCAATTGCGCGGCAACTAGTCCATCTCGGGGAAAGGGAGTTACCTCCAACCGACACATCGCTGTTGAACTGGAAACTCACTCTGGCATCGACCTACCGCGACCAAGGAAGGCTGGATTCTGCTGAAAAGCTAGAACGGGAGGTTGTCGCTGTCAGTCGGGACTTATTTGGGACAAATAACCCCTTCACTTTGACCTCCATGGCCAACCTAGCATCCACATACCGCGAACAAGGCCGATGGTCGGATGCCGAACGCCTCGAAAAAGAAGTTGTGGCTAGCAGTGAAACCGTGCTCGGCGAAACACATCCCCAAACGCTTATGTCCATCAGTAACCTTGCTTCAACATATCGCAATCAGGGTCGGCTCGAAGAAGCCAAAAATCTTGGGGGGAAAGCAACAGCTGTGATGAAAGAGGTCCTCGGGGAGCGTCATCCGCACACACTGGTTGCCATGGCGGATCTTGCAGTGACATACCAAATGATGAGGCAATCACCAGATGCCGAGACCCTGGCCGCCCGGTCTCTTCGTTTGATGGAGGAGACGATAGGCAAAGACCATCCGCACACACTCAGCGCAATGGCCAATCTAGGCTTTATATACCAGTCGCAAAGCAAGTGGGAGGTTGCCGGTGGAATGGCCGAAACTGTACATTCTCGCAGGGAAAAGGTATTTGGAACGGACCATCCAGATACAGTGACAGCACTAGAGGACTTGAGGAGAGTAGCGTGGGTAGAGGCGGCAGATCAGAATGCACAGCGTATGTTGAATTAGGCTCTCTTTTAGGCTTCGAATGTGGAGAGACCTTGCCGAATTTTCCCAGACCGTTATTCTATATCTAGCCAATGTTAGCCGATTTTAAAACAATGTTTCAGGGTTCAGTGACCAATTGTCAAGTTTTGTTGATGCTGATGCACCTCCTTTGGACCAATCAGGTCGAAGGGATTCAGCCAGCCTTAGACATTGAAGTCTTTTGTCTTGCACAGCCTCCTTGCCAAGACTGTACACTGTTAGCAATCATATTGTGTGTTCTCTGGAGATTTCTTTGAGGGAGCACAGTGGTCAGTACGGAGTACAGCCCTGTAAGAAACTTGGCTGCCTGCTCAGTAGAATTTGGTTGTTAGTTGCATGGTTGATGAGGGACTCGAACATTGGCACCAGGAGAAGCAAATAGAAGACCAGAATAGCAGTAAAACTACATAGATATATGTTGAAAAGAAGGAGAATATCAGAATCATTTAGTGTCTAACTTGGCTGATCCTTTCAGATTTGACGCAAAATACTGATATCTTGTCTATGTATCATTTACATTGTGTTCACATATTTCGCCTCTAAATCTCTTAGATACGCCTTGTATTTTACGGTTTTCCTACATATCTCCGCGTATTCGTATTTCATCAGAACCCATCTGTATACATCCAGAGTCTGGGCATTTCCAATCCTCCTTTCAGAAATCATTTTATCCTGATTCTTTTCCAATGACATTCCCAGTGAAATGATGCCAACTTCAGGGGCCAATAGGTCTCTTGTGTTATCTTTTTGGTCGCGACTGGTAAGTCTGACGATGGTGAAGCCTGAAAACGCGTATTAATACCCAGAAGAATCCGCAATCAGAACGTGCCACGGAACAATCTCCTCAACCGACGATTTCGGCCTTCTCGACTTTTTCCTTAGATGCCGATGCATTAAGCGATCTTGTACAGTCCAAAGATATCCAAAGGTTCCATGCCCTCGGCGGGGTGAAAGGTTTGGAGGAAGGACTGAGAACCGACGTCCACTCCGGTCTAAGCCTGGACGAGACCTACCTGGATGCTCCTGTGAATATCGCTGCGAGTATAACCACTGCACCAACCGAAAAGACCCCTATCCCTGAACCTCGTATCTCGACAGAGCTTGATCACGATGCATTTGCCGACAGAAGGAAATTCTTCGGGGACAATCGTTTACCCATAAAACCATCCCCGAGCTTCCTATCATTGATGTGGGCAGCCTACAACGACCACGTCCTATTCCTTCTAACTGGGGCTGCTATTATTTCGCTTGCTTTGGGGTTGTACCAGACATTTGGAACCAAGCGTACTTCTAATCACCCGCCTGTCGAATGGGTGGAAGGCGTTGCCATTCTCGTCGCTATCGTCGTCATTACTCTTGCTGGTGCCGCAAATGACTATCAGAAGGAGTACAAGTTCCGGAAACTCAATAAGAAACAACAAGATCGCAATGTTTGGGTCCTCCGATCTGCGAGGATTCACGAGGTTCCTATCTCCGAGGTGATGGTTGGTGATATTGTCCACATCAGTCCTGGAGATATCGTGCCTGCTGATGGGGTGTTGATAAGGGGTCACCAAGTCAAATGCGATGAGTCGTCGGCAACTGGTGAGTCTGACCCAGTCGATAAAAGTGCTATCGATACGACTCGTGCTAGTGGCTCTCATGAGATCGACATCGATCCCTTCATCCTCTCTCATACCAAGATCGTGGGAGGTGTCGGTGCGTATGTCATCCTAGCTACAGGCACAAAATCAAGCTACGGCAGAATCCTCCTATCTCTCGACACAGATCCAGGGTTCACTCCGCTTCAAATACGACTCAGCAATCTTGCAAAGAACATCGCCCGCTTTGGTGCACTTGCGGCGCTTGTGTTGTTCATAATCTTGCTTATCAAGTTCTGTGTCGGTCTCCGGAATAGCACCGAATCCGCCTCGGAAAAGGGGCAATCTTTTCTGAATGTTTTCATTCTGGCCTTAACTGTCGTTGTGATAGCAGTCCCTGAAGGACTTCCCTTGGCGGTTACACTCGCCTTGTCATTTGCCACTACTCGGATGATGAAAGATAACAACTTGGTTCGACAGCTCCGAGCATGCGAAACGATGGGACAAGCCACGGATATCTGTTCAGACAAAACGGGAACCCTAACACAGAATGAAATGAGTGTTGTCTCTGGTTTCTTCGATGCTACCTCGCAATTTAATGATCGAGGTAGCACTCCAGATATTCCAGTTGAAAATTCCCTATCCGTGGCAAGATGCATGGGCAATCTCTCGGATCAATCAAGGTCCCTTTTGAGGCAATCCATTGTGATCAACTCGACTGCAATTGAAAGTCAATATGATGGAGGCCGACAATTTCTTGGATCCCAAACTGAGGCCGCCTTATTGAGATTCTCTCAGGACTATCTCGAGCTAGGACAGCTTGACTATGACCGCGCCAGTGCGGAAGTTGTGGATCTTTTACCTTTCGATGCTTCTCGCAAATACATGGTCACAGTTGTGAAACTGGCGAGCGGGTTATATCGATCATATGTGAAGGGTGCTCCTGAGATTCTCCTTGAGAAATGCGTGGCCACAATTGCACAGCCAATGCAAGGACTTGGCACTTCTCCAATCACGGAGGAGGATATTGAGCAAATACGTCGGACAATTTTTCAGTATGCCTCACGATCCTTGCGCACCATTGCGGTTTGCTTCCGTGATGTGGAGCATTTGCCTTTCCTGGACGAGCAGGAAACCGTCAACTTCGAGGAGCTAATGAAAGAGCTTACATTTCAAGGAATTCTGGGTCTCCGAGACCCTCTCCGGGCCGACGCTTGGTGTGCTGTAGATACCAGCCATAAAGCAGGTCTCACTGTACGCATGGTTACCGGTGACAACCTTCTAACAGCAAGAGCCATTGCAGAAGAATGTGGAATCATCAACAGTCCAGACGATCTTGTGATGGAAGGCGATAAATTCCGTGCGCTAGATGAACTACAGCAAAAGGAGCTAGTTCTACGTCTCAAGGTTCTTGCCCGATCTCGTCCAGATGATAAGCGGGTTCTGGTCCAGCGTCTAAAGGATCTTGGGAGAGTCGTTGCTGTTACGGGAGACGGTACCAACGATGCTCCTGCCCTTGCAGCTGCTGATATCGGTTTCTCTATGGGAATATCTGGCACTGAAATTGCTCGTGAGGCCTCCTCTATTGTCCTGATGGATGATACGTTTTCTTCGATTGTCAAGGCTATCATGTGGGGAAGAGCAGTTAGCGATGCTGTCAAGAAATTTCTGCAGGTAAGATGGAGGCCATATCCACAGGGAGTATAAATGGCCGGTTGATCTAATACCCGTTTTTCCAGTTCCAAATTACCATCACCTTCACATCCGTGGGCCTGGCATTTGTCTCGGCGGTAGCTGACTCATCGCAGGAGTCCGTTTTGACACCAGTTCAGCTGATGTGGGTAAACCTCTTTCAAGACACTCTAGCAGCTCTGGCGCTAGCAACTGATCCTCCTCCTCGCCGGATCCTTGACCGCAAACCCGAATCGAGATCTACACCTTTGATCACCCCTACTATGTGGAAGATGATAATTGGCCAGTCTGTGTATCAGATGGCAGTAACGCTCGTCCTGTACTTTGCGGGCTCTTCTATCTTTTCCTATCACAGTTCTCTTCAAAAATCACAGTTACAGACAGCTGTTTTCAACACCTATGTCTGGATGCAGATTTTCAACATGTACAAGTATGTTAGCACTACCTTCGTTTCCATTTTATCTTACTGACCGAATAAAGCAATCGACAGATCGAGCGATCATTTAACCTTATCGAAGGGATACATCATAACTGGCTCTTTATAGCAATCACCTGCGTTATGATGAGCGCTCAAATCCTGATTATGCTCGTCGGCGGGCGGGCATTCTCAATCACAAAGTTGACTGGTGACCAATGGGCATATTCTGTCATTCTCGGTGCAATATCCATTCCCATCGGGTTCCTTTTGCAGGCTATTCCCGATGTCGTTGTTGAGAGACCAATGGCAGACATTGGGAGGTTATGGGACCGTATCCGCGGTCGGTGATTCCCCTATTTTCCCTTTCCTGTTCTTGTTTTTCTTTCACAGTTAATCACACGAGTCGTCTTCGAATTTGCATGGCCATCCAGGCGGAATACCCGTGAACTTGCTATTGAATACCCACCCCCTAATGGTAGACTAGCAATAGTTTCGAAAAAGAAAATATCTCGGATCGACGTCGAATATTTGCGAATAATTGGTCCGAAATAAACAAAATAATCACTAAAATCATAACTTGCAGAAAGTGAGCAGGGCGATCACCCAAGGCGCAATGAATTGAAGCTATTGCAACTAAAGATGCAAACATGTCTTGACAAAAAGTCGTTTTATAACTTCCCCTGAAAATAGAAGCTACCCCGTGTTCTTAGCCGCCTTGCGCCGATCTAACTGGAATAGCCAAAGTAGCCTCCATTGCCATCGACCTGTCAGATCCCATGTGGGGCCGCTTGATTGTGGCCGTGAGGCAAACTTGGGAGTCTCGGGTACTTCGACTATCTCACGATGATCCGATTCGTCGCTCTAAGATTTTGACCATATCATGGGTCGGAGACGAGAGTGGAGTCGCTTTCTTTGTTTGGAGAGAAAGCCCTAGACAGGTCGTCAATTACAAGTTGGACGGGGTACTTTAGGGGTCTGCCTTATCACAGCTGTTTGTCCTCAGCTTCATATGAAAAATGAAATTCTTCAACTGTCCTCTAGAGCATGATGTCCACTTCCGAATATTCGGCCTTTTTGGCAGAGGATCGCCGCCAGCCGGCGATTATCGGCATGGTCGTTGTGACAACGCTCTCGTTACTTGTCGTTCTGGTTCGTTTGTATGCTCGGGGGTATCGGATTCATGAACTAGGATGGGATGACCTCACAATCGTGATCGCACAGGTAAATATGTATGGCATCGCGACCTCTTGCATGAAGTTGACATCCTCATAGTTGGTCAGCTGGGTAGTCTTGTGGCTCTCACTAATGGGCATTCACCATGGCTCCGGTAAACATATGGCAGCGTTGACAGACGACCCGGAAGGCATGATGCACATGTACAAGTGGCTTCTTGGGACTCAACTGGTGTATATGTTCAATATCTGGCTGTGTCGCATCTCCGGCATCGCGTTTTATGCTCGTCTCAACCAGATGCCGCGATTTACCCTCTATATCCGTATTTCTTTTGTGTTTGTGACACTTGTGTATGTGGCGCAGACAATCATCACTGCTCTGCAGTGCATTGTTCCTCTGGGTGCTCTATGGGGTGTGGAAGGTAAATGCATGGGCGCCGGGATTGTTTTCATTTCGACTTCTGGGCTCAGTATCATTTGTGACTCACTTGTACTGCTGTTGCCAATGAACATTGTGTTCTCGCTGCAGGCAAATTTAGCAAGAAAGCTAACCTTGGCTGTTGTACTTTGCATGGGGGTTTTGTAAGTTCTCTTGTTCTTTTCTTCCTCGACAGTGAACACAATGAAGTAGTCAGCTAACATGTATCGCTTTAGTGCGGTTATGTAAGTATTTGCCACCTTCCTAGTCATTATCCGTTAACTGACAGAATGAAGAACGTCTATTATGCGAACGGTGTCCATGACAGTGGCCTTGAAACACCCGAATGACGCAACTTGGTATTTCCCTGGTGTGATGATATGGTCAGCCACAGAAATTAGTGCCGCCATCATCGCTCTTTCTCTCCCAGCGTTGCGAGCTTTGTTCGGTGTTTGGAACAGAAATCGATCGAGGAATGAAACTAAGGCAATTGACCTTCAGCTGATACCACAGTCGGCAAAGCAGCCTATGTTTGATGGATGTCATGCTGATGGGGCGTCATTCGATGTGGATTGGAGGATAAACAGAAGCCAGGGTGTCAAGGATGAGGAGGTCCGAGTTGAGGAGATAGTTCGCGTGGGTATTGGGAGGCGCTTGTCCCGGTAGACGAGAGGGTGGCCATAGAGCTAGTGAAGTATCTTTGCCTAGTGCCTACTGAGTTGGTAATTAAAAATCGTGCTTCAGTATGGTGGAACATGAGAAACAATGCCTTGTAATTCTTTCCGCTATTCTATGAGTCGACGAGTGATTGTTAAGTTCGCTCCCCTTTTCTGTGAGGTTGTTTGTATCATTTGGTGATGCCGTCTGAACTCTGCTCTCGGTGAGCTTGCCTGAATCAGTGTGGCGAAAGGCATCGAGGTCTGCTAACTGTCTGATGGTGTATTGTTTGAGACACACTACCATATCATACGGTCTCGGAGAGCAACCTCGAAAAAACGAGTTCTGACAGGACATAAATGATATAGCTTTTACTTGAGTGGCCTCGGGGATGGATCAACGCAATTGATTCGTTCAACAAAACGAGGTCATGCGAGCCCAGGCTACATTGGTCGGAGAAATGAACAGATGCAAACTACTCCTTACTCCGTAGTGGGGCTAAATGCGAGAAATTCACGCAGTTATTTTAAATTATTAATGTATCATTCGATTTCCAAGGTTTCAGATGTGAACTACGACCACAATGGCACGTGGGCATGTCGTTCTCTTGCCCAGCCATGAGTCTGGCCGTTTTGGGCTAGATCCTTGGAACCAGTGAACCGAACTAAGACTCGCAGTCTTTTCCTTTTCATCGCCACTAAATCCTTTTGACTTAAGATAGCAAATTCCCCTATACATTGAGGGCACGTGTGCTCGCCTCGAAACACCCGATCTACCAAGAAATTCCTATAAAACAAGATATAATAAGAGATATTTTTCAAACGCAAAGCAGCCATACGATAGAGGCAAGTCCGGGGATGGACCTCTTATACACCCACGTGTGGACTTACTGTACTCTCATAGGTAGAGGTGGGCCGTGCGCCCCCACCCCCGCCAAGAGCCGCAACTGTCCAATGGTCCAGTCCTGCAGCCAATCAAACCTTATCTTCACTGAATTCCACTGGAATCTATACCTAATCTGGATTCGTTCCATGGTTTGCCAATGTAAAAAGTTCCGCCCAGATGGCTGCCAAGACATCCAATTTGCTTGAGACCATAAGCTTGCGGAAAACGAGCTGATTTTCGCTCTTGGCTAGAACTTGTTACATTTGCTTTTTGCCAAGCCCACGAGGGTCGATTGATGGGCTCCCATTGCGAGTAGGACAAGCACGTGTGGCCACAACGTCCCAATCGGGAAGTTGAACTGGGCGTAAGTTGCTTGCCCCAAGGTCTATCATGCATATAGAACAGAGGGTCCATATCAATTAGAATCTTCCATACATAAAAAGGCAGTCTTCTCTCCTTGGCTTTTGCTTCTCTTCTTTAACAGCAACAAAGTCCAGTACTAAGCTTTCACTTGATACTTTGACTTCACTTGGTACTTGGCTTTTCACTTGGTACTACTTGAAAACCACCAAGATGTATCTCCATCAGTACGATTACATCTTCGCCATCGGCACGTTGTTTGCTATGCTTGATGCATTCAACAACGGTGCAAGTGAGTTGCTCATCTTCTAGTTACTTCTTGGCCTCAACTAACCTTTGGATTTTCATAGACGATGTTGCCAATGCTTGGGCTACAAGTGTCTCCTCCCGCTCCATCTCCTACCGCCAGGCTATGGTTCTCGGTACCATTTTCGAATTTGTTGGAGCTGTCGCTGTCGGTGCTCGTACCGCTGATACTATCAAGAACGGTATCATCCCCAACTCAGCCTTTAAAGACAATGCCGGCGTTCAAATGCTCGCCTTCACATGTGCCCTTGCCGCTGCATCCTCATGGGTGATGTGGTGTACCAAGAACTCCGCCCACGTCTCCTCCACATACTCCCTCATCTCTGCTGTTGCCGGTGTCGGTGTTGCAACTGTTGGTGCTTCCCAGGTTCAATGGGGCTGGAACAACGGAAAGGGTCTCGGTGCCATCTTCGCTGGTCTCGGCATGGCTCCTGCCATTTCCGGTTGCTTTGCTGCTATTATCTTCCTGTTGATTAAGTACACTGTGCATGTGCGGAAAAACCCTATCGCCTGGGCTGTCTGGAGTGCTCCTTTCTTCTTCCTCGTTGCTGCCACCATTTGCACCCTCTCCATTGTCTACAAGGGCTCTCCCAACCTAGGCTTGAACAAGAAGCCCGCTTGGTACGTGGCTGCCGTCACTATGGGTACCGGTGGTGGTGTCTGCATTCTATCTGCTATCTTCTTTGTTCCTTTCCTCCACTCCCGCGTGATCAAGAAGGATCCCAGTGTGAAATGGTGGATGGTTATCCAGGGTCCTCTGCTCTTCAGCCGTCCTGTTCCCACAGATTGCGAGGTCTCCAAGGTTCCCAACTACGCTGTGGTTCAAGATGATTCCGAGGAGTATGAATCTCACCTGCCAATTGATGAGAAGGAAGCCAAGTCCGGTGTTGCCTCCATCCCAAGCACTAGCGAGGAGCGATCCATTGATAAGGTCGAGGCCAACCAGCCCACCTACCGCGAACTCATGGCCAAGTCTGAGGAACGTCACAATGCTAAGCTCCTTAAGAGCCGTGGTCCCATTGGCTGGGCTATGCGTCTTCTCCGCGACAACCCCATGGGCCCCGGTGAGATCTACGAGATCCGCAACATGAAGTGCATGGCCAAGCGTCTCCCAGCTATCATCACTGTCGGTCTGCTCTACGGTTTCCACTACGACATCCACACTGCCCAGAGTGGTAACGAGGGTACCCCCGAGGGTGAGCGCATGAAGCGTGTCTATGCCAACGCCGTCAAATACCCCAACGAGGTTGAGCACACCTACTCCTTCATCCAGATTATCACCGCTTGCACTGCTTCCTTCGCTCACGGCGCCAACGACATTGGTAACTCCGTCGGCCCCTGGGCTGCCATCTACTCCGCTTGGTCCACCGGTACTCCCGCTGCCTCCAAGTCCCCTGTCCCTATCTGGCAACTTGCTGTTTTAGCCATTTGCATTTCCATCGGTCTTTGCACTTACGGATACAACATCATGAAAGGTAAGCACTTCTTCCTCTTCCCCTTTCCAATCTTCATGTTTACTAACTGTACACTTAGTCATGGGTAACAAGATCACCTATCACTCCCCATCCCGTGGTTCCTCCATGGAGATGGGCGCGGCCATCACCGTGCTGGTCTTCTCTCAGTACTCCCTGCCCGTTTCCACCTCCATGTGCATCACTGGTGCTACCGTCGGTGTCGGACTGTGCAACGGAACCATCAAGGCCGTCAACTTCCAGCGTGTCGGTCTTTTGTTGTTCGCTTGGATTATGACCATCCCCGTCGCCGGCACCATTGGTGGATGCCTGATGGGCTTAATCCTCAACGCTCCCCATTTCATCACCGTCTAGACTTTTGGCATTTTTTTGATTCCCCCCCTCGTGAAAATTTTGAATAGCGCGCATATTTTACTTAATTCTTCTTTTGAAATACCAACTTAGATTATGGACATGTCAATCATTCGCAATGTATTTAAAAAGACCCGGCAGTGGCTTATACACTATTGGAAATAGAACTTTGTTCGATTGAAACTAATATTAATGTGCCCTACAACTTTTTATTATATTTAAAAGAAAGGTTAATGAAATGAGTACTCTGTACATAAATTCCTCTCAAAAATAAACAAAAACAAAAAAAACAAAAAAAAATAGTTTCCCTGGGAATCGAACCCAGAACCTTTCCGGAACATCTGCTAATTGCATTTGTTAACGGAAAATCATAACCGCTAGACCAGGAAACTGTTAGGCCACTTGGACCAATTGATGAAAAAAACATCCAAATTTGTCATTATGAGGGGAAAACAAAACTGTAATATAGATTCTCATATTTTGCTTACAATAGTCCTCTTTATATATGAATTTTACAGGAGATTCTTTATCTATTTGTAGGTTTCACTGATATGCTCAATAACTATTGAAATTTGGATTGAAAGAGAGAGGAAAAAAACATGGGAACATTCATACATATATTCACACATGTAGTTACATATTCAAGATCCGTAGTCTGCGATTCTCAATTCTCAACTTACATATCCCGAGCAACCTTGGCCAACTCATATCTTTCTCTTCGCAAGTAATCATAGGTGACGATACTCTCACGAACATCCTGCTCGATAGATTCCCATTCCTGCGGAGAAATAGTGATCTCGCCAGCCTGTTTCGAAAAAATGGTCATCGGGCGGCTGCGATTTGCCAGGCCGACCTTGAAAACCCCGAGTCGGAATCGGGTCTGATGTGTCGGTTCGTGGGGCTCTCCAAAGATAAATGGTTCTTTCGGACGTTGGTAAGGTTCTCCATTGAGTTTTGACGTGAGGCCCATTCGGAAACATTCTTGCCTGAATCGGTCCCGGGCCGATCCTGGCTCGGGCATTTCATACGCAGCCTGGTCACTAGGAACGCTGGCTGAAGCTGCGGCTGGGTCAGCAGAGGATTCTGATCGTTGGGGGTCAGTAGGGGCGGCTTGAGAGTTTGTTGCGTTATCACCCGTAGCACAATCCGTCTCGCTACCTGCGGTGTCATCTGAATCATCTGCAAAGCCTCCTTTAGGGTCGCCTTCATATTCATCCTCAGTTTCGGTGTCGGTATCCGTGTCATCTCCAGAATCACTCCAAGGCTCATAACCAAGCTCTTCTGCAAGAACCATTCCAAGAACCTCGTTTTTCGAATTCATCTCGTTAACCACTCCTTGCTCCATGTGCTCCTCGTCCATCTTCTGTTGAATCCGCACCCTACACCGGGGCTTCATGACTTTTGTCAACGGACGTTGCTTGATCAAAGGTAGTTGCATTTTGACGAGAGCGCCCTTCCAAGTCCTCAACGGTCGCTTGCGTTTAAATTCGATCGTGACAGAGTTGTTGTCGGTCCTGTTAAATTTCATCTCCCTCGCGATAGCCTCATAATGGGCACGCAGTCTTTCAGCCCGAGTTTTCGGACTAATTCCATGCCTTGTGATATCCAGGTAAAGGCTCAGGTCCTGGCATTCGACACCCTCGTTTGGATCCATGGCGCAAGCGTTCGCTTTCACAAAGTGCTCATGAGATCTGCTTATGTTTTCGCGCAGTAACTCAACTCGTCCCATCCAAAACTCACATCTGGCAACGAGGAGTGGATCATTGGATCTATCTGCAGCGTCCCTGGCGAGCTTGACTGTAAGCTCAGCTTCGGAGGCAACCTTAGCGGCGATGAAGCTTGAGCCTACAAAGAGGTAAGAACAAACCTCAACACGACAGTACGTGTAGAGGTCACCGTCTCCGGTATCCATATCGATGGACATGCGACGGAGGATACCTGGAATACACGTGTTTTTTTCTCGTGGATTGTCGGCTTGCCGTAAAGAGCCGGGACGTGCTGTCTGCAAGGAGCGCACATCATTGCTCGCGCGGGGTGTTGTGTTGGACATGATCAAAAGACTGCTTTGTCTCTAGGAAGGTCTTTGGGGTTGATCTTGGTAACTTTGCGAAGATGTGATGAGATTTCAGTTCGTCTTGCAATTCAAAAATTCTGTCAGGTAAAAGTTAAAAAATGGAAGAGAGTGGCAATGTGTGTGTGTTGATGAAGGAAGATAGCAACTGAGTGAGAAACTTCGGCCCTTATGTACCCCACAGGCGCGTCGACAGGAAAGACAACAGACGCGATGAAAGGCGTTTGGAATTTGAAAGACTTTTGTTACAGAATACCGACACTGAGTCGTTCTTTCCTTTGTTTCTCTCAATTCCATTGTAGCCTCGCTGAAACCGAAATAACACATTCATTATGTTCCCTTGTGTAGCAGCTAGCTCAACTTGTACAAACCAGGAGTTCCATAGCCATGCTAGTAGTATTAAGATCCCCTACCTAAGTAGTCCTAGAGATGCTCTCTTAGCTGGGTCAATCCATAGGTACGTTGTACTTCAGACGCACCGTGGCAATCATGTCAGCAACTAACCTTAAGAAAAGTTCTGAAGTTCTTTTATTACAACTTACTCGAAACTGAAGGTCAAACTATGGATATTCGGTTTAGTGGAATATCTTTTGTGAAAACACTATTCATCAGCTTGGGAACATCACAGCAAGATATTCTCATACAAAATGTCCAATGTCTTGAGCCTACTACACTAGAGTTGGATACATAATGAGCGACAATATTACCTCGGTATACCAAGCGGCCCCAAACATCATACCCTCAAGTAACCTGACCCTCGCCATTTCCCCCTTCTAACCTGATCCCCAATCTCCATTTGACATTTTAGGGACTACTTTGCGTGATCGCGATCAAATTGGACCCGAGCCGGATTACTTATTACTTATTGTGAGAGTCATTTATCAATGAACAAACCATAGGAATACGCCAATAGGTAAACTCCATATGTAGTATGCAATCTGAAATTGTGTGTATTTTAAGATAAGTCACTATCTTTCCAGTCTAATAATGCGTGGGTAGACGCTGCGGCCGAGGAATCAAACTCAGCAACTTCTAAGCGACTAAATCTAATGCCTCCCTTTGAACCCCACGGACCTTTTCTCTGTAGCTATGTCCAGTGTGTAGCTATGTCCAGTGCTCGGGGGAAAGTGACCAATAAGCCTCTGGAAACCTTCCAAGTTTCATGAGGTTCATGCCTTTTATAAAATTAGTATGACAGTGATAATGCTAGATTTTAGATTATCCAAGACGGCATACTGTATGTTGATCTGCACAACAACCATCTCTAGGCTCGTCATGGACTCTTCATATCGGCAAAGCTGATGTTGAATGGAAGCGATGAAAAGTCGACATCGCATCTCATCAAATTCACACAGAAAGGGGTCACAGCTAATGACCCGCGAGGCAAGGTCCATTGCAAGCTCGGGATTACCCTCTCGCCACCGATCTTCTGCGTCAAACAGCAATGAGCCACGGTATGAAAAGAGCCAGCTAACAGGGTGATGAGAGTAGCAAAATGGCAGGCAGTGTACAATATTAGTTGTGGAGTGGAAGCAAAGCCTCGGCTATTTGATTCTGGGATAGGTTACGGGTGTTGCATGGTAAGGCGTGTGCAGATAGTTATTCTCTTGTACTAGGCATAGCCTTCTGCAACAACAATACCAGGGAAATGGCTTTATGGTAATATGCAAACCTAGCAAATATTGCAAACAGACAAACTCAACAAAAACAGAAAAGCAAACAGAACAAACCTTACAAAAGCGACAAACAGGTACCTATGACATCACCGATCCCCATCCGCAGCACCTCGACTGGCAAGATGCAACCACAAAGTGTAATAGCATAGCTCGGGTGAGTCAACTTTTTGTCTAGTCTAACTTTTTTGTCCAATCTGATACTACAGACCTTTCCGCAGCAAGCCGCTTATACGATCAGGCCATGATTCTAGACTTGCGGGGGTCCTGTTGCAAACATGTTGACCAAGATGAAACCGGGTTAGAGGCCAATCCGCACCTTGAATCACATTAATAAAGTCTGCATAGCACCCCCCTACAAAGAACATTGTTATTTTCACCTTTTTTTCTCCCTTACACTCTTGTAGACAACGTCGCCGTATAAACCACAACCTGTGGAGGTTACCCGCTCTTTCCGTTTTCTAATAATTTGTCATAGAGAGAGAACCTTGGAAGGCTTGCCAGGTACTAACTCCCATCTTTCCACTATGTTTCAATGCTTTTACTTCTGAACTGACATTGCCCTCCAAGTCATGTCTCCTACCGCGCTCAGAAACGTTGATACGGTAGAAATTGTGAATATCCACCCGAAGGACATAGAATTCTCACTAGTGGATGAGATCTACAAGCATTTGGACCCGCCAGCAGGCACACCCCGCACATTCCCTACCCTTCTACTCTATGACGCCAAAGGATTGAAGCTCTTCGAGGACATCACTTACTTGGATGAATACTATCTTACCAACACCGAGATTGAAATTTTGACAAAACACGCGAAAAGGATAGTCGCACGAATTCCGGAAAATGCACAGTTGGTGGAGCTCGGCAGTGGGTCAGTGACCTCTACACCCTAGAATCCATCGCCTCGCGCGCCTGTTCAGAATTCTAACAATTATATTTCTAGGAACCTGCGCAAGATCGAAATTCTACTTCGAGAGTGTGAAAGGATCGAAAAGAAAGTAGATTACTATGCTTTGGACCTTTCATTGGTGGAGTTACAGCGAACATTCTCTGAAATCTCACCCGAGAGCTTCATCCATGTAGGATTTCATGGTCTCCATGGAACGTACGATGATGCTGTCGGCTGGCTGAAAAGGCCAGAAAACCGGAAGCGACCAACAGTGGTATTGTCTATGGGCTCATCCATGGGCAATTTTAGTCCTTCAGGTGCTGCAGAATTTCTTGGTGGTTTTTCTAAGCTATTGAGCCCGTCCGATTTCATGCTTATCGGATTGGATGCATGCAAGAACTCGGAGAAGGTGTTTAGGGCCTATAACGATACCAAAGGTATCACTCGCCAATTCTATGAGAATGGCCTCCGGCATGCCAATACTGTTCTTGGCTTTGAGGCCTTCAAGCCCGACGAATGGGAGATCTTGACTGAGTATGATACTCGTGAGGGACGGCATCAAGCATTCTATTCTCCAAAAGTTGACGTGCTCATCAATGGGATCAATATACCCAAAGGAGAGAAACTCATCTTTGAAGAGGCATGGAAGTACGGTCGCAACGAACGGGTTGAGCTGTGGCGCAATGCAAACCTCATTTCTCAGGTCGAATTTGGAAATCTGACAGATGATTACCGTGAGCCTGACCTTTTTGTTGAATCATCACTGCATATTTACTGACTACGTTTTGAACAGATCTTCATCTGTTATCACCCGCTGCGCTTGATGTGTCTCTGAACCCTTTGAAGTATGCAGCCCAGCCGATCCCGAGTATCGAGAACTTCGAGTCTCTGTGGACTGCATGGGATATCGCGACTAAAACCATGGTCCCTCATGAGGAACTTTTGTCCAAACCAATCAAACTCCGAAATGCGCTGATCTTTTATTTTGGCCACATCCCGACATTTTTCGGTGCGTCTCCAATCCTTGATGTTGTTTATCGTGCTCACTGCTAATTATGCTGGAACTCAGACATTCATCTGACGCGGGCTTTGCAGGAGGAGCCTACCGAGCCCAGACATTATAAACTTATCTTTGAGCGCGGCATTGACCCAGACGTCGAAGATCCGCAGCAATGCCATTCCCACAGCGAAATACCCGATGAGTGGCCGCCATTAGACGAAATCCTGGACTACCAAGATAGGGTGCGGAATCGTGCGCGTTCAATCCTACAAGAGGGATATGCGTCGGAAGACCGCGCTCTTGGGGAAGCTCTTTGGATAGGGTATGAGCATGAAGCAATGCATCTCGAGACTTTCCTCTACATGCTACTCCAGAGTGATAAAACTCTTCCTCCCACAGGAGTTGATCGCCCGAATTTTGAGCAAATAAGTCGTCAAGCGAAGAGAGATGAAAAACCAAACAAGTGGTTCAGCATTCCGCAGCAGACTATCGAAATTGGATTGGATGACCCTAACGAAGAAGTTATACCAAATCAATCTTTTGGATGGGACAACGAGAAGCCCCAAAGAAAGGTCACCGTGCATGCCTTTGAAGCTCAAGCGAGACCCATCACCAATGGTGAATATGCCAAATACTTACAGATTAAGGGTATTCAAACATATCCCGAGTCCTGGGTGTTTTGCCCGGGTCAAGACAAACCCATCTCCAAGGGCATCGGTTCTTCAGGCGCCCATGCCGGTTCGAGCTCCAGTACTGCGGCATTTTCTCTGAAGGATTTCGCAGTCCGAACTGTGTTTGGGCCTGTGGCCCTTGAAGTCGCGCAAGACTGGCCATTGATTGCTTCCTATGATGAAGTGGCGAGCTATGCAAAGTGTATGCAATGCAGGATCCCCACATTTGAAGAGACCCGGAGCATATATTACTACTCCGACCAACTTAAAAGTCATCCACTTGAGGATGGCCACAGGTATGGAAAGAGGCAATGTTATGATATTGCAGGAACTAACTTTAAGATAGGAATGGGGTCAATGAGTTTGCTAATGGTAGCAAACCCAACTCCACTGATCAGACTGTTTTCCGTGATCTCACCGGTTGCAATGTTGGCTTCAGTAACTGGCACCCTGTTCCTGTCACACCGAATGGGGATCAGTTAGCTGGTCAGGGTGAAATGGGAGGTGTTTGGGAATGGACTAGTACACCATTGGCTGCGCACGATGGCTTCAAACCTATGGACATCTACCCTGGATACACATGTAAGTGATGCCTTGAGCATCGACACCGAACCTAAACTAACTGACGTCTACAGCAGACTTCTTTGATGGAAAACACAATATTGTTCTTGGGGGCTCCTGGGCTACTCTGCCCCGCATTGCTGGCCGGACTACTTTGTGAGTATAAGCCTGATAATGTTCAGCCTGGACCAACTAACAAATTTTAGCGTCAATTGGTATCAGCATAACTATCGTTATACATGGGCCGGTGCACGTCTAGTTAGAGATCTGTAGATAGTGCTCGAGCAATGTCAAAATGAGCTGGAGATGTGCCCCTGTCCAGAATGTTATGACCTCATTTTCATGATAAGAGATAAAACGTGGGGGGCGTAACGTGACTGCCCCTCATCCCTTGCCCCCAACATCTTCTCCAATCCCTTGTCTTCATATTACTTGAATAAATACCCTGCATGATGTCGCTCGAAACTATTAAGACCATCTCCCCCGCCACCAATGAGCCTGTTCTCACCCGCACCGGTGTTTCTGAGGAGGAGTTGAAACAGATCCCCGTGAACGCTCAAGCAGCTTTCCGGTCATTCTCACAGTCCACAACCTTGGAGCAAAGGCAGAAAATTGTAGAACGTGCCCTTGACATATTGGAGAAAAAGAAGGATGAATTGGCACGCGAGATTACCGAGCAGATGGGCCGGCCCATCGCCTATACTGGTGTTGAAGTTGCGACCGCCATTAAGCGCAGTCGTTACTTGACCCGCATTAGCACCTCCGTGCTAGGTGAGCAAGGAATTGTGCCCGGAGAGGAGGAGAAGGGATTCAAACGGTATATCAAGCGCTCGCCTGTCGGTGTGGCGCTGATAATCTTCCCGTGGAACGTGAGTCCAATTCGTCAAGATATTGGTATATCTGCAGACCGTTGATAAAGTCAATATATAGTACCCCTACCTCACTCTTGTCAACAGCTTGATTCCCGCCATTCTTGCTGGAAACGCTGTTATTCTCAAGCCCTCCCCCCAAACTCCAACTATCGTCGAACAGTTTGCTTCTGCTTTTGCCGCAGCCGGTCTTCCTGCAAATGTGCTTCAATTCTTCCACTGCGGATCTTTCACATTTATTGAGACCTTGGTGCGATCACCACTGGTCAACCATATCTGTTTCACGGGTTCTGAAGCTGGTGGTCTGGCAGTGCAAAAGGCAGCCTCCGATCGGATTGTGAATGTTGGTTTGGAACTTGGAGGCAAGGACCCAGCCTACGTGCGAGATGATGTAGACCTCGCCTGGGCCGCTGAGGAAGTTGTTGATGGCGCTATCTTCAATAGTGGACAGAGCTGCTGCGCGATCGAGCGCGTCTATGTCCACGAGAAGGTCTACGATGGGTTCATTGCTGAGGTCCAGAAGGTCCTGAGCAACTACCGCGTTGGCGAGCCTTCAGATCCCAAGACCCAAATTGGACCCGTTGTCTCTAAGCGCGCGAAGGAGGCTATTCTTGCGCAGATCGAGGACGCTGTGAAGAAGGGCGCGAAGAACGAGACCCCTGCCAATGAGACCTTTGAGAACTTCCCTCCAAATGGAAATTATGTCAAGCCTACACTGCTGACCGGCGTTAATCATGATATGGTCGTGATGAAGGATGAAACCTTTGGGCCTGTGATTCCTGTAATGAAGGTCTCGGGTGACGACGAGGCCGTTCATCTGATGAACGATAGCGACTTCGGTCTTACCGCCAGTGTTTGGAGCAAGGACGTTACGGCGGCTGAGAAACTGGTTGAACGTGTTGAGGCTGGCACCGTCTTTGTTAACCGATCTGACTTCCCTAGCCCCGTAAGTGTGGCTCTTTCCATTTACTATCGTCACCCTTCGCTAACTGAAGTATCCTATAGGACCTCGCGTGGACAGGCTGGAAGAATTCTGGCCGCGGTGTTACTCTAAGTCGATTCGGGTTCGAGCAGTTTGTCAAACTGAAGAGTCACCACATTAAGGATTACCCCAAATAAACATGTGCATGTAATATAAGTTACATTTCGTCAGGATAGAATTCATTACCTAGATCCTGGAAGTATGAGTACTGCGGAGTGCTCGATGAAATCCACTATTTCTTTTCTCCAGTCTCCATACAACGAACTGGCGGGTTTCATCTGCCGGCTATTCTAGCCGTTTCGGTAGACTTTATCACCACATAGATGTATTTTTAGACCGCCAATTCTCCGGAGATTTGTGACTCACTTCACCTGTTAATCTTGGAACAATTTTGAAAAATAAATCATCAGTTCTCAAGGCCATCATGACGTTAGTCCCAGTGTCAGAGGATAACCCCTTCCAATCTTTGATTGCGGAAGTAAACAACGATTCGGTAAGTGCGAGAGTTATGAGGTAACATCAAATGTTTAACCCCTTTTTGCTCTAATAATAGGCAATCCTACAATCTCGGTATGAGAACCACCGAGTAGCTCGCAATAGCCAGCAAAGTGCAAAGATCCTATCCGACAGCTTTCCTGGCTGGTCACTTGACGAGATTTTGAAGCGACTCGATGGCCCTGAAAAGGAAGATGGATTTGTCGATCCTCGAAACTGTCTTGTCATCTGGGCCAGACCCTCACCCCAAGTTCGCGACCTGATATGCTTTATCCAGAATGAGTTGAAGAGCATTTCTCCTTGTAAGTGTAGCAATATATAGTTCTCTGACGACAATTTCCCAACCCATTGATTCGCTAACATGCGGGGCTATAGCACTCTGGCTCATGCCGCCTGAAAACCTTCACATCACCGTCTTGGAAGCTGCCCATTCCCTGACGGAAGAGCAAATTGAAGAACTTGTCCAGACGCTCCTGTCATCCAAGGACATCACATCTGCAGATATCGCAGCGTATCCACGCAGCCGCCCTACACGTCTCATCAAGCCTATGGTAAGCTTTGATTCCGCCGCACTGGCGCTCAGCTTTGTTCCGGCTGCTGGTGAGTGCCTAGAAGCGGAATCTGGTAGCGATAACGAGCAATACTCGTACCATCATCTTCGCCGAGATGTGTTTGACTTGGTCCGACAAACCAAGGTCCCTGTGGCTTCGCGTTATATTGTTCCCTCGGCGCATCTCACTATTGCAAGGTTCATTTCTCAGGACGGGTTTGCGGTCAAGGGATCGGATGGCGCAGAGACGGTTGATCATTCACGCGTCAAGTTGTTGGTTGATAAAATTGGTGAGATTAACCAGAAGCTGGAGGATGAGTATTGGCCTAAGGAGGGTGCCATCAGGGAGGGGGGTGAATGGATTGTTGGGCAAGAGGGCCTGGTAATTCGGAGAGGTCGTGTCTGGTATGGAGGCGGCGAGTATGTGCCACTTGAGTAGAGATTTATTTGAGTAGACCATGCGTATATTCTCTGGTCTGGGAAGGGGTTTGGTTATTTGACGAACACCGATGTTTATAAGTAGACCTTTCTCAACGTGTCGCTCTCAACATTATCATGCCACACGTGGAGATAGATCAATACAATATATTTATGTGACAGATGGACTCCATCGCAGATTCGTATGCTTACTCGAATCTATCAGGGTTACCGACAAAAACGTTCGAAATCTTGGTTGTTGCGAAAGTCTCTTTGCGAGAAAGTGCACTCGACTGGATAGCTTCTTGAATATCTTTACCGTCATTTCCATAGGCATGGGCTCTGTCAATGAAGCCAGCTAAAAGACGGGAATTTATGACTTAGGGCTTAGGCTTAAGGACAACTCGACATGGCCCCGGGATGTTTGATCATGGCTTGGAAACACAGACAAAAGGACATCATATTATGGCATTAGCTGGCAATATGACACTAATCAATGCAGAAAATTATATAGTAATGGTGCTAGGCCTCTTGCATTAGAGACATCTCTATAGTTCACACCTCCGGGGCTAGGAGTCTTGAGGCATGTAATATGACGCCACGTGTTGGTACGCTTTTGCAAAAATGAAGTAAAAGCTGCAACGCACGCGTTATTTGACATATAATTCTAGATCAAATGGTAGATATTGATCGCAAATATTGATTCCACATACTAGAATACAATAAATACACACTAGTTGGCGTAAAACGACATTTAGACTTGGGCCCCACTTAGGCTTCGCTTATAATGCACATTTGAGCCCAAATTCATATAACAGTCCCGGCCGGCTGGCCCAATGGCAAGGCGCTTGACTACGAATCAAGAGATTGCAGGTTCGATCCCTGCGTCGGTCATCATTTTTTACTTCTTTTCAGTATTCGCACTACTAACTAGGTCATCTTTTTGTCCTGGTGATTTATTCGGCACAAAATTTGTATGCAACATTGTGGGTTCTGTCACATCCATATAATAAATATGGTTCGTCTTATCTGAAGGTCTTGAAAGTCAGCTGATTGAGTTGGTCTTTTTGCTACGTAGGACCCTGACTTATTGAGAAACGCTAAAAGGGTTGCTTGGTGGATGGGATTTAAACGAAGGGCTGCTCACTATATTGAGTGAGTGGATGCTTGTTATCCCATTTGGCCTGGGTGTACGGGGGTGCCTTTGAAATAATAAAGTGGTAGGATAAGAGTTGTAGCCGGCCTAAGTAAAATGAAGTAGTTATAGCTAACAATATATTTCGGGAGCCACATAGTTAGAAACTAGCAGATTGATTTCACCAGAGCATCCATCCAACCAAACTCTCGAAGCAGTGATCATTATCCTCTGATAAATTACCTCTCCCACCAAGCTTGTTGCGCTCCTTTAGAGCTTCAATTTTGAACTGCTCAGCGGAAACCGCGTTACCCAATCGTAACTCTGAGATCCCGAGAAACCACAAGGCTCTAGCGAGATGTCCTTGCATTTCAGACACACCTCGGCTCATGTCAACAATTGCGCGAAGCATTTTCGCGGCCAATACATTCTCATCGATGGCTACCAACATCCGAGCAACAAGAAACATAGAGTCAGCTACTCTAGGTCCTCTATCGCCGAAAAGACCCCTGCGAATGGAAATTGTCCTAGAAGCAAGCTGCTGAGCCTCTTGCTTCAACCCTTGAGCATACTTGATCCTCGCTAAAAGAACAATATCACCACTATGCTTGGGGTACTTGGAATCAATTATCTGTTCTTCAGTCAGGTTTTGCAATTCCCAGCATTTCTTTAATGACACCAATGCCTCCTCCGGTTGTTCGGCGCGGAGATACGTCATGGCATAGATTGCATGTGTTCTGGCCATATGAAGCGGGTTGTGTGCGTTGTGAATAGCTGCTGCCTTTGAAAGATATTGAAATGCTTCGGCAACCCTTCCTTGCTCGGTGTAACTGCAAGCTATCGAGTCGTATACATCTGCAATTGGGGGAGAGTTTTCTTGTTCTAATTCTTTTCTTACTGTTAATGCCCTCTGATAGGCACTCAACGCAGAGTCTGGTTGTGCCAAGTCTAGTGCAATATGACCTAAAAGTCGACAGGCATGCGCATAATTCCGAGTGGAGTGGCTGATATCGAGTGAAAGGCCATATTCAAAGAAGTAACGTGCAGTTGTCGGTTGCTCGCGTTCCCAAAGGTACCTTTAGCAAGTTAGAGCCAAAGAGGATCTCTTGATCGGATGGTCTGTTAAGAGAAATTCAACTCACGTTCCGGCGCGGAAAATCAACTCCGCAAATAACTCCACGTTAGTGGTCTTAAGCGAGTGCGTCTCAACCAGTTTCATGAGCCTGCTGACATGCGGTAGAATTACACTGCAGGTTTGCCATAATTTCCACCCGTGACCTTGCTGGTTTGTCCTTTCGATCCAAGAGTTCGGAAAACTGGAAGACAGCATTTGAATTGCACAATCCAAATATATCAGCACATCTGCCTCAGACAGACGTGAGAAGACAGTAGCTTGGATGAGTCGGTGTAGTGTGATTGCTTTCATTGTGGGTGATCGGACAATCAGCGATGCTCTTGTTAAACTGATGATAGCATCAGAAAAACTGTTCATTGTAAGCAATCTAATGGGTGTTACCGGGAAACTGAAACATACTCGAAATCATCCAATAAGAAGCTTAGGCGTGGCTCAGTAATATTGGCTCTTGGGTTTGAGAGTAGCCATTCCGGTATCGCGTCGGAATCGAAGAAGGTAAGCATATTCAGCAGTATCTTTCCTTCAGTGGATAACGATTGGAACGAAACATCCCAAACTGTGTTTAACGTATGTTCGTATTGTAGTGGCACCGCTGATCTTGCGAATATCTTTGCTGCTGACCTTTTGTAAACAGGCAAAAGCTCCTGATAAGAATATCCACGCTCGTTGATGAATTCGCTCAGCTGGACCATGGCAAGGGGAAACCCATCTAGCAGCTCGCACAATTCTTTTGCAGCTGCTGCATCCTCTTCACTCGATGGTTTCAAACCAGTCAACGAGAAAAGTACCTCTGTACCCATCTCCGCTGCAAAACATTGCAGATGTATCAAATTGGTGGTACGCTTAGTTGCAACGGAATGTGAGCGGCAAGTGATGATGACAGACCCATTAGTGCTGGCTGGCCAAAGTTGTTCCAAAATCCCGTGATCTTCAACATTGTCAAATACCAAAAGGAAAGTTTTCCCGGATACATTCAGCCAGTCTCTCACTTTCTGGATCGATTGATATTCATCCTCTGTATCATCCGGTTTCGGGACACCAAGCTTGGATGCGAATTTCGCCAAAGCTTGCGTGAATTTGATTTGTGTTTCCGAGGGAATCCAAGCAATTACATCAAATAGATTTGCTGAAGTGTTGGCGTAGTGCAGGGCGAGTTGTGTTTTCCCGACCCCCCCTGTTCCGTAGATCGAGACCACTTTCATGCTCTTAGTGCTTTCATCTGGATCGAGCATGCCCTTCAGAAGATCATTCTCAAGTGGTCTTCCAAAAAACCTGTTGTTGAGACCGTATGGTATCATGTAACACGGAATATTCATTTCCTTGGGTTTGGAATCCTGTAGGAAACTCATTGCGTCGATTGTGTCCGCTGAGTGAGTCTCTCTGGAAAGACGTATCATGTCGGCTGTTTCGTCCACAACCCTTGAGTAGTGTCGAATGTTCTTCATAACCTTGGGGAAGTCATTGCTAAATCTGGACCAGGCGCTTCGACTATGCGCTATATTCGGATTGTTTCGAAAAAATGCAATGGAATGAGCGCAGAATAGAATTATCTCAGTGTACGTTGCCACGAGAGCTTCCTCTAATGCTTTTGTGATTGGCAACTCTTGCTCATATTTGCGGAACCTTGGTAAAGCTCGGCCTAATTCTTCGAACATATCGAGTAATTCGGGAAGGACTGGTCGCGCAAACTGGTACAGTCAGCGTCCTGTATCCCTCAGTTTCGTTTTTCTCGAGGAGTTTTTCGCTTCTCTACCTTTAATATTAGTCTTATAGACCCCCAAATAATTGCAGCAACTTGACCCTGCATCCCTAGGGCCAATGTGATAACCGCTGCAAAATCATTGAGACTAAGAAGTATTGGTTCCAGTCTGCGCAGAGTTCCGACCCATTGGCTAGAAACGCTGGAATTGGGCGGTGCAAAATCATTGATTTGTTGAATAAGGTCATCCGGACTGTGGATGCTCCAGACATCGCGATCAATAGTTGGGCCTTTGACTCCTCCTTTTCTCAACTCTTCATAATATCTATCAATGGCTGCCTGCCATATTGGACTCCTATAATTCTCTTTTTTGCCCTCTTCTCGAATTTCACCAAAAGCGCTGGTGGCTTCTCTGAAATCAAAAGGGCTCGGTGGACTCATTTTGGGGTTGAGAACGAGCTTCAAAAAAGATGAAAACAAAAGTGCGGGGTTTGGTCTCAGAGCGTACTTTTTCACCCTAACCATTTTCTAGTTGCAGGACGAGATTTTCACTGATGTCTATTGTTTATAAAATTTTGTATAATGGTAGTTACTGGTTAGGAACATTTCTAGACTTTGATAGATTGAAAAAGAAAACTTGGGTGAGGTTCGCATAACAAGGACGATTGTAAATGTTAAGGAAATAGCCCTGGAGACCACTTATGTGGGAAAATTTTATGCTACGCAAAGAAAAAGAGGGGCGTAATGAGGGATATTATTACTCCTACTCCGTACGGAGGAGTAAGAAAGGCTTTTCTAGCCAGCAAGAGGGTGATACCTAGTGACGCCCTTTATGTGCTCAAACTGCATGAAGTCCAACACATTCGAAGGGTAAGCGCCAGCCAAGGCTAACTAAGTGGGTCATTAATTTATACAGCGTTGCAGTGGACGCCTCATTGGTCTTATGGATCTCGGGCGGATCGGTCTCAAGTTATTTTCATTTGCAATATGACTACTTTACAGATACAATCGACAGGTTCCTTTGTCCGAGATGAGACCGAAGTAGTATAGAGATGTGTTCTAATTCAGATCGACAAGCCCCAGAATACTTGATCAAGAAAGGCTCGGTCTATCCATCATAAGACGCTATTTTTATATATGATAACCAATAGTCTTCCCTTATCGATCATTTGACCCACTCTTCTGTGGCTATAAATTTATTCCGTGGCAATCATTCGAATTTGCTCTATATATGGAGTAGGCGCCTATGCATTTGCAAGGATTCGATAATGCTGAAACGCTTAATGCCGTGGCTAACGCGGCCTGGAGAAGTCAAGGGTGAAAAGATACCAGTCTCTAGCCGGTATCAGTCCTGTTATATTCAGCGGGATTCAGGAAATTGGTCAACACTTTCAATATTCCTATAATAGTCCCACTATGCTTTTCACAAAAGTCGGTTAGTAACCCAGCAGCTGCTTTTAATCCACGAAGGCTTTTTATTGAGTGACTGGATAGGAAAACACAAATCTCGCAAAGTGTCTATCACTAAAGCCTTTTTGGTTTTGGCTAAGGACTCACATAATGACTTGCGCAAAATCAAACAATCCCAAGTCAAGCTACGCAGCACTGATAACACGCATACCAGTATCGATATGAGCTGGTACGACGAATGGATCTCCCAACAGCTTAGAAATCTACCTCACAGTCTCGTGCAACTCCGAGTGGGGACATACAGACTTGAAGACAAAGAGAGCCTGGAAACTCTTTTCGAAGGCATTCAAGATTGTGCGCGTGGGACCGAGGGGGTCTCCATTGATGAGATCATCGCATATTTACGACAAACTGGAGTCTTTGATTATAATAATGAGCTGCAGGGGGCCCAAACGCTTCTTGTATTTGCTGTCCTAGGCTGGCGATCTATGTTGTACCAAGCGGCTTTCAACGTCTGCTCGATACAAGAATTAGCTATTCATCAAGACTCCGACCAACCTCAATCAGGTCTTGTTTTTGATACGCATAGAATACCGGCTGAACTTTCCGACCGTCCATTATCTGTTCTCCTAAAAGCTTTTGGGCAACTTTTGCCCGCCAGGTCGGCAAATTCTCCCTATCTTGCAAGTGAGGTTGGCAGCATGGCGTCGGTCTGGCAGCCCCTGCATCCGGAAGAAACAAACGCACACCTGCTTCATGTCTTGCTTCATGTTAATATACGATGGGTTGATACCCTAGCATTGCACCTTGATTATGACAAAGCCACCAGGACTTTATCGCTCTTTAGATATCCGTCCTTTTGTCTTGAGATGCTTCAATCACGCGGCTTGGTCTACTCATTTGCCAGCATTGAGGGCTCCTCTGCTGATCCACGTGCCAACGAAGAAGATATTTCTCAATTCCTTCGAGAGGTACTTTTATCGTATCGTCTTCTTTTTGCTCAGTCGGTGCCGTCAAGGAAACTTTTTCGCCAACTTTATATGCTGCCGGATATGCATACCTACCAAACCGACTCCCTACTTTTTCAAATATGCACACAGAAGCGGATTGGACACACTTTGGCAATGCTTCCCACTGACAGGCCACTCTACTTCGCTGCCCGAGACTTTCCAGTACTGTATGACCGGATTGAACTTATAGCAAATGATCTAAAAGATGCTAGGCCAAGCTCAATCATAGGTCTCATAAGAGATAGGCGCAATGTTCTGCAGTATTGGACGTTTTGGCTGGTGGCTATCTTTGGCAGCATTAGCATTGTCTTAAGCTTGATTCAAGTAATTTTACAGGGATTACCAATGATGCGAGCATGAGTTTGGAGATATCTTAACAAGTGAGCTATTTATCGTGTTGTTGATCTAGGTGTAAACAATCTAATTAATACTCGTTTTCATAGTTCCACCAGTCGTTACACAACAGCTAAGTTTACTGCGGATAGACGGTTAGCGCCTCAGGCATATACTGTGCCTGAACCTGAGTTCTCCTCATATGTCCCCTCGGTCAAGATGACTGAACAAATTGAACCATTCATCTGACCTTTCAGAGATAAGAGCAATACTACATCAAATTAGTTATGTCATGTGACCCAAGCTTGTTGTTTTACCCCGCTTTTAGCGAACAATGTCCCCAAAGGCTCCTCTAGCTATTCCATCTTTCGCTCAAACAATAGACGTTACGGGTTTTACCTATTCTACTCTCCTCACCACCATATTTATTTTTCGAAAAGGCATCCAGGATGTCGATTACTCACATCGTTCTTTTCCAATTCAAATCAGACCTATCTGAGGAAGTCATCAATGCTGTACGTATATAATGACAAGATCCCGACCCGTTACATGGTTTTTATTTTTAGCGATGAAGTATTTTCAATGAATGTTAACAATTATCTACAAGGCTTGTGGGCGTATGCTTGCGCTCAGAGACAGTTGTATCCATCCCACCTCACAAAAACCCTACATCAAATTTGCATCTGGCGGGAAGGATAACTCTCCCGAAGGCATCCAGGTAAGTTTTCCTGGGGCCACAAAAGATGGACAAACCAGATGATACTGATACATGATAGAATGGAATTACACATGCATTTGTTGTAGAGTTTGAAAGTGCTGCAGATAGAGACTATTATGTACAAAGCGATCCGTCTCATCTGGCATTTGTTAAAACTCTTGATGGGCTCGTTGAGAAAGCGCAAGTCATTGACTTCAGCAATGGGGTTCTCTGAAGCTTCCAGTAAGGGCTTCATATGTCAACATATCTGTTACTTTAGACGACATATCATCTTGGCTTTTATAGATATTGTGAAAGAATAGATCCCAGCTTGAATTTACCTGTGAAGTATATACATCAATTGTTTCATGCAGCTTATATTCCTACTAGTGCAAAGTATATTTTAAAAGCCAAAGCATTCTAACTGATCCATGTCTACAGCAACCCCATGCTTAGCGCTTGCGCAGACATAAATTTGGGATGATTGATTCATTGACTGACCCTCCACAGCACAGATAAATACAGAGAGCATGTATGAGTTGGGCCGCGGAGTGCCACGCCCTTCGTATATAAACATCCAGCAAGAATGGATACTCAGCGCACGGAAATGCATTCTCGGGCAAGCAATGCTCCAATTTACCGGTGAGTTTAATAACCAGGAATGTAAGCTAAACCTCAGGCTCGGGAACCACTTTATCGGACGGAACTGGCCGATACACCAATAGAATATTGTATTCAAGGGTCCTTTAGAAACGACTCCGTACCGATCTTGCGGAACCTTGCATTGCGGACTGCAATGGATACCACTCCCGAGCTCGGTACTCATTCATGGCTTTAGCGTTTACCCGAATAAGTATTTGTTAGATACCTTGACTATGAGAGGGTTCAATTAACGGTTAAATTGAGTTGTCGTAAATATACGGAAATCTTTAAGCATTCATAAATTTACTCGGACTTAACTCAAGGATCGAAGGTTTCTATCCCTGCAGGTCCATTCAAGTTAGGGCTCGATTTTGTTTGTCGAAATGAAACACGCAACAACAATTATACCTGACATATAGAATTATGGTACAAGAATAGCCTGGATTGACCCTCATATCCTCCATCTTAACCTAACGATATTAGAACGCGTACTGCGTAAAAATCATTGCGGAACTAAACTGACCATGCTGTCCTTTGACTCGGCATTGCTCCGATGCAAGGGGGACGCGAAATAATAAACGCCAACCATTCCCGAGCCTCGCAGCCACCCGCAAGGTTCTTTTAACTCGATTGAATTGATGGTATTTCTGGAACTTTTTAGCGGAGTTCTTATTGTAGACAAAGGAAATATGTAACAAAGGGCAAGGCGAGGAACCTTTCATTTCGGAATTGTCAATGTGGCTGGAAGTTATGTTCCACTTGAGACCTATAGTTGCCTTAATTATTGCCTTTGAGATTGTGTATACGCTTGTCCTCCAATATCAGATTAAATACACCGGGGTCAAAGCCCCTACTCCGGCAAATGCAGATGGTATATGACCCTAAAGAATGAGATAATCTAGAGGATCGTCCCTGTCAGTGACGAATACATGATCGATCGGCACGGCAGTTCCATACAGGACTAGTGATCGACGATGCATCCTAAGAAATGTCTAAAATTGCTTCCCGAGAACCCGGGTCCCATGAGAACGGTTTCCGAGACAAAGACGAAGGAAACGAGGCAAAGAGACATTCCACTTCCAGTAAGCATGAAAAAGAAGAATAATCGGTTCCCTCCGGAGCTAGGGACAAGGAATCCCGTTTCTAGCTTCCAAGACCTAGGGTTCATTCATGCACATATCCGACCCGTCAAACGGGGACGTAAATGACCGACGGCTGGTTATTATTGAAATATCCTGTACGGAGTACTGTGGAAAACGGGATATCCAAAACTTTAAACGGCTAGATGGGTCTCTAATCCAAAAGTGGAAAGGGGACACGAAGAATGAGAGGGATATGTTTCGCAACACGAGGGCTCTCTTTGCTTCTTCTCCCTTTTACCCCTTTGGTCTGGACTCGTTCCCTTTTGATCCACTGTCAAATACCTAATCTGCATGGGTCTTAAAAGCATACCTTCCCTGCAGTCTGCAGTCATGATTACCTGTAATGACTATTGACTGTATCGGATGAGTTGCAGCAGATCGTGGGTATATTGCCTGCATGTAGAGATTTACCCGTAGAAATGATCGCCTTTGATAAAAACTTGAATTCCTAGTAACCGGAATAGGTCAAAGGGACTCCAAGCATTCGAAACTGCCTACTCAAAGCATGCAATTCAACCCAGGGAGGACCCACTGCCAGCAGGGGAGTGAAGTGCCAGATGTGCCGAGCCTGTCATCCTGTCCATGCCACAGGTACGGCTGTCGCCTGGCTCAGCTGGAGACTGTGGATCGCGTCCTTGACATGCCGGGAATGGTATAGATGTGCATACTCAACTGCCGGCAACTTTATTCCCATATTAATATATGTATCTCTCGCTCCATGTCTTTTCACTTCTTTAAACACGCCTTAATGGTGTAGAGCAGTTGCAGATTTTTCCTTCATTTTGTTCCCTTTGTTTTCTTTGGGTGTTGTCATCCCCAGTCTCTCGTTTCTCCTTGTCACTCGCTTGTATATTATTTGTTTCACCTCCAAGCGTTGCCATCATTCTTTTGATTCTTTGTTCGCATTGGACACCCTAGCTGGAATCGCCATTGTTCCAAGCTCCCACGAACTGCTTTGCTCTTTATAAAGCTCCTTATCCACCGACCAGATCACCATAAATCCAACATGGAATGCTTTCGCCAAATTTTCCGGTGCCTGAAGTCACCCTTCAGACGTGAAAAGGGAAGGATCATTGAAATTGTAAGTCGAGTGACCAGGAATGGGTTGTTGCAAGATCAGTCGCTAACAAATCCATGAAACAGGGTCCTCCCACCAACTTTCGAAAAGAAGAATTGCCTGCTTATTTCTCTGATGCCGAGTCAGTTCTCTCGCCCAGCCAAAATACGACGGAACGATCAGATCTGACTAGTCAATCACAGCACGCTTACGCCCCAGGACAGCCGCACAGCGACCGTGGAGAAGGACGGAACGATGATCGAAATGGTGTCTCTACCATCATCGACGAAGAGCAAGATGCGGGCCCAGGTTCGAAGGATGAGCAGGAGAATGTCGTCCACTACCGAGAGCGTATGAAGTTGCCCCGATGGTGGATATCAAGCTCAGCTGCAGGCCATGAAACTAAGGCCCCGGTCGAATCGATAAAGATGGAGGAAATTCGAAACGCCGAATTAGCGTGTTCGTAGGGAAATTGCGGATTGGTACATGGTCACAATAAGAAGGTGGGCACTTCATTGTGCCGGGATTTTTTTGGATCTAAATTGTTTCCTCCGCCCGTTACAGGCGGTCTTGCAGGAGGTCCTGGGGAATTATTAGAAATAGACTTATTAATCCGAGATGACTCTGGTAGTTCATCAAGGTCATCAAAAAGCGACTGAACCCGTGATTTATACGTGTTCGCTGCATTGGGTCGCTTAAGTGCCGGCTTCACTTTCGGTCTTGAAGTAGACGTGCTTTGTATGTTAAATTGCTTTCGGGCTCGTGGTGTTGTTTGATCATGAACTTGATCCTTTAGAATAGCATTTGTTCTTTGTACCGGTGGCAGCACGACTGGCTGGGTTTCTCGGTCAAGATCGTCACCGTCGTCATCCGAACCCGAGGCCGTCTCTTCATCCAGATTGATGCATGGAACTGCTGCTGCTTTTGATGGCGCAGTCACACTCCCGATACTATTCACCCGGGCTCGTCCAATACCCGAGGTAGGCATCTGTCCAAAGCCCGCAGCAGCCCTGGTAGAGGACTTAGGCCCGTGAACTCCCGCCAAGGACCGTGATTTTCGTGGGCTCGTCATGAGATCATGAAGATGTGTCCCAGCCCATCTCTCATCATCTTCATCTTCATCGTTGTCGACTCCCCCATCTCCCATCTGCGCGAGTCCAGCTTTTTGTCGCTTCCTCAACGCCTCCGCTTCTCTTTTCCGTTCAGTCTCATTTGGCACTGGGGTACGGTTGTCTGTAGGCCTCTCAATTTCACTCATTCCGGCTGCATTTGCGGCTTTCACTTCCTTTCTGCGTCGCAAGTACTCCGCATGATGTAGATGTTGAGTAAATGTCTGTGCTACGGCGTAGAACTCGTCTTCGACCATGACCCAACCATCATCGTGTTGAATTCCTTCAATCAAGAATCTATAATGTGCCTATTAGTGGCTTTTCCGGGTTGCGCGGGGCCTGGTTACGATCATACTCTTCGGAGGGACAGCGTCTGATGGGAGATGTCGGCGGGCTTTGGGCTGGACAAAGGGATCAGACATCATATTTTGTCACACGTATTCCAAAAATAAAACTTACAGGATCTGAAAAAATCGCGCCTGGGGGGAGAAACTCGAGAGTGTTTGGGAGTGAGGTCGCGATCAGGACTGGGTTCCGTTTTCACGCGCTTCCGCGGTGTTGACTCTTTTTTCACAGGGATGCTATTTTCGGCGCGAAGCCAGGGTAATGTCCTGGGCATAATCAAAGATAATATAGAGCAAAATCAATAAGTAGCTGGAAAGATTACAGTGAGGGAAAGAGAGAGCTGCTGATAGGCATCCATGGCCGATAAGGTGCGGTCACCCGCATTCCGTTCATGGGTACCTAGGTACAACTCAAACCTTCAATTTGGACCTTCACTACGGAGTGGAAATCTTGCAAATATCAACCTCATTTCTGGGTATCTAAAGTCATTTCAGACAATGGTAATGCGAGATGAAAGGAACTGGGACCGCCTCAAACGCCTCGTGCAGGATATATTACCGAAAGCAAGAACGGACTGCCGGTAGAACGCCTATCCAACCAGTCGAGGGAAACAAAAAAAAACGCCAGTATCTTTGCCCATGTAATAATCGAATTACGCCTCACCAGGACGCTTGCTATTGCAGCTCACGATCTTCACCTTGTCTGCGGTCACAGTTGTCTGGTTGTCAAGCTTGAACGAGACATCCTTGATCAGGAAGGTCCAAACTTCGTCGCAGAATCGGTATGTGTCCAAGTGGCCCTAAAAGTGGTGGGAAATGTATATGTTAGTCTCGCTGAACTATGATCGATGACCCATTTGATGTTCTCTGAACCGGAATGAGTTACCTTGAAGGTCAGTCTGGCCCGAACTTTGTCGGCCAAAACTTCAGTGACAATCTTGTCAAAGGTCCCAAGGATCTTCATCGCCAGCTGAGGCTCAATACGGCCTTCGTTGATCAGGTCGTCGAGAGTATCGGTGAGGGATAACCCAAGGCTAAAGGTTCCTTGAGTCAGTTTTGGGGCCTTCGCTTTGCTTCATCTCATCGGGGATAATTACCTGCTGCCACGGTAAAGCTCATAGTAAGCTACGGACGCCATTCTGAGAAAAAAATAATGGCAGACTCGTCGAAAGAGTGTCGGAGGAGTGAGTGACAAGAGCAAGTTCATGATCGCCTGCCGAATCGCGGGGGCGGTCGGTCGCACGTGACTTTCTTATAGTCACGTGTAAATTCTTATCTCAAATTGCGTCACAAATTGAATGTTTGTAGTTAGGCGTTCTTTCACATATTCCTCAAGTGCATACCACAAGGTGGATGACTACGCAGTATGATGTTGAAGAGCTTGGGGCCTCGATATCTTTCCAATAAAGCATTGTCTAGTCAATTGCATTTTACTTATGTACGATCATTATCAACAACATTGTTCAGAGCATCAAAAGCGCAAGGTCAGTCAGATCCATACAAAAAGCCCATATCAGAGCTAACATATATTAATTTGGGGCTATAGACTCACAAGTTTACCAAAAGTCTCAATCCAAGCAAGAGGAAACCAACCAGACATCCAAGAACTCTTCGAGCCAAGATGTGAAGCCCCACACACTTGCACCCAAGGCCAAAACCGTCTCACAAGCCGACGCCGAGCTTCGCGAGCGGCTCGAACAAATGTCTGGAGAAGGAGGAGCCTCTGGAATTGAATATGAAGACGGAAAACCGAATGCAATGAAGCGCGGCGTGCGAAACAACATGTTCCGATTAATTTGAAACAATATTCGACATGAACATATCGAACAAACCATGATCATCTCAAATGTCGCGGATACATACCAATTGAGGTCATGGGACCTGAAATTCATACTCGGCTCCAGATGCCAAGACACGTGGGAAGGAATGTTCTCGGTCGTCGTTCTCTTCCGGCCCCCAGAGCCCGGAAATTACAACATCAAAACAAGACTTCTTGGAATTTTGTTTCCTATATCACGGATGAGGATGCCCAGGCTTGACTTCGGTTGAGTTCGCCTAATTAGTATTCCGGATATATGCCCAGGTGCATGCCCTTTTTTTGATACGGATAACAAATGCATTCCTTGGGTGCAACAGTGCAATCGGCCATGATGCTCTCGCTGTGACCTTATTAACTTTCAATAGTTGGAATACACCTGGGCGCGTACCATTGGGAACATTTGACTTCGTGGTTGGGGGCGAGTTCATCCCCATGCGCCAGGTCCTGGGCCAGGGCAAGTACGGTGCTTGCATACATGTCCTGTCAATGCTCGGGCCACTGCCTCACATTCCAGGCTTCAGTGTTGTGCTTTAATCGGCGGCGGAGTCTCCCACCCAGAGAGTAGAATTTCACCAGGAAGAATATGAGACCATAGACTTAGAAGCCATATAATGGGGGACTCTCCAATTCCAATGGAAACGTATATGAACGGAATTACCACTGTCCAAAGTAGGATCACAGTGGCAGAAATCAAATCTCATTTCTATGTCGTGAGCGCCAACTCGAATAAAAAAAATAAACAGACATTATCCCATTAACACCTAATTTGAACCATTTTTGCATTGCTAGATTCCCCCAAAGAAGAAGAAACAAAGTAGAATAAATGCTTGCTAGCATTCCAAAAACCCTCATTTCCGCACAACCATGCCAGCCAAAACACCAGCGCCAATGACACCACCGTCGGAGGCTTCCCGCAAGAACACGGATTTCCCACCTCGTTGCGGACCAGTCCGCATGATAAGACGATCAATGTATTGCTGGCACATTTCCTTAAATTGTGGGTAATGTTGGATAATGCCACCAGTGTAAGCCACGACGAGCTCTTCAGGACCGGACTGCCAGTCTATTGGCGTAGGATCGATGACAGGGACGACATGTTCCTGAGCTGCATGGTTGGTAGCGGCGGCGGCAGAGTTGAGGCTTGCAGCGGCGGCATCCGGCACACCAACGAATTCAGTGCTGGCGTCGCCGTTGCCCTGGGGTGAAGCGGGATTCTCGGGTGAGCTGCTGTTGCTGTCTTCCTTCAGCTCGATCTCGCGAGCACAGGATAAGAGTCCGACCACCGCAGCGGCGATCAGACCAGCTGACCGTCTCTGTACTGTGCGAGCGATCTTTCGGAATGCGCCGGCGGCTCGGGAATCCCAGCGCCAGTCGCTGCTTTCTGGTGGAGGGAGGGATTTATTTAAGTCATTGGCAAGGTCGTTGTCAGATCGGGCTTTGGCGACATGGTCAGAGATGTATGTGGTTGTCAGGGCGTATTCTTGGATGAGGTTTGCGGGTAGGGAGCGTTTCGATAATTTGGCGACGGTTGTGAGATAGTCGAATAGGATCAAGCGAATCAGTTCACCAATGTAGCGGCCTCCGGTCATGTATTCGAAGGGCTGGAAGCCTGGGCGTGCACAGGCTTGGTCCAGCTCGATATCCCATTTTGTGGTTACGTTGAGCTCCTTGAGTGGCGGTGCAGCACCAGAAATAGTCCACTCTGTGTTGACAATAGTCTCCACAGCGCTGGGTTCCATTATGTTCACACTCTTGGCTTTAGATTCGTGCAATGCACTGAGCTTCATTGGGATGGTTGCGTTACAACCAGTGCCCACAATAATACCCATGGCGACTCTACTGTTTGGTAGAGATTTGACCTTGTATGCAAGGGAAGCTAGCGTGGCCACCGTGTCGTTGGTGATAGCTTGGATTTTCAGTTTTGGTAATGCGAAAAGCTTTCGACGTTTGGTAGAAGGTTCATCTTCATCAGGTCGCCTTGTGTGTTTATCATATCCATTCAGAAGGATCTGTCCAAGATTGAGATCTGATGAAATAGCGAAGCCTTTCCCCATGGGCATTAATGTGGCTTCTGCCAATGATTCTTGCCTGGGCTAAGTTAGCACAACACTAAATAACCTAGCATGTGGAAGAACTGGAAACACAGGCATAAGACGAAAAAACTCACATGATGGGGAAACTGAATGTAATTCCCATATCTAATTCAGCCGGGATATCCTTCTTAGTGGCATCCGATGATAGACTCTCCGCTATCACCTCCGCAATGCAATCGCCGATCCAAGAAAATAGATCCTCGGCCTTGTCCTTCTTAAAATGCTCTTGAATTGGCCATGCTCGTTCCAACGTGCGCTTCACCCGCTGGCGCTGAGCCTTCCGGATGGTGTCCCGTGACCTCTCCGTGGCATCGGTAGGTCGAATATCGGAATCCACAGCTTCTCCAAGCAACTCAATAAAGGCGACTCGAAGGTTGCTACCTCCTACATCAATCGCTAGATAACGACCAGTTTCCCGACCAGTAGGCAGTTGAGTCACAGGTGTTGGCAAAAACTGTTGGTCCGATGTCAGGGCAAGGTTGCGGTATGTGGTGGAAAAGCGCCGGGCCAATTTGTATAGAACAGCCTCATCCAGGGATAATGGTGATAAGAACTCTTCCAATTGTTGATGATGCGCGAGAAATTCTTGTTGAATGGCGTTTAATTCCAAATTGCCATCCTCGTGTTCCTCCTCTTCAATCAAATCGTCATGTATGATGTCGGGCTCGTCCTCGTCCTTCTTAGACGATGAGTTGACCAGAGTCATGATAGAATATGGAATATGTATCCCAAATTAAAAAGGAAAAAAAAAAAAAAAACACCGAAAGACTGTATATGAGAATACCCAAATGACCTGACACAGGTATGTTCAATAGTGACGTGTAGGGTCTGGAATGTTTAGGAATAGTGACAGGGCATATCCTCAAAAATCCTTTGAATTGTGGAGAAAAGCTACCGAGGAAGCTAAATCAATGCCACAAGAGCTAGTCTTAACTGTATTAGCGAGGTTGCAATAAAGGGAAAAAGGGAACATTTCGGTGACGCGGTCTGCAGGTCGACCCGGGCTGCGGGGGAAAAAAAGAGAAAACACGACGATCACTCCAGAAGGGGGTGTCCAAACCCCCATCTTATATGTTTTACATACCTTGAAATTTTGGTATAAACTGATTGTCCTGATTACCCTGATCACCTCGAAAATAATATTTCTGAGGGAGGGAGGTAATAGACTATATACGGGGCGTTGTTTGGGCTAGGGAAGTATCCCTAGATGCGCTGAGGGAGTTGATAAGGAATGAAAGTATAAAACTCCCTACTTAAGACAGGACAAGAAGAATAATTAGAAAGAAACATAAGCATATAAGGAATTTGTTTTCAGGGTACCTTTGTGGTTTTAGTCCAAATATTGTAAGAAGTCAGAAGTGGGGGTAAACGATTATCAGATCCTAGAAAGTGTTAAATTATATATAAGAGAACAGATGCGACCATCGGAAGACACGAGGCGATGCGACGCTGGGGACAAGTTGAGCCTTGACTTTCTATTGGAGAAAACTCAACTTGGAATTTAATCTCCCCTCTTTAACATCTTTCTAACTATGTAACCCTACTCTAAGTATATCCGGCTAAAGCCTTTCCATTCTTGGCAGTCTCAGGATTAGACGAAATACAGTCTATGAGGCGGTTGAAAGCGCTTCCAACACCGCTAGAGACTAATATATATAGATGTACTCCACGCGGAGTACCTGTTTACGACAAGGAGGGTGGGGTCAAAGGTTTCTGGCTTGGAGGCGCCAAAAGTATCAAAAGGATTTCCCAATGTTAATACGAGCCTCGCCTAACTTCGATATAAACGGTACTCGTGGCACTCGCGTGGTGACTCGGGCCGGACATACCCGTATTCACATAGGCGCATCTCGCGCTTTTATCCAACGGGAATGAACCCGTTCACATGGTCTCGAGAATTCGCTAGCACCCGCCACAGGCTGTCATATCTTACGGGAGTCGGTCTAAACTGCCTTAAGGATCTTGAGGTTTATAATTGGTCATCTACCTATCGGTAAATAGTCCGATGGTTCTCGTGTTTGGCTTAACTCTATCATAGAGTTCATTAATGGTTTCATGTACGAGCCTCAAAGCACGCGATCATAAGCCATGCCTAACAGATCCCGGTGATTCTAGCCTTGGGCCGTTTGAACTAAGCTAGTGCCCCCATACAAATCACCTCCGAAGTCGGAGCGTCGCCTAATCTGACGAATACGTGGATATATCGTGTGGCCTTGATCAACATATCTAATCTTGGAGATTTATGGATATATATATATAAGAATTTGGCAGAAAACAAGGTCCTTATAGTCTTTCAACCAAAACAATACATAGTGATAATCGCAGGGCTCCAGGGCTGCATGGGGCGATCCATTGTGAAAGATCTTATGTAATGGTCTTGGCGACTCTGGACCTCTGGAGCTCCGGACTCTCCACATGATCTTATCAAAACAACGTCACTTCTGATTTTACCCCATCATGGAGAAACTACCGCTCTATTCCGAGAGATATGGCGACACTCTTAAATCAACAAATGATCCTGATCGTCGTGCGCGTCCAAGCACAAGCACTTATTTGTGTCGGATCGGTGTCATTGCGTTGCTCTTCATCGGCTACCTTGTGCTTCTGAGGCCATCTTCCCCATGTACTGGCATAGCTCGACAGACGGAGAGCTACAAAGCTGAGGTTCAAGAAGAGTATGACAACTACTTACAGCTGGGCCGCTTTGGTTCTGGTGCACAGAAGACACCTAAACAAACTAAAATACCGCTGGAGGCTCACATTATGAGCAAATGCCCAGATGCCCAGGACTGCTTACAAAAACTTGTCCTACCTGCCATGGAAAAAATAAGTGACAAGGTGGACTTCAAATTATCATTTATTGCTAGGTGAGCATCAAATCAGATATCGAGAGGAACTGATGACACTAGACTATATCCTAAACATTTGACTAATACCATGATTTCAGCGTGTCTAAAGTTTCTGAAGAGATAGCGTGCATGCATGGCCCAGGTGAATGCATTGGTGACATGCTTATGCTCTGTGCGGCCAACCTTCCTTTCCCTCCCACCGCGGACGAAGCGTCTCTTCCATCCCAATACCCACGGACCCCTATTATCCGGTCGCTAGGATTTGCAAACTGTCTGATCAATGATTATTCCCGGATTCCAGAACGCGAATTTGTCCACCAGTGTGCAATGGAGCATGGGATTGACTTTGATTCCTTAAACAAGTGTGCAAGCCAGCAGAATGATGACCCAAACGATGGCAAGGATGGCGGACCGCCACTTAGTGGGCTTGCGCTACTGCGTGAAAGCGCTACGCGCGGCGAACAACTTGGCGTCAAGACCAGTTGCACAGTACGTCTCGACGATGCTGTGTGGTGTATCCGCGATAGCAATGAATGGAAGAACTGTGCTCAGAATGGAGAAGGCAGCCAACCCTCGGCCTTGGTCGACCAAGTCGAAAAGCTTTGGAAAGAGAGAAACTGATACCTAGATGGATACTTTGCTGTTTATATTTTACATTCATACCCACATGCTAGGACATGATAACTTGATTAATGTAACTGATGACCCCTTCATATTATCGTACTTCACCCATGCTATACCCAGCTGGAATTTCCTACATTCAGCTTTTGCTCAAGAAAATTATGCAAGGATTGCCTGGTTTCTATTTGATATTGCTAATTAAAGGATACGAGAATAGTTCGCCGTGTATGTGGCCTTGTGATGGCTTTTCAGTGCTCTTTTCAGTGTGCCCTTTAGTGGCGTGCCTATATTTTGGAGTAGGAACATTGTCAACCGCCTTGTTGTCAAGATGGAGTCAAAACAAAATCCATGCGGTAGCAGCCACAGCTTTTTCCAACCTATTCCGTGGACTGGCGACGATGATGTCGACTATCCCTTTCTTTCCATATCTTCAGCCATAGTAAGAGATCAAATGGCGAGTAAGAAATATGCGGATCTTTTTTGGACACCCTCATATTTGCCCGTTGGGCAAAAAAACAACATACCCTAGCTTTGCGGTGGATGTGGCTTGGTCGGAACACCGCGCACAAATGTAGAGAAAGAAATGGAATTCCGATGCCTTAGAAGGTAAAGGGGAGGTGAAAGCCGCCATGGCAATCACAGGTGTATAGTCGTGGGAAATACCATTCTCGTTTGACATAAAGGATCTGTAGACGGACTTCTCTCAAGACGTAAGTCCCCCATCCCCTTTACATAAGATGGGGATTTCAAAAACTCCTGCTTCAAAATGTCGAAAGATCCATGGATGTATAAAAATATCGTTTGAAACTATCTGTCCTCAAAAGAAGGGACTTGAGGACACAAATCTTATCCTCATATATCAGGACATCACTACTATTGTAAAGCAAATATGGGTTGTTCAATTCTATCTATGGAGTTGTCACTCTATCTCTGCTGAAAACTTGGGAGGGCAAGCACCCCTACGTGTTCCACCCATTGTTGTTTGATCAGATCTTAGAAATTCTTCTCCTTCCTCTCTCTCCCTTCCACCCATCTTTATCAACACCGCGCGTAAACGTTGTCAAAACGTATGGAATTACGAAATGTCGTCACTTTCTCATCTAAAACAGCGTGGTATATTGCTTCTAGCCTTGAGCCCACCAATATTCGACTCCCAAATCATCATCTTAGTATGCTAACAGTGTGCAATGGTTTCTCTAGAGGCCAAACCTGTGATGTCGCGCGGGTTGCATGGCAAGGAGGACGATTTATACCTCAAGTGGAGTGAGGTCATGAATCCAAGCCAGCTCTTAAAAAAACTTGTTGGAAACCGTGAGCATGCTCGGGCTCTCTCCCATGGATTGAGACGACAGGTCAAATCCATCCGCGACCGCTCGCAGTCCTACGATGATGGACAGGTTACAATCTATGACCGTGTCCTGCTTCGTCTCTATGATGAGGGCCACACTATGCAACACTACGGTGTGCTTGAATTCTACCTGGCTGAGTATCTGGGAACAAAGAACTGTCGCTCGGAGAATGAGAGCAATGCTGTCATTGCTGCGCATTTTGCTGCCCAGCGCATCCTGGATAATGGTCTGCCACCGTGCCTTGATAAAATCTACTCTTATGTATCCTAACATAAGCTACTAGGCCCTATTCCCAAAATACCAGTTACTGCAACCGATACCGTGGAAGGTGCCACCGAAGATGCCAACGCCAGCAAGTCGCCACAAAGCTCTAGCGCATCCAAATCGCCCAATACTGAAAAGCTCATCCGGGTGTATCAGAAGGCCAAAGCTGATTACTACATCCTCGAAGTCACCGAGTGCCACCGCGAGCGGACTAACAGCGTCCGATTTCTCCGTGATACGGCCGAGAACCTACTGCGATACCTCAAGGCAGTTGATAAAGATAACGACCTGATTCCCGAGATCGAGGCCATCATTCAGGTCAGCCAGGCGCATGCAAGCCAACTCGCTGGCGGTCGCAAGCGCAAATTTGAGCATATGGACGACGACTCGAGAGGCAGCCCAAGCCTTAGCCCCTACCGACCTTACGGACACCAGCTGAACCACCGCGGAGGACTCAAGCGTTGGGATCGATATGTTCCTGGAAGTGACACATGGGACCATAGCCACGTCAACAGAGGAATTGGACTGGATAGCCGTACCTTCGACTCTTACCGTCCTTAGGCTCACTGCGTGGTCTGAGCTGCTGGTCGAAGGGTACGTTCTAAACTATGAGGGTATCTTTTTTGTCCTTAGCAGAAGATTTTTGTACTTTTGTACTTTTTCTTAACAGTAGCTAAAATTGAAACTTCAACTCGAATTCATAACAAGCATTCTCTACTCGTAGAAAAGTTGACAGTGGTTGAAGTATGAGATTCTCATCCATGGTCGCCAATGGAGCTAAGCTCCACGCTAACCTATTCTCATCTTAGCCCCTTATGAACCCACGTGCGAATATGACATAATCCGCCCCGGACTGGAAATCCACGCCCAGGTGATCAACATCGGTCACCCGGTCTCGCAAATCGAGGGGAATCTTGTTATTTTCTTACATTTTGATCTCAATAAAGAGGTAATCTCTGTCCTAATGGAGACAATACCTCACCCACCAGGCCCCTAGAACGACTCCAAACTGTGTCTCTCCTAAGAAATGGCAGCTCTTCATCCCTCAGCCGCGGGGAATAATGCATCTTCCACCGCCTCCAGCACATCCTCAAACCCACAATTCACTCCAGTCTCATATGGCTCGGATGAAGACCGTCCAGTGCCAGGGCCCGCAAAATCCCCTATAGGCCCATTGCGACTGCAGACCAACTTCGATGACCATCTAGACGTTGGCGACCCTCTATCCGATTTCGAGAACGACGGCGACTATAATACCAGAGGAGAGACTGAGGGGAAGCTGCAGCGCAGTGGTTTAGGTCCGAGATATACAATAGAGGAGGAGAGCGATGTAGTGAGGAGATTTGACCGACGGCTGGTTCCGTTTTTGGCCCTTCTCTACTTACTCTCCTTCCTGGATCGCTCAAGTATGTTTGGTTATTCCCCACAGCGGAATATTTCCTCTGTGATTGCAAACATGTACTGATTGTTTATACAGATATTGGAAATGCAAAGATAGCAGGACTACAAGACGATCTACAACTTTCATCTTCGCAATATGAATGGCTACTTACTGCTTTTTACATTACTTACATTCTCTTCGAATGGATGACACTGATGTACCGTGTTGTCCCTCCGCATATTTATATCTCTCTATGTGTATGTGGATGGGGACTTGTCGCGTCATTTCAGTGTTTAGCGACTTCTTTTGGGGGGCTGGTTGTCCTCCGAGCGTTGCTCGGAATCACTGAGGCGGCTTTTGGACCGGGTGTTCCATTTTACCTGTCTTTGTTCTATCGCAGACATGAGTTGGCTTTCCGTAATGGACTGTTTATCTCAGCGGCACCACTCGCGACATCCTTTGCTAGCAGTCTGGCCTACTTGATTGTCAGGTTCAGCAGTGATGGTCCGATCTCACCGTGGCGAACCCTGTTCCTCGTGGAGGGATTCCCGAGTGTAATTGTTGCGGTATTTGCTTGGTTTTTGATCCCGGACTCACCTGGCCGGGCTCGATTCCTGAGTCGCCGACAAAGGGTGGTGGCTCAGCAGCGTCTCGAAGAGAGCACTGCCGACTACCAGCAATCATATGGAAGTCGATTTAACTGGCGAGAAATTCTGAAAACGGCAGCGGATCCTAAAGCTTATATGGCTGCCGTGAGTGTTATCTCTATTTCCAATTGTGCAAAGTCCTAACAAATTTACCACAGTTTATGTTCTTCAGTTGCAACGTCGCTTTCAGCTCAATGCCTGTCTTTTTGCCTACTATCATCAAAGAGTACGCCCTGCACCAACATCTATTCATAATATTGATAGCCAACTTACGTTCCTTACAGCATGGGATATTCCTCCCTACAAGCCCAAGCCCTCTCCGCACCTCCCTATCTCGTCGCATTTGTTGTAGTCCTCCTCACCGCATATGCATCGGACCGCAGCCGCTCTCGGAGTCCATACCTAATAGCCCATGCCCTCATCTCATCACTCGCTTACCTAGCGATCGCGGTGACGGGTTACTTCCACTCACACCTGCCACCATGGCTTCACATATCCATACGCTACATATGTGTCTACCCCGCCACGGCCGGGTTCTTCTCCGCAATTACGCTCATCATCACATGGTCAATGGATAACCGTGTCGAAAAGGAAGGCAAGGGCGCAAGCATTGCCATTCTCAATATCATCGGACAGTGTGGTCCCCTACTCGGGACAAGACTGTATCCTGAGACTGATGGGCCGTGGTATATTCGGGGCATGGCTACTTGCTCCTTTTTCATGGTTGTTGTTGCGATCTTGGCCGTGGGACTGCGGATTCTTCTGCAGCGGATGAACCGGGCGACTGCGGAAACGACCTATACTATTGTACAGGCTGGTCCTGCTGATCAGGGTGAAGAGCGGGATGTGCTTATGGGTGGAGGGAGGAGGGATGACTTGGAGCATTCTACTGGGGATATAAGGCTTGTATATATCATATAGTTGGTATTGGGATTTTCGAGGCCGCCGGCCATTAAGGTTGTCCATGCCCGGACGGAGTTTGAAAGTTATTAGTTATGTACGGAGTGTCTGAAACAATCGCCAGGAACAATCGCCGGAACAATCACCGGTAGGCGGGGGCTTATGACGTCATACTATAACAATGGACTTCACATTTACAAAGTCCGATAATGAATTTCTGTTTATTAGCTCTAATGGAGAATATTACCTATGAAGCCATTGTCATAGGAGCTGGGCCCGGCGGGTTAGCTACACTTGCAGCTTTGTACGATGCAGGACTCAAGCCAATTTTATGGATTGACAGAACCTTCAAGGGAGGAAGACTCAACACTGTATACCGAGAGATATCATCGTGAGCTAGTTTCTGAAGCTTACCAATAACTTTACTAACAGATACAGTAACACAAAAATTCGTGATTATTTGAAGGCGATCTATAGTTCTCCAGTTTGCGTTTCGATCATTAGATCTATTCGTCCCCCTAATGCTGTGACAGAACTTGAATCTATGAATAGAGACAATACCTGCCAGCTCAGTTTCGCCGGGGATATGATTTTAATGCTCGTAAATGGAATGCTAGATCGTTCTGAAGTCCAGAGCATTGAAGGCGAAGTCGAGAGGGCTTCTTTGGAGGTGTGTGGTTCCCCACCCAGTTCGCAAGCCTCAGCTAATTTGATACCAGGGAGGCATATGGACTGTGTCAACCTTCAACAAGAACTTCCAAACCAATCGACTGTTTATGTGTACCGGCTCTCAGCCCAATAGCTCCAGTATGCATTATCCATTTAATAAAAATCTGACCGTACTTGATCTGGACGAGTGTATGCTTCGCTCTCACTTGCCATCCGCTATTCCAAAGGACCGTAAATCGGTGGTGGCAGTTATTGGAAACTCTCATTCTGGCATTTTGTGCTGCAAGAATCTTTACGAAAGTGCAAAGTCGAACGAACGAGACATCAAAATCGTCAATTTTTACCGCAGACCAATCAAGTATGCCAAGTATGTCGACAACGGTATTATCTTCGATAACACCGGACTCAAAGGCAGCACCGCAGAATGGGCCAAGGAAGTCATGGAAAATGATCCAGACCCGGAAGTCATAGAACAAATTGATTTGAGCCAAAATCAGGATTTGGCCTTTCGAGAGCATTTGTGTCGCTGCACCCATATCATTTATGCAATCGGATACGCACGTTCGCCATTACCGGAAATATATATTGACAGACAACGTGCTGGCGAGGAGCTCATATTTGACATGCATTCATCGGGGTTCCATTACGGTGATAGGGCTGAGAGAGTCCGAGGGCTTTATGCTAACGGTATCGCTTTTCCAGAGGAAGTGAAAGATCCGGGAGGACATGTAGAAGCTGCGGTGGGAGTCGCCAAATTTTTCAACTTTGCTGAACGGATGAAGAGGAATTGGTTGAGTGTTGAGTGAGTATTTGAAACCTACGAGATCTGTAGATAAACATACTGGGGCTACCTTACCCAAGCCTTTCAGAAACAACTAGTTCATTCACTAGTGCTCTCTCAGTACAACAACTAAGAGAAATTAGGAGCCTATTGTAAAATCATATAATGAACTGACCATCCTAGGTCGGTGAACAACTTGTAATCGGTGAGTAGGGCTAGCGTGAATCAAACGCCGAGAACGAATCACATTAAAGCATGGTCTTTGGACTTTATGGTCTGCAATGTAACGTAGACTTTGATTTACCTATTTATCCTCTTGTTTATAAAGACTATTCTCTTGAGACACAGTCATCGGGACAGAAAACACGTATTTTTCCTTCCCAGTTTATTTTCAAACCCCCAGGTTGCGACTTCGCCAAAATGTCGGCCTTCAAATTTGATGTCCTTCCTTCACCAATCCCGTCAGCTGAACCATACTTCGATTTGGGCACCCACAGCTTTCCAATCAGTACAAAAAGCCGAGATGCTCAGATATGGTTTGGCCGTGGCCTTATCTGGTCGTACGCATTCAACCATGAGGAGAGCTTTCACTGTTTCAAGCAAGCTCTTGCCCACGACCCTACCTGCGCAATGGCTTACTGGGGACTCAGCTATGCGGCCGGGCCTAATTACAACAAGACTTGGCAGCTTTTCGATCCTGCAGATCTCAAAAATAGCTTCAAACTCTGCTATTACACATCGAGGAAAGCCGAGAAGCTAGCCGACCAAGAGAATATCAAGCCGGTGGAGCGCGCGTTGATCAAAGCAATCCAAGCCCGCTTCCCCTTCAATAAGCCGGCTTCTGACGTTTCAGCTCTTGATAAGTCCTATGCAGCCGCCATGGAAGACGTTTTCCAACATCACCAGGAATCGCATACTATGGACGTCACGACTTTATACGTTGATGCCTTAATGCATACCGCTCTTCGAAGAATGTATGCAGTCAAAACTGGCGCTCCTATTGAGTCGTCTCCTGTCCACAAAATCCGGGCAATATTTGATTCAGCCCTCGCGAACCGGGAATCAGATACACATCCTGGCATTCTTCATCTCTGGATCCATTTTATGGAAATGTCTAATGTACCTGGAATCACGCTTGCCGGTGCTGATAAACTGCGCCATCTTGTTCCCGACGCTGGGCATATTCACCATATGCCAACTCACATCGACATCCTAGTCGGTGACTACCGGCGCTCTGTTGATTCTAACACCGCCGCTGTCAATGCAGATGAGAAGTATTTGGCAAAGAAAGGGGCAAAGAATTTCTACAGTTTCTATCGGTTCCATAACTACCACTCTCTCATCTATGCTGCAATGCTGTGTGGGCAGCGCAGGATTGCTCTCGAAGCCACCGATCGGATGGAAGCATCCATCACCGATGAACTTTTGCAAGTAGAATCTCCGCCACTAGCAGATTGGATGGAATTTTTCAAGGCTGTCAGAGTCCACGTTTATATTCGCTTCGGAATGTGGGAAGAGATCAAAAATCTCCCACTACCTGAAGATCAAGCCTTATACTGTGTTACCACTACTATGATTCATTATGGTAAAGGTATCGCCTTAGCTGCTATAGGGGACCTTGAAAACGCATATAAGGAGCGAGAGCTATATCACGTGGCCGCAAAGACAATTCCGCCCACTCGCAAGGACTACCCGAACTTGATTTCCGACGTCCTAAAGGTTTCAGATGCTATGTTGGACGGTGAAATCCAGTACCGCCAGGGTAAATATGAACAAGCCTTTGAGAGCTTACGGAAGGCGATTCACTTCGATGACTCTCTCAGATATACCGAGCCCTGGGGTTGGATGGTTCCTACGCGACATGCCTATGCTGCTTTGATGTTGGAACAAGGACATGTGGAAGAGGCTGCTCAGGCGTACGCCGAGGATCTCGGATTCGACGACTCTCTTACTCGCGCGCATCAGCATCCCAACAACGTTTGGGCATTGCATGGGTATCACGAATGCCTTGTACGTCTGGGCCGTGAGCCCGAGGCTCATATTATCAAGCAGGCACTTGATCTTGCCGTTAAGGTGGCTGATGTCCCAATCCGAACTTCTTGTTTCTGTCGCCTTGAGGCCCTCGAATCCGAGGACCTGGAAAAGCCTTGCTGTAAATAATATGATAGTAGGATAGAAGGTATTTCTACGAAGTTAGTTCTCAAGGTGATTTGTTGAAATATTTGTGTTGATATTCAACTATGAAAAGAAACTTCATAGATACTCTCAACTTCACGAGCCATATCCCTGAACCCTTCAAATATGGCGTTAGAACTCATAAACTCACATACCGATTTGACTCCATGTCGGAGCTCCTCAATAAGCCTCTCTGCATCTTCCAATTCAGACCCAGGCTCTTGATCTGGGAGGTGATAATAACTCGCAAAGTTACCAGCGTTCAGCGATGCTCGAACTTTCTGTAACAGCATGATGAGAACATAGCAACTTTGCATCCCACAGCAAGCCATGTATGGCAAAGAGCGTGGATATTGATGACGCAGTGGAGACATTGAGCACCCCACAGAAACGTCGGTAGGCTTAATTTCCGAGCAAGATGGATTCGGCCATTCCAAATGTCGAAGGACTCGGGACAGAACCAATGCGGATTTAAGACAAATATTAGTAGATTCTTGTTCGGTGAATGGGAAGATAGAATCAATGTCTTCCAGGTGCGCAGGTGAGAATCTCGAGGGAAACTCGGATGACTGCGCACTATTAATCGAGCTGTTCAGCGAATTGAGGTCACAAAACTTGTCGAGAAACACTGGATAATCTCCAAATGCTCGAAATCGGTGTAGCTTTATCCTGGCACTATAGTTGATAATGTTCAGCAGTTATCCAGAACTATCTCTAGACAAGGGAAGCTCACGTGTGAATCAAAAATCGACCCGTTAGAAACAGGGTGTGTGCAGCTGATCCATCAACACCTCCAGTGGTTTTAATCGTTTGGAAGCGACTCAGATCAGCCGCTACTGTTAGGACGTAAGAGTTGAGTTCAGTAATATGCTGGCGAATGGACTCGTGGGAGCCTGTGATATGGCCTGTCTTTAGTGTCTTGTGGATATCAGTTGTCTTAAGAAGTACGTCTTGTGCTTTCATCAGGACCGGTATAACCTAGAACATAATTAATTAATCCATCATAATCAACCCAAGATGACCAAAAAGGATATTTTACCTCGCGGCAACCAGCGAAAACTGGGAAAGGGGTTGTGATACGTTGGTCGTTCATAAGGACGATAGGAGACTAGTCCAGCTTTAGTGAGACGCCGCAATGTGGAATGAAACCTAGCCACTTCATCTTACCGAATGGTTCAATATTGCAGACTGATACACCAAGAACATCTTCATTGCACGTTAGACAATTTGTAGAGCCAATGGAAAGCTTAAACTCACAGTCATCCACCAAACCCTTTGGTGAACTTCGGAGTCCAGACACTCAGTGCCAGAAGTATGAAGTGACAGATCCATTGCAAGAGTCAACGCATGATGGGTGTGGGAGCGCATCCGCTTCCTGTTGCTATTCTGGGAAAATTCATAAACCGCTAGCAGAAGGAGGGCTAGAATACCCTCGAGAATTGGCGGTAGACTAGGGCTAAAAGAGCCGTTCTGGCCAGCGTCATCATAACCGCTGGAGCTCTCGATAGACTCGAGAGTGGCCTGCACGTACATTTTTGAATAAGACTTGCGCGAAGCAATTGCTGCCTCTCGCATTGGGTCTAGCTCGTCTGAGAGAGGGACCAATGCCAGGATCGCCATCAAGGCTAGACCCAGTGGCGACTTTGACCGGAATGGTAGACATGAGTGGTGTGACCCAATGTCCGTCACTGGCACCGAGCACGGGCAATCAGTAGTGTGAGACACATCAGGGGGCGGCAACAAAGGGAGATAAGGGTGGATGAAAATATAATATGCGTTCAGCCTGGAAATAGGAGCATAAAGATGAGTGAGCCTCCAACACAAAAGTCCATGGCAGGAACCTACAGGTCTGCATCCGATCGATATGCCCTGAGCATTAATAGACCAGGGGGCCCACTGGTTACCCCCTGGTCTACATTTGGGTTCATATCGGACGGTATACCCGTGTGAACGAAGTTGGGAACATTTCGTATTTCATGCAAGGGGTAGATAAGATCGACGATATTATCTCCCAAGGAGCCTGCAGAAGTGTGAGCATCTCCCTATTTAGCAGTCATCAAAAAATAAGCATACTGCTATCATGGTTTGGACCATAAGAGAATTCGGGAGTCTGTGAGCTGACAGCAGAGGTTCGTTTTGCATTTTGATATCGCTCGCCCCTTCGCGCCCCACCGCGCTTACTCGGGCGGTAGTGGCACTCCCGCTCATTCGCGATGCACTGAAATACATGGTTAGGGAAGACTGGGCAATCACAATGTAACAGCTAAGAATATCACATGATCTACTTACAGTTGCGCATGGGTGTTGCCCGTTACAGCGTGTTTTGCTAGACCGGCTGTCAATGGTTAGTTTAAGATCAGCCAGTGTTAAGATCACTCGTACCAGGCTAGGCATGCAACTTTGACCTGAGTTTTGGTGGTCGACATGGTTCCCGTTCGCCTTATTAGTTTAGTTGTAGATGTCGCATTCGAGGGCGCAAAAGGCGGGTTTCTCCACCGGTGCTCAGGCGGCGAACGGGAGGGAAGGTTGTCAGCGGATGGGTTTGTCAGCGGAGGGGCCGGCCCCGGGGACCTTCCAAGGACCTTCCTGGTACATTGAGATATTTTGTCTACCTCGGGCATTAACATATAAGCATATAAGGCCCGTGGGCAATTCCCACCCCCCGTCTATGGGCAATGTCGCCAGTCTATGTGAGAGATTACAGTACATTAGCGCGGTGGCCATTTTTGCTGACCGTGCAGCAAAACCTCTCCCCGGTTTTCACGCGACCGAGCTTACTATGAAAGCTTACATTCAGGGGTCTTCGTTAATGATAGGTCAAATGTACTGAGATAAATTTAGAATCCCTAGGCGTTGCTTGATTTTCTGACCATCTTATATGTGTTACAGATCCCCAAGGTGCCCGATTAGCGCCATATCTGCCTTGGGCTTTTCAACAATCATAGAGCATTATATTTGACACTGCGGAGAAAAATATTTCAGAGCAGGTTGCTAGGTCTGAAATCTTCGAGCATGGCTTCTCAGTGGTCTTCGAATGGCCTAACAGGATCAATCATACTATCACTGATTTTGCTTCTTTTTCTACTAAAACGCATCTGCTATCACCGAAAGTCAGAGAGAAGGCTGGCAATCTCACAATATAGAAAAAATTAGTTGGTTACTACTAAGAAAAACCTATTTGTATTATACCTTGTTGACGTATTATAGGTATCGCTAGTGGCCCTTTTTGCGACCTACTTTGCATTTCTTTAGTACCTTATATTGAAGAGCTACTATATTATAAGTGTCGCTATTCTACTTGACTCTACTCTATTACTTATAGCCGCGGCTGCAGCTCTCTCGCTCTGTACGCTCGAACAGAGCAGGGGTATTAATTTATCAGGTATTATTCTAGCGTATCTTGTTTGCTCGTTTATAAAAGACTTTTTCGAGCTACAAGTTATAGGTAGCTTAAGTATTAGCCCCTATTTCTTTATTAGATCTAGGATATTTATTAAGGGAATTTGGCTAACTTCGTATCTATAGGTTAATTCTTTCTTCTCATATTATTCCTAACGATTTATTTTATCCCTAGAAGAAGCGGTAGGGATATTTAGTTAATTATTCTTCTAATAGATATATCTAATTCTAAGGGAAGGATATAGTATTAGGTTAAATCTCGCGAGTTTACTAAAGACTAACTAACGTATTTCACCACCGAGCCGGCCACACCACCGAGCCGGCCACCCAATACAACCTATTAAATTCAAATGCATTTATCTCAACCAAAACGCCATTAAATTAAATAAACTAAATTCATCATCTATCTGGACATGTCTCTCTTCTATGTCCTGGCTTCCTACATATTCCACACCCTCGGGGGGGCTTTTTACGCGGCTGTAAAGCCGATTCTCCATGTATGCCAGGACCGGAGGGAGGTGCTTCAATTGCTTCCTCCGGCTGCATAATTAATGCAGATGCTTCTTGAACTGAGAGGCCTTCTTCGGCGGGGATGTACCTTTTGGATCTAGCTCGCTTTTGCTTCTGCTTCTCGTTGGCGGCACGTAATTCCTTATTTTCTTTGGCGAGTAAGATAGCACCTTGCATTGTAAGACGGAAGCCTTTTATAAGCTGGTTTAATGCACGATCTGACGGGCTAGGTGGGCTTCGAGATCTTGAACGAAGTAAAGCTTTAATTGATAAAGCCTGTCGACGTAGTTCTTTCTCTGTAAAGGGGGTTTTTGGGGTGAAATTCTGGCTTGAGTTACTACCCCGGCTGGCGGGGGGGGTCGGGGTTCGAAGCCGAATATTAAGCTTTGAAATCACTCTCTCTAGTGAAAAAGGGACTAAACCGGCTGCTCTGAAGCTATTTTTAATAGTCTCCGATTTAAAGGCTTTAATTCGTGCGAGGGGGTATGCTTCGAGGAAATTAAGTTTATCGATATGATTTATCCCGACCCGTATCTTTGATTTAACTAGCCGACTATATGACCGTTTTAAGACCGCAAAACAGCCGATATCGAGAGGTTGTAAAAGGTGAGAGGAGTGCGGAGGTATATAGATTAGTATGATTTTATTTTCTTTACAGATTTCGTCGAATTTCCTAGTTAAATAACTTCTGTGGCCGTTAAGTATTAAAAGCCGATACCCCCCCTTCGTACGTAAAGAAGTAGTAGGAATAAAGAGCTTTTCGAGCCACCGAAGTCTAATTTTATTAGAGGTCTATCTATTCGGACTAACTTCGAAACGCTAATTGTCCGGGAGGCCGTCGAACTAGGATTTAATAAAGACTTTGCCTTTAAAAATCACGCACGGAGGAAGCGCCTACCCGGAAGCATTCGTACACTCGATTACCGTTACCCACTTACGATTTCTAGGTTGTAAGAGTACTCGCTGACTGTAGTATTCACTTCTCGTAATAACCTTCGCGGTTGCTGTTAATCCTATCGCGAAACCGGTCTTATCGAAGTTATAAACGTCATCGGGGTCGATTCTAAATTGAAGTATGGTTTTTTGAACTAGATTAAACCACTCTGTAATGATTTTTGGGTCTTCGCATTTCGTACGCTCGTAGTTATACCGTTTTGAGAATCGGGAGGAGAGGAGAGGACGCCGTTTAACGAATTTTGTTACCCAATTTTGGCCGACCGAAATCACCGGGGTGGTTCCGCGCTTTTCGAGAAGAAGGTTCGCCATTTCTCGTACGGTAGAGGGCCGGGGGGCCCCTCCGCGTCGATCTATAGAGATAATCCATTTTTTAAGAGATTCCTCCTCAGTTTCTGTTAGTTTATGAGAGTTGGCGCGAGAAATCGCGCGGTTTTGGTGGCCGCGTAGTCGGTCTTGAAGGGTTGAACGTGGTATATTAAAACGGCGCGCCACCTCGCGAATTGAAGAGATTTCTTGATTTTTAAAAGCCTGGATGGCTAATAAGATCCTACCCTCTTGCTCTACTAAATTTTTAGAGCTTCGGGAGCGAATTGGTGGCATGGTGGGTGGTTGAAGAAGAAGGGTTTGAATTAATTGACGCGTTTTGGGTGGGGTGGCCGGCTCGGTGGTGTGGCCGGCTCGGTGGTGAAATACGTTAACGACTTTTATCTAAAGGCTTACGAAAGCGAATTTTAATATACTAGGCCCTAGAACGCGAGTCTTTTAAGTATTCTTAATAATAAATATAATACTAATATTAGGATTAGCTAATCTCTATATAAAATAGACGCTTCTATATATATTAGCGAGATATCTTAACGGTCTATTTTAGTTACTAATACTTCTATATATATTTCTTATCTTATTTATATACTTGTAGCCTATCCTTATTAGAACAGCTATCCGATTTGTTAATAGAATATCTTAAACCATTCTTAGTAGAGATAGTAGCCTTTAATTAGTACTTTTTACTATAGTAGTTTATATAGGAATAGCGGTATAATACTTGTAAGTTATATTAATTTTTCTATAAATCTAATAATATACCTTATAGGTATTAGTATTAATCTACTAATATTAAATTAATAGGCTATAGGTTATAGTTCGTAGGGTATTAATTAGTCTTATTTACTACTAGTCTCTTTATTTATTAAATAAGAATTCTTAAGGCTTAACTATATTAGCTTTAATTAGCTTAGATATCGATAGTATAGACTCTATAGGTAAGATTTTTTATAAGACTTAGGCCTGCCTTATAGAGGTAGCTACTAGAACTGTGCTATTAGCCGCTTAGATCTAATGGTTTGCATTTCTACTATTAGTGATAATCTTTAGTAACTATATATCTAGAAAGAATAATCTAGGGTTTGAATCGTATTAATATCTTCCCCTAGTATATTCGAAGATAAGTGCTTATATTATAAAGTACTTAGAGAATCGACAGAAAAGCTAGAACGCGGTAACCCTAAACCGACTTGCCGCAATATCTACAGCTATAGAAGGAATGAAGAGCCTAAAAATAATAGGTATAGAGGATATAGTCTAATCTTAAGTATTACATTTGCGAAATAATAAGATCTAAATATTAAAGCGCCTGCGATAGATTCTAGTTGCCTATAATATAAGCAGTATATATTAAGATAGATTAACAAATATCATTTCCTTATTACTAACTTCAGAATTAAGCAAGTGTACTTAGAATCCTCGCTCTAGTCTTAACCCTTATCCTCTTTCTTTTATTCTCTCAAGGTGACCGAATGTAGGCCGATCAAACCTTTACATCTCTTACTCTTCTAGCCATAGTGACATATCCAGCCAACATGGTCATAACTCTCATTCCACAGGCTATTTCTATTATGGCAAACTTTGATCATATCCAGACTTTTGTTAACCAAACTTCTATTCAAGACGCGCGAAAGGTCTCTCAGAGCCATAGTGCTAAACAATTCGTTTCAATACAACACCTGACAGTAGCACCTCCTCCATTATACCATCCTATACTCTACAATGTTGATTTGCCAGTCATTCAAGTCTAATCGATTCAATATTTAAGAGCGCTTAACTAATTACAGTAACTCAACAGTGGTAAAAGTACACTAATGCTTTCTTTACTTCAACTCCTTAGGCCTAGTCAGGGGTTAACATCGATCGATAATATCAATATCGCCCACATATCCCCGAGAATTATGCGAAAACGAGGGTTCATTGCAGTGCCACAAGATGGGTTAACAATTTCAACAGCAAGCGTACGCTTCAATCTAGATCCTTATCACGCGAGCTCAGAGCAAGAAATATGCCTTAATCTCCAAAGGACTAGTCTTTAGGATAAGATAAATTCAATCGCCAGTTCAGCTAAGAAGACACCTACTAGTCTCCAACTTCGAAGCCTACTCGATCTTCCTATATCATCATTTCTGCTACTCTCAGCTAGACAACTACAACTATTTGCCTTAAGCCGAACACTACTGCGAGTCTAGTCTTCCGCGCCACGCAAGCCGATTGTTATCTTGGATGAAGTCAG